GGGGTGGGAATAAATTCGAAAATCAATTGGAAAAGATCTCCAAAGTCGGTAAGTTTCGGGAATACTAAAAAAGGTCAAAACGAGAAAATTCTATCCTGGCTGCATTCGGGCAAGAGGAGTTGAAAGTAACTAGGTCCAAGGGCCCACCTGTTTGCTCTCCTCCTCCTGAGACAGTTTGGAGGAAGGATATGTGTGGAACGTGTGTAATCTGTTCTCATAGCCGGGAAATCCTTCGAGCAGTGGAATCCCAAAACGAGCTGGAGTTCGAGGCGGTCAACTGTTGCCCGCCTCCTGCCAAGGCAATGCTTGGTGGTTTGGACAGTCATGCCTTTGTTCGATTCCATCCACAGCTGCATAGATGCATGGTTATTCTGTCAACAAAAACTTTCCTCTTTCCTGTGGTATGGCTGTCATTGATTGCTCAATCTGACCACTTGACTAAACGCCCAGCTTTCAACCCTGCTTGGACCCTCTAAAAAAAAACCCCCCAATCACACCAAGGCCTCCTACGTCATTATGCCGGCCGTTGATGCCCAACCTTCAGGTTTATCTACAAGACCGTTAGGAAGCCGGATGACCGAAAAAGGGGGATCACAGGAGTTTACATATTGGTTTACTACATGAGTGGATGAAATGCAATCCCTTATACCTTATCTTTCCTGGCCTCAGTGATCAATGAATATTAATTATTTTGGCATGGTATTCATGAATCATTGAATCTTCGGAGTAAACCTCTTGGGAGTGTTATGACATCACTCTGAGGGAAAAATACTAAACCAATCTAAAGTTAATCACCGCTCTCTACCTTGGCAACGGGTCCCTGTTCAAGCCAAACGACGGGGGCCCTCCACTACCAAAAGCAGAGTTAGCCTTTTATAACCGATTCCGGTGAGCTGCAACAGGCAATATTTGAAGAGTATTTGCATCCTTCAACCTTAACTCTTGAAGAACGGATCATTGTGAAACCAAATCAGTTTCTACCCTATGAACACTTCCGATTAATTCATTGGTCATGGTTTCTACTTAATGTCATGATAGTACTGACTTCAAAGGAACGCATATAGCCCAGTGGAAAAAACAGACTGCAGCAGTATTACATTCTCAAGGACAGGAATGGAAGATTCGCCATCAACCCTTTGAAAAAAGAGGAGAGGTCAATATATTGGATAAAATTGGAATGAATCGGATGTCTTGTCTTTAGGAGTGTTAGTAGTTAATCGGCTAACTCTACCTCCACATCTCATTCCCCTACCAGAAACATCTTGAGCCAAATGTTGTTTGGAAAGATATTCTTGTCAATAGGAAATCCATCGACTTCGTATCTATCGCTACTAACGCTGCTAAAGTTAACTAACATTCAGATCATGATGAGTATCCTAAGAGCGGCAACAAGGAACATATTCTCCCTAATCTGGCCATCTCAAATTGCTTCGCTGAGGATTCCATAATTGCTCGCGAAGGCTTCTCAACTGATAATTTCTGGCTTTGTATTTTGTACCGTCCGACTGGTAGATTCATCCCGACTCGCACGGATTTCGCTTGAACGATCGATGGGAAGGATTCATATTCCAATCTATCAGATAGCGTTCGGACTTTCTACATTTTCTATCCAGGCAAACGCTACTGTCCACCTTTTCTGACCAGGACTTATGCGTAGGACCCCGAGACCCAATTTTTGCCGCGATTGGAGGAACTGCTGACCGGGAAATTTGTGATAAACCAAATAGCATACGTGTCCAGTATAGTCAGTTTCTCGAGCGGATCCGGGTAGAAACTCGATTGCTTGGAAATTCTCCAGCTTGCCGAGTGTGATATTTCGCGTGGAAGTTTTGGAGCGGAACTTCGGTGCCTGCCGAACGACGGGTATCTCTATTTGCATGTGGACCGAGCGCCATGGTAGCTGTGGGGCTTTTGGAATTGGAAAAGTAGTTATCATAGGGAAATTTTTGAACAGAGAAGTAGAGAATGGGTTTGGTGAGTGATAATCGTTCTTGGGAATAGACAAATGTGAAAGGGGTAAGAAATAAGGAGAATAGGAGAAAAGCCAGGACATGCACTTGGATGAAGTCGTGTCGGTGAAGAAATGCTAAGATGTAACGTGTTCCTTAATTTATAAAAAGAGTATCCAACAGCTGACTCTCTACTAGTCATAAGGCCGATTACCAGAAATCATGTTATGAGGGATAGCAAAGCGTGGTCTCATAGTGCAGTTCCCTGTAGGGGAACAAGCAGTCTACTTGAAAAGCCAACATCGCAGAAGGGGAGCTTGATGAAACTGGTTCTATTCTCCGCGTGGTCTCATTCAATATGTACCCCTCCGAATACTCATCAGAAGCTTTTCCAGATGTAATACTACTCTCTCGGTAGTATACGATAGCATTCTTGTCTTCTGTCTCACTAGCTAATCATGGAGGGACGAATTTTTTACAGCCAGCAAAGGTGTTAATTATAAATAATTTTTTGACAGTTTAGAGATGCTCTGATGTCTATTTCATTGATCTTTTATAGCCGATCCGCTCTAGCGAACCAGGATTGAGATAAAGCAATGGGATTTGAGATTACAAGGCGGTATTCTTGTATAAAATATTCTTCCGGTCTTGTCTCGTGGCACTCAAGTGAGATGGGCATTGTGAATCCTGGGTGAGTTCTAGAAAAACAAACATAGAAAATATACATGAGGAAGGGATAGCAGGGGTCTTGATGAGAACGCTGATTTTGAGTTGACCTCGACGCGATTGCCAATACCCGAACCCTGGAAACATCAGCATCCATGCATAGGGCGGAGTACAATGTATGCGTGGAGAGACTTGGAGAATTTGATACCAATACCTCCAGAGAGAGCTACTCAATTATCTGTGTGTGGCTGAAGCATTGCCGCGAAATCCGCCCCCAACGAATTCCAGGACCTCCAAATGAAAGATCGTTGCAGTGCAATTTTTCTTGCACGAATGGTATGGCGAATTCCAATGGGAAAATAAAATAGAATAGAATAGAAAGCCACGATCGATTTCGTCTTGCGATAGTAAGCTGGAGGTTGCCGATTTATGTTAACCGAACGGCAACTTTACATGGCGCTAAGTTCGGCAATCGGCTTTTAAGCTTGGCTGATTTCGGCAATGGGAGTCAAATGATTTTGAACAAGGGAAGTGAAGATACGGATGGGATGGCTGAGTAATGTGAAAGCTGGGCTGAGATACCTAGAAAGTGATTTGTAGTAGAAGAGGCCTCTGCTTCGTTGGAATCTAGTCTCCTGCATAGAGTATATGGATAACCTGTCATAGTGTGTTGTCGAAATTTTCATGCGAGGACATTTCACAGCAGCCTGAATAGCAGATAAATTGTTGGATTTAATGCTTCATAAATATATCAAATCTAGACGAATACCAATTTCTGTACCAATTGATATGTCAAATGACAGAGCTACAAGATCTAAAAGTGCAAAGTAGACAATTATTTAATAAGCTAACGGCTTGTTGATAGCTGTGATATGTTCTCTCAAAGATAGTTATCAATTCTCAAAACCCTGGAATTGAAACAAGGGAAGAAGAATACTAAGCAATTCATCAAGTCAAAAACTGCTGAATTGTTTGAAAGTTGAAGTTGAATAGCAACCAGACGTTGGAAGAGGAGCCTCATCCCTGCCTACATCTGATTGGTTGTTTTCCGCCTTCAACTGAACCAAAATCTGACGACCAAAAATTTCACGCTCCAGACGAGATAGTTATTTCCCCATAAACCTTGGGAAATTAAGACGACACAAAAGAAATTCTATAGCGATGGCCAACCCGAACCCCTATCCAACTTCCATATCTTCCCTTCATTTTCCATCGTCCTCCCATCAAAGTATCTCCCAAACACTCTCCGCACTCCGAAAATCCACCCTCTCGATAACCAATAGACTCCGTTCCATTGAAACAGATTCAGCTTTCGCTCAGCATGTCGCGCAACATTATGAGCTTCCACTGGTTGCCAATGAAAGATGCGGCAGCTGGTATATACCCACGGAGAGGAAGGCGGGAAGTGCGTATTTTAAAAGTACCGATGGCCACGAGGGACAGTGGAATTTCAGTCTGCGGAGGTTGAATTTACATATGTTGGATATTTTGAGGGAGAATAGAGGGTTAGTTCAGCTCAAACAGTACTCAATTATCTCATTGAAGTTATGAAATAAGACTCTGATAGTTTGTTTCTTTGGTTTGATTTATTAATTAGTTGTGTGATCGTAGATTCAACAAGGAGAGGGAAATGTATGTATTGATACCTTCTGATTTGTGACTGATTTTGATATCATCACACAGTGCTATAATCTCTTTTACTTTTTGCATAACTATAGTCTAATATTTCACCCTCCCCCAGCCATACCAGATGCACTGTGCAAGACAGTTCCAATATGGGCAGCAGTCATGAATAGGGCTCTTTTCCCTGACAGCAAAACATATCATAATGTACAATTCCCACCGGACTTCCTTGGTGCTTCTGAGGAGTGGCAGATCGAGAAAAGGATAGATCAATTTGTTATTTCATTGAAAGTAAGCCTAACCCTTATATCACCTTAAATGAGGAGAAAATGCCCACTGACTCCAATCTAGTCCCTCAAACTCAACCTGCAAGAATTAAAAACACGACTCGGGAAGCCACTGAGACTTGCTTGGGCAACACGAGAGTATTTTTGGCCAGAGTACTCCGAGGAAGAGATGGATGATTTCCATCTCATGGTTCTATGCTCCGTCTCGAAACGAGTCCACGGCGCGGAAATGTCTGAGGGTGGCTATATCCAGGGAGCTGGAGATGATAGTGAGGCCTGGGCCTGTGGTCTTACGCCAAACATCTTTTGGGACAATAAACCTACATTGTTTGCAACTGACGAGGGAGATCTGCCAGAGCTAATTAAACAATTAGTTCAGAAACATCATCAGGAGATGAAGGCAGAGGACGCAGTGCTTATAAGGCCCACGAGTAATGTTTATATCAGGAAAAGCCGCCAGCCAGATGAGCAAGTGAAGGGCGAGCGGAATTTATTCAATCTACAAATTATCTGTAATAGGAAAGAAGATGGACGTGCCGATGGATCTGAGTCTAAATCTGCACCCGCAGAGGATCCAAAAGTTTTGAACCTTGGTTGTCCTCCGGGGAAACTTGGGAGTCGACACCTACGAAAGGTTCTGGATAAAGTTGAGCAGTTCGTCACTTCGCACTTGTCTCGCGATTCCTCTCAGTCAATAATGGTAACTTGCGAGAATGGCAAGGACTTATCTGCTGGGACAATCCTGACAATAATCTGTTTGTTCTACGATAGAGAAGGTATGGAAATCCTAAATCAGATGAGTTTTTGGGTATATACACATATAGCGACTAATACCGGGCATCAGGGAACTATAAAGGACCCCAGGATAACGTTTCGATTAACAAGGAATATATCCGGCAACGCCTCGCGTGGATATTATCGTCAAAGGAAGACGTGAATCCTTCACGGTCAACGTTACAATCAGTAAACTCATATCTCATGAATCGACCCTGATCCATATTTCTTATTCGAAAACAAAATGGATCAGCGACTCTCCTTCCACGACATAGGATTAAAGTCAACCCAGGTGATTTAGTAATGGCGCCAAAAATTATTAAAGATAGTATACTCAGAAATGAGGAGAAATTACTCATTACTGACAGCCTGCACAATCGCCCCCTCGTCCCCCTGATCCAGTGCGTTCAAGGCGGTCATATCCTCATCGGTGATGAAGAAATCATAAACATTGGCGTTGGCTTGAATCCGATCAGGATTGTCACTCTTGGGCAATGGAACCATCCCCTCTGCCAAGCGTATCTTATCAATATCTGCGCCGTCGACCTGCCGTACTTCTTCGCGATCCCGACGAGAGTTGGCTCGGTGGCCTTGTAGTTCCGTACGAGCGGCGAATACGCTTCCACTACGATTCCGTGCTTTTTGCAATAAGCATCGATCACCTTCTGTTGGCACCATGGATGAAGCTGTAAAATCCACAAATATGTTAGCTAAGGCTGCATAAACGCTGATCAACTCAGGGGCAGAAGACGAGGAACCAAACAAGTATATTCACGCACCTCAATCTGATTAACATGCGGCGGCCACACCTTCGCATATTCCTTCATTTCTTCAATATGCCCCACCCCAAAATTACTAACACCAATACTCCTCGTCTTCCCTTCATCAAATAACTTCTCTAGTGCCTGCCACAGCTCCTTCCTCCCTTCCTTCCCAGATTTCGCACTATGAATCAAAAACAAATCAACATACGCATCCTGTCCTTCTCCAGCAATCTTTTTCACGCTCTCCAGAAGCTTTTCATAGGTTGCCTCCGGAGACCCTGCGGGAGAGATTATTTTCGTTGTTACAAATATCTCTTTCCTCATACCGGAGCTGCGTAGGGCGTTGCCAACTTCGGTCTCATTGGCGTAAAATTGTGCGGTGTCAATGTGTCGGTAGCCGGCGATGAGGGCCGCCAGGCAACTTTTCTCGCACTGGGAGGGAGGTGAGCGGTAGACACCGAAGCCTAAACGGGGTATTTGCACTTTTGGCAAGTTTGGTAGAGGTAGGAGATCGTTCAGGATTGTTGTGGCTGCCATTGTTTAGGTGTCTTGTGCAATAGCACTGGGTCTCTGAGGATGTTCACAATATGTAAATAATCGGGTGCTAATTTAATTAGATTTGCGAAAGGGTTTCCCTTTTGATTTGGCTGGTAGCGTGTAATGTCTCCTACTTTCGATTCTCGATTCTTGATGTTGATGCTATGTTGTTTGGCATATTCCTGTTCATTGTATGTCCACATTCACCTCCGCCTCCTTTGGCGGGTCCATGACAAGAAAGCCACAAAAGTCTATCTCGACAAAGCCCATAAATTAACGATGGAATTGCATCATCGCCGGTTAAATTGTAAATCAGGGGGCAAGCAAACTGGGGAAATGGGGATCATGAAAATGAGTTCATTAAGGGACAATATGATATGCATATTATTACGTCTCATGAACAAGCTAAAAATAAAAACTTCGGATATGTTCGTTCCTGAGCGCCAAGCCGTTATGATGTCATTGACAAGCAGGTGTATAAAATATGGTCAGTCTCCAAATTAGCCCCGCCCCTGGAGTGGAAATCAGCAACCAGGTAAAACGAACAACTCCAATTGATTGAATATTTCTATGTAGGAATGTGTAGATGCTTTTTGAGATCAGGAATACGTTGCTCAGCATCTTAACCCAAGTACAACAATTTTTCTCAGCGCTTTCCGTTCTCAAGAGTCATGATTGAGCTGGATTTCATCAAATATTAAGCAATGTGATTTTCATTACCACTCCCGTGTTTGCTTGGAATAAGTTTAAATGACACAAATCGCGGCCTGTAAATGCTCGGATCCCGATAATTATCCCCTTCAGGCGAGATGCGATTGTCAAGGCTGTTCACGTTATACGAAAGTGTCCACCGGTCCCCTTCTTGTAGAGTTGGATGCACATGTGCATTATACCCAACCACATTTGAATTTTTGTAGTTCCCAGACGGGCCAGACTCGGGCATGCGATAGAGCGGAGAGTCAATTTTTTGGAAAGGTCCTGACGGGTCACAGCTGGACCACATAAGAATTTTAGCACTGAATATTTCTGAGCTATCCTGGCTTACCACCATAAACTGTCCGTCATTCCATGGGGTGACGCTGAATTCGTTTACGATTCCTTCAAGAGCATCAGTTCCCTTGGATTCCGAGTGGGTCCATTCAACATCACAATGGCCGTCATCATTCGGGGTTGACGATCTTCTGAAAAACTCCCAATTCTTGGATAGATCGGATCCCCTGAACCTCGCAATGCGCATGGTTTTGTTAAGGGCATCACCTTTCACACCATATATGTACGTGTGGTTATCCCCACTGTGCGCCTGTGGTAATATGGCTGAGCCCCAAGATGTACCAGTTTCAGACGGGAGCGGATCCACCTTGATCGGACGAGCAAGGTCAGCTAGATCAAATGTTGCAACAACATTTCGCACAAATTTAAAAGCAAGTGGCCCCTCGCTCTCTGTCCGCTGATACTCTTGAAATATTACCTGGAGGTATTCGGTATGATGCATGTTCGATATTATGCCGTCGCCTAGCCAAAACCATCGACCTTCGGCTGGAGGCGGCATGATTGCTGTCCTGTTTGTTTCTGAACCTCCCGTAATAGTTGTCAAGGTATTTCCACTCTGGGCCACGAAGCAATTATTTATCATTCTCGTGCTTGTTGGCCGGGTACCGTCGCAATTCAGGGGGCCCAGATATGTATCTGAGAAAAGCCAGAGCAGTCGACCGTCGGGTAGCTTTACAGAAAACGTAGAGTCAGCTCCGGTCCATCCATGATTATTAGGATCAGCCGCATAGCTGTTGAATAATTCCTCGGGGTTTGCGTGCGGGGTGACATCTTCCGCCAGTGGCGGTTCTGCCTCAGTGCAATGGTGATGAGAAGAAGCCGTGGCGCCCATACTGCCTCTCAGTTTATTACTACCAACCACTATCTGGAAAACAAATTTCGAATGGTTCGTGTTGGGGTCTTCGGTCCTGGGAGAAGCACCAGAATGTATGTAAAATGTATGAGGTTGAGATGTTAAAAAGCGCCAACCACAAGACGTTAACTAGTTAATCAAGAAATACCAAGTCCTGGCCACTGATTCCCGAAGTGTTAGTTACTACAGTCAAGTTTCAGCTCCCACGTTGAGAGCATGGACTTCGTTCTGGTTGGTAGCATCATCAACACATTTTCTCGCATGAACCATGTTCTCGATAGCTAATATAAATACCTTGCCATATACTCAACATTCGTTGTATATAAGCAGCGATTTTAAAACCCATTCACATATTTAACACAACGCACAGGAATCCCTCTCCCCGCTGTGGCAAGCGGAATAATCCCCAAGAGATAGACCCCAAATTGGATGTTGAGACTCTTAGATATATGGAACTTTGCTCTCCTCTTAAGGAGAGCATTCAACGAACTCTCTTTGGCGCTCGTTAGACCCATGATATGGAGGGTGAATGGATGATATTCAAAATGCGCGAGTCTTGCGAAAGCGACAGTTGCCGCATCATCCCATATTAATATCCAATGGGCTTTGAAGGATGCATTAGGGTGATGAAGGCTGGTAAGGGGGTTCTAGGCTTCTCGGGAAATGCTTTGCATGCGGTCACTTTTGGCTGTCGAGAAATCAGTCATAAGATGAATCATCTACACATGACTGGGATAGGGATTCCTTTGATGGGATGGTTCCTGGAAGTGCTGGATATTTAAATACCGTCAGTCTTTCTAGTATTATGATATAAGTCGTAGAAGCATCTCAATGTAAGATGTAGTCTTTGATACAAAGATCTATATACTTTGACGGTGTTGTAAAGTGCTTTTAAATATATATTTTCATTATACCATGTTAAAATACCGTGCAAAACTGCAATTTCAGTCAATCAAAAGATAACTACCTCTACGCGCTCATATATTGCAGAATCCAACCCTATGAATGTAGAGACCCTTCCATGGATTACGGCTTCGGAGGCTTTGGATTTGATAACAAGGCTTCGTTTGTATGATGAGCAGCAGGACAGGGAGATCAAAGTCTATTTCAACAGCTTAAATAACTACTATGAGAAGAAGGTGAGGAAGCACGGAAGTTTGCAAATCAGCAGCAGCGGGATATTCGGGCTCTATACAGCGAATACCTCTATGCAACGAATTGAATAGGCTTCCAAGATTAAATCGTTATAACAAGGCTTTACTGTAGATATGTTTCAAACATATATAGCACTCTAAAGATTAACTCTAGGTGCAATTGTATGATGCTGACTATATTTTAATACTCAATCAAGCTGATTATACTTGCTATCTCTTTGTTAACGTACTGATCAGATGTCTCTGAAAATTTAATGAGATAATTCTATTCTCACAGTTGAAGACCTTGGTATTGAAAGCAGTTTTGCTTAACTAATAGTTATAAACTAGTTAGGTACTTTAATCAACTATATCATGCTCAAGTTTTTTCTTATTATTCATGATGTAGTTATGTTATGAATATAAACTAGCTATTACAGCTTATAATAATGTTTGAAAAAAAACAGAGTTATATAACTCTCAGTAGTTGAAAACTAATACTTCAATTTTATTTTACAAAGTGAATATATTAGTATACAAACATATTAACTTGATAAATGGTAAAAGGGTTATATCTATTTACTCATCTAGAGAAGTGCTTATATCTTATAGTAATTAAACTATGAAAACTTGCTTACTATTTTATTTATTTTCAGCTAATAGTCAAGTTGATATTTTTACTTAATATTTAATTATCTTTTTGCTTAACTGAATCTGTATAAGTTTGTTGAGTTGCTGTATTATTCTGAGATGAAATTTTATAGTTAATTCAACAGGCAGCGTCATTAAAATCCCGGATTTCTTGGACTCGGTGGCGCCACCATATACTGCGATTTGTTCACTCTCTCTGGAACATGTAAGGTGTTTCAGTTCTCTGTTATGTTTTATTTTATGAAGTTGACAGGTTGAGTTTGTTATTGGCGGGCGTTGGAGTTAAGTGGGCGAGGGGTGGAGAGTCACGTTGGGCTGCAAGACTTCTAGTTAGTTAACTAGTTACCTCTTAATTGACTTTCGAGGTTAAATATCTGTCGATGGGTTCACGTTTTCTTTCCCACTTTCAACATTCAACACCCATTGCAAGGAGGGGTGGGCGAGCACAGTGAGAGGGGGATATGATTCTCTTCTCCTGAATTCTCAAAAATGTCGCATGAGATGTCATATCTGGGACCCAGGGGTACGTTCCGCACCATTGATGAATATAGTACGAAACAGAAGCTAACCTGTAGAACCTCGGACAACCACCAGCCTTTAATCATGAGCAGAGCCGAGATGCAGAAGCAGAATACGACCGCCTGCGCGATGCAGCTAGACACGAAGCTGCCCAACGCTCCTCATGCTTCGAGAGAGTTCGTTTATCCTATACCTAATCGCAGAAAATTGATCATTGCCCCGGCTAGTTGCAGCTAACCCCCCGTCTATTCCCGGTTACAGTCTCGCCAGGCATATGAAAACGGTGATGGCCGACTTGCCAAGGAGCTTTCTGAGCAAGGCAAGGCGCACGGGAGGAAAATGGAAGAATTGAACAAGCAAGCCTCGGAATTCATTTTCCGGGAGAATAATGCGCCTGGGCGAGTTGATTCTGATACGATCGACCTACATGGCCAATTCGTGGAGGAGGCAGAAGATATTTTGGAGAAGAGGATAAAGTATGCCCAACGGCATGGGCAGACACATCTTCATGTGTAAGTATTCACCTGTAAAATTTCCATGAGCGAAGAAGCTGTAGCGAAGACGTTGGAAGTATGACTGCGATCATTTTTCCGTATTTAATGCGAGCGGATAAACAATAATGACGGTTATTTTTTATTCATGCAGCATTATTGGGAAGGGTAGCCACTCGGTCAATCATGTTCAAAAGCTCAAACCTCGAGTGGAACAAGTTTGCCGTGATCTAGGTTTGCAGTATACCACCGAGGACAACTCCGGGCGAATCTATGTCAACCTGACTGGCGGCGCCGTACACATACCTCCAAACCAGCCACATCACACCCCACAGCCCTATAACCAACAGCAACAGCAAGAGCCAAACCCTGACGGGATCCAGCAGGCAGTCAACTCGATTGCTCCTAATATCATTCGAAGGCTGGAAAAGGCCTGCTGCATGGTGATGTGAGCTCTGCTGCTGCAGATTTGATTTACTTCTTCACTTTTCAATTTTTGCATTTTCGGCCTATTATTTTGGAAATGTAGGGATGGGTAATATGAATTAGAACGGCCGGTTGATACCCTTCTACGTTGAACTGTGTTTCATATAAAGCTGCATAACCTCCAAAGGTTCACACTGGCTTTATACGGTGTTTGGCAAAGAGATTTATTTCTTTATTTACCCCGTCGCCCAGCTACCATCAGGGCGTTAGTTACACTTGCTTTTAGACTATGTGTTTAAATGTGGGCCTTCCCCCCCCAAACGTCGTTCACATCCTGCCATCCTCTTGAAGCATATGAGGGTGATATTTCTCGCAGCAATCATCGATTACAAAAGATAACAAAACACTGGCGGCGAGCCAGATTAGGCAAAGCAAATGGAAGATGGGAATTGCATTTAGTTTCCATTAAACCTGGTCTGATTGTGGTGTGTATGAGCTCTATGTGTGGTCATTGGATAATAAAACTAATTGCAGATTGTGAGCAATTTCTAAATCGATTATAGTGGGTGGGTGGATACGCTGGGTAAAGATGCATACAAAGACGCGTCGTAAGGGATAAAAGGAGTAACTAACTACCAGGCTAACCCGTGTTCCGAAATCCAAATTGATTCTTGAAAACCTGAGTATGGAGAGAAAAACTTTCGCTTTAAAATTGCTTAATTTAACGTACCTTGACACAAGCCAGGTCTGACAGGGCTGGGGACAGTTTATCTGCATTTTCTTCTAATATCTCGATGATTGATTCTTGTTCCCTTTTCCTTTCATCGTCCAACAACATCATCAGTGTTCAAGATCAGGGAAGCGAAAAATAGCGGCTCCCGAACAAAATCGTCTGCTCGGATCAACTCATTCGAGGTATGTGCTCGGTTGAGGCGCAACATGCACATCGTCATCCAATACTACCCACCGTTTCACGTCGGCAATGGTCAAGCAGATTCCGTTTGCAGGGTTGACAGGCGTCACCATGGCTTGCCACAATATTGCCAATCCCGATCCCTCTTCAGCATAGACGTGAGCGCGATAATCGCAACAAAATCGAGTGTGCGAGTGTGGAGGCTGGTCGAGGTGAACTCGAACCCCAATTTGATTGCCCGTGGTTGCCTGAAAGCATGAATAGAGCCTCTTCCATCCCGGTTAATCTAGTGATTTTCATTTTGGAACTCGATAGTTGTATGATCTTCTTCATATACATCGTCACCGAATGTAGCATTCACCAGAGCATCCAGCATTGCTGGAGTGGGGGTGGTGAAAGTGTCGCTGCGGAAATTATTGGCTGCTATACACGGTTTGGAACTCGCCATCTTTTGCCGTTCTGTTGGTGGGTATGGGGTGACCGGTAACGGAGGAAATATTTCGGTGAGGTAATTTCACTGATATGAAATTGATTCGCCCATTTGAGTCGGGAGAGACGGTGATTTTTGGTTCATGAACACATGTTTGATAGTCACATGTCTCGTTATCGCCGACTGGAGCGGTTGTTGCAAGCGTACGCCCTTTAATAGATCAAGTTCATGCCAAAAGATAGGTGTTGGTGAATCTACGCGTTAATATCCAGTGAGGTATACAAGGACCCACGTTGGAAATCTTTTCCGTGTGTTGTGTGTTGGATTTGGCCAGTTGAAGCTCGGTCATGCAACATTTCTATGTAAAATTTCCATCCAATTATGTGTAAGATTCTAACATGCTGGTAGTTTATGAACTCCTAAAAGTAGAAAGATAGAGCCCATGTTGAGTAGCTACAATAATTCACAGTTTTGCCAAATTAAAAGCAAATTGGTAAATTAAGCACGAAATCATTTCTTTGTAGTTCAAAAAATCAGTGGCGGTCTGGTTAACCAAAATGACAGGGTGGGTATGGTATTATACCTCATCATATCATTAAACCGTTGAATCAACAACGTCCGCCAAAACTGATTAGCTGGTAGCTCCCCCAACCCCAACTTCACACTCACTATTCACCGTCGCATCAACCATCTTATTTAAAATAGTCCGCACCGGATCGCCACTCCGCTCTCCCGTCTGATCAGCTCCAGGGCCATGCTCAGCCGCTTTCTCTAGTGCATCAATTAATAGAAGAGCCCTCTCGCGTAGCTGTATGACGGTTTTGCGTGTATAGGCAAAGCTACCCGTACTCTCCATATAACTGACAGCATACCTCTTGACTTCTTCATCTCTAGTCTTTTGCTTCAAAATACTGATGAGCTGAAGATTATCTGGGTGGGAGCGGATGCTGTGGATTATGGGGAAAGAAAATTTGCCTTCAGTAAGATCCTCGCATAGGCCTTTGTTTTTGGTATATGTTGAGTTGGAAAGGTTGAGGTAGTCGTCGCAGATTTGGAAGATGAGGCCCATAAGGTTCGCGAGGGCGACACAATCACTGGATACTTGGATATTATTAAATGTTGATATTTATCATTGCGGTAGATAGTACTTACATTTCAGTGCCGCTCTCCGCTTGCATCAGTTTAATTGCAAGTCTGAAGAGACCACCAGTTTTATTGCCCACCATGTCCAGGTATTCCTCCTCAGTTGGGCATGTAAGAGTGTCCCTCCAGAATACATCCATGCCTTGTCCGCGGTGCAAATTCAACAACTCCTTCACATAAACATCAATCGCATTCGGATTTCTAAGCTTCTGGACCTCCCCCAAGGCCAGAAAGTAGACATAATTCGCAGAATTTATCGTTTGCGCTGTGCCAAATATATTATGAGCCACCGGAACTCCCCTGCGGAGATTTGACGAATCTTCCACGTCGTCAACACTACAGAATGCGCACATATGAGTACAACTTCCCAGCAAAAGGAAGATATCCACGGCACAAAAACACTTACAGCAGTGAAGCAGTATGCAGCATAACCACAACCTTGGTGATTATTGCAAGACTTTCCTCGGGAACGTGCAACCAACGGTTAAATGCAGCAATCAACTGCCTCCGTATATCCTTCCCCGGCTGTTGAACCATATAGTCATAAGGGCCTAGCAAAATTTTCTCCTTTTCCGGTGACCATGTACCGTCGTCATACTTGGAGCCGTCAATGCTGAATCGATTTCGAGTGTGTCCCATGGTGTGTTTGAACGGTATTGACGTTCGTCCTTTTGTCAAGGGAGCAACCCACTGTGCCTCTGGAAGCGGTTTAGAAATCGAGTTCTGGGAACCCGAGCTGTCCAGAGAGCCGCTCAGAGTAGAGTCAAAGATACCATTTGTGACCCCCGTAGAGCTTGTGCGGGGCGGGATCGGGTTAGGTGACTCCAAGGACTCAGGCATGGTGGTGAAGAAATTTGGAGAACCAGAAACTCGTAGAACAGAGCAAACGCAAACAGGCCAAGCTTGAACTTAGCTGTAGGAAAATGCAGAAGACAGTTTCCCAAGGCTCACACCGTGTTACGGACACGAAGGGCGGAAGTGGAGAGTTCGAGCTTTGGGGCGCCGAGTTGGCCACGCCTCCCACACTCGCGCCAGGAGCATGTGACAGATGGCCAAAGACTTGGATTTTGGCCGGAATAGTGTGGGAGCTTGGAGGCTATTCAAATATGCACTACTCTTGGTTGATAGACCAAGGTAGGTGATGTTGTACTGTTTGAGACGGGATCCCTTACAAGCTGAGCTCTGGTTTGTGGCCTGATAGCCGGAAGTTGGGAGTTGACCCTCCTGGGACTAGTGGCACAGTAGTTAGATGCGGCAATGCGGGCGAGACCTTTCTCGGACATCCCGCAGTAGCTTTTACTACTAACGTCAGTCTCAGCCAGAGTCTACGGTAAACATATCAATCAACAACCCATGAGGTCAAGATATTGATATATCCCTCAAAGAAAGAAGGCGTCCGATTTATGAGTAACTAACTTCCGTATGCCTTCTCTGGTTGACGACAAGGGGCTAAGTCAAGAGACATAGTTACATGCTCGCGAATCTCACTACAACTAGTTAACTGCTTGGACTCACATGATAATGCATGATGGGTGGGATAATGACTTCAATTTTAACGTGTGTAAAGCACCAGCCCACAGATTAACGAAGCAGCTTCTACGCATCATTTATCATGGTCTCCGTTAAGCCACAGCGCTAAAATCGCTCACTCCCATTATCCATATTTTGAGCCTATACGCGGTAACTCGGCAGCACAGTCTGCCTAGCATTTCCAGCCGACGTAACTAACTAATAGGCAGTGGGCCCCATGTGATGCCATTCTTTATCACTGCTTTTGTCTTCTGGTGATCTGAATCCGCAAGATACTTTTTAGACAGCACAGATGAACCTGTCATCTTCTATTTTTGGCTGAAGAGAACCCTCGCCCAATGTGTGGATGAGAGCAAGACATTTTATTGGTGCTTTTAGCTGTTCTCTACATATATACATAATGCCATTTGACAGATCGATTCTTTGGTTCCTATGGACCCACTGTACGTACATGGGAGAGCTCCGTTCTCCGGGTCGGTGGAATGAAGCTGGCCTGGGGGCTACTTCAGTTATCCACAAACCTTTTACTTCAAGAATATACCCCCCGGAATTAATGTCATCGGTGGATGTCTCTTCCAAGGTTCCAAAATATATGACAGGACCGCATGCGCGATATCCAGTGCTTGAATTTTTTCGGAAGATAAGAATCGACTCTTACCTCCAAGTGCACACACATGGAACCGCTACCACAACTGCGACTGAGTGAAAGAGATCATATATGGTGCCTAATAGGAAAGGGGGGAAGAGTTGCGAGGAATGGAGTAATATAAAAAATGCCGGAATTGCTGAAGAGCAAGATAATGCATTAAGTCAGAAGCTAGCTATTGAGTGAGCATTATTTGTGTCATGGTCATGTGCCGGCGGAGCAGGGCGGCCCCGCAGGGAGGAATTCCAACAGAAATGCTGAATCGTAAAAAGATTCACACTGCTAGCTCTGGTGCTGGGGGAATGCTGCATCCGCTTCCTTCTTACCCCCTGGAACTCGGCTCTGGCATATGGGAAGGGTGGAGCTCAAACAACCAAACTTGTCAGGTTGTACGCCAAATGAGATTTTTTACTACGCGACCACCGGGAAGGCTATTCATCAGACCTACCTATATTATCTGGGATTTATTTTTTTAATTTTTTAATTTTTTTTAATTTTTTTTTTACATATTTCATTATTATTATTGTTATTATTTTTTAAAGAATGATGCTGCCTGGGTTGCGTGGGCAGCCTGGACAAAAGGGGGAGTCAGTTTGAAGTTGTCCGGCTTGATTTGTTCAAACATTGCAAACAGAAGGGTTTTAGGGTCCGTAGTCGGCTTTGCCATTGGAAACAAACTCCTTGGGGCACTATGCAGTGGGTGGTATGTTTGAAACAATGACAGTCTGACTGGCATTGGCCGATATGGGCATGCAAATTGATGTGTCTGGCAAAGTGAAGCAATCTCATGTGCCTTGATATCCTAGAAAGGGATAACTAGCTATTAATCAAGCCACTGAGGATAAACTTGGGCTGATTTGAATAATAGGGACATAATTATCTCTTTTTGAATCTCTATTTATCTTGAAATCCCCGGTTCCCATAACTATATCCAACTTTCAGTTTTAACATACGAAGAAATACACAATCAGGGAGGTATTAAGGCTGTTGACCTCTTCACTCTTCTTCCTCTCTATTAATGGAACTACAATATACCAAAAGCTTTTCTACAAAACATCAGGTGGAGAGCTGAACCATTGCTCTTGTCATTCATTAGTATCTTTGCTTGCTCAACATTAAATCAGCAAAAGAAGAAACGAAGTCAAAGTGAAAAAGATTTTATTGTACTAGCACGGCTTTGTTCTTCCCCCTATTAATGCTTCCGACTACCTTTCCATTTCCAACCAAAACAGCAAAAAAATACATACTCATATACTTCCAAATTCTATTTCAATGCCATCTGGAGTCATGAGGCGTCCCTTATCCCTATCCTTCTTAGTTTTGAACTAGCATTTCCATAAAACCATCACCCTTATGTACGTACTACACTCCCTCCCCACAAATATGACTCCTAGACAGTTTCCGCAACAGCAACACCAGTCTCACGCGCAGCAGTCTTCTGCCTACTTTCGATATCCGAGGCAAAATCCATATGGTACAATTCAGGACACACGGCATTCTTGCGCATGAAGATATACCTGCGGACAAACCATGGTAGAACAGTAAAGAGCTGGTATGACGCATGGGTACGCGTCGGCACAGCAAAGACGTAATCCAATTCTTCCAGCGTTCTCTGCTTGGTTTCGGGCATGAAGAGGAATATTAAAATTAGGGCCACAATGTTAAGCCCAGCGTAGAAACCGAAAGCTCCCTGGGGCTGAAGCGCGCGCAGCAGACGGCGAAATGTGAGAGCCAGAACAGCGGCTAGTTTTATTCGTTAGCTTAGTTCACCTGGAATCTCTATATACTTTTCTAGTTTAATACTTACCCCAGAAGTTATTAGTGGCGACAGCCCAGCTCATTCCCATCTCACGATGAGAGAGAGGGAAGACTTCTGCCGAGTAGGTGAAGGGCACTGGGCCTTCACCTGGAGAATAGAAAGCACAGAATAGGTAGACGAAGAAGGCGATGAGGCCGATATGGGCGTCGCTTTCCTTTGGAATGTAGAAACACATTCCGGCTGCCAGGAGAGTCCAGAACATCTGTGGGAAGGTGAAAATCAGCAAGCCACGACGTCCAAAAGTGTCGATGGTCCAGACAGCCGGCCAGGCAAAAACAAAGTTAACGATGCCAAATCCGAACGATGCAAGGAGGGCCTTGATGTTGCTAGCGCCAGCTTGGATAAATATTGTAGTCGAGTAGAAGGAAATAATATTTACTACAGTCAAGGGTAATTCAACCATTAGCATCTGCAGAAAAAGAGGCATACAGAACGATGTAGACGGAGATGGAGGGACAGATTTGGATCACGTGATCCGTGCTTTTAAGGGAGTGTATCATTTTCAACTTCCATGGCCAATGACTTACTTCCGCACATTTGCTGTGCAATCATTACGATTCCTAGAATAAAGAAGTTAGCACAAGGCATATATAACCTCCAATATGGAAGAGCGAAATTGTAACGAAATGCATTACCAGAAGCTTGTGTCGCACGCCGAACACGCGGAATGGTGAACAGTTCAATGAACCGGGTAATGAAATTGTTAGTTTTCGCAAGACCAGTTTCCTCCAATAGGACTTGCTCCTGAATTAGCTGGGCATGGATATAGTATAGATCTCTCGCGGCCTGGAGCGGTGTGTTGCGAAGCCGGAGCAATGAACTATAAGCCTTCTTGTAGTTTTTCTTCTTCAAAAGCCAGCGCGGTGATTCTGGGCAGAAATAAATGCCGATAACCAGCGGAACGGCTGGGATAAAGGCGGATCCCAGCTGCAAGCGCCATGTGATGGCACCAGCGTGGACGACAGCAAGATTGGCGCTGGTACCCAGCAGAATACCGAAAGCTGTCCAGACTTGCCAAGACATAACCAAACCGCCTCGTACATTGGCTGGGGTATTTTCCGCTGAAAAAACAGGAACGGTGACCTCCTTCAAGCCCATACCAATTCCTAACAAAATGCGACAGGCAGCAAGCTGTCCCCACTTTTGTGTCACAGCAGATCCAATGGGAGCTAGCAAACTGAAGATGGCTGCTATGAAGATGGTCCCTCGACGACCCAGAAGTTCGTTGATCGGGTCACTTAACCAACCAGCGCTGTTCGGGGACAAAGATATTAATAAAGGAGTTAGGCAACCTTGAGAGGTACCTAGCTAGGGGAGAACTGGGGATGACAGCTTACAAGATGGCAATGGAGATGTACGGGACAGAATTTACAAATCCGACAATCCATGAATTTCTGTCGCACACTGCTGCATTGGCTGCATTAATTTCGCACCAGGGACCACTATCTTGGATCCCAAAGTCTATTGGGAAAGAAACATTTGCACCGTTGGATCCTGAAGGGTAATGAGGTCAGCAATAACTCTCACTGTATATACGCCAGGGCAGTTATCCTACCTGTCTGGTCCCATCCTTGAATAGCTGCGGCAATGGAGTTAAGAATGATAGTGTAGTAGAGTGCCCAAGGCAGCCTCCATCGGTGGAGAACTTCGTTTCGCAAGGTTTCTTTGTCTGCCTCGTCCAATTCCTCAAGGCTCTCGAAGTCACGAGGGCTCTTGGCGACCAGTGCACCCTTCTTGATATGTGGAAGAATATCCATCAGATCGTTCTGAGCCGCGAAGTTCTCGACATCTTCTAAAAGCTTATCCTTCGGTATATCGGTAAGGGGATTTTTGATTCTTAGGAAGAAAATTCATGAGCTCAGCATCTCAGAGCCAATTGTGTAGGTTGACATAAGAGTAGCCAAAATACTCACTCTCCTTCCACATTGTCAGTCATCGCAACAACGCTTTTCTTGCGGACGGCCGGGTCATCAAAGACCGACGCGCGCCTTTCGCCATCCAAGACGTGCCTGGACAAAACATAAACACCAATGGTCAGTCAATAGTGGCAGATATATGAGGGCTGTGAAAAGCTACACATACACTGCACCTCCTTCCTTCGACATGGCTGGGCTGAAGGGAAATGAATCGACAAAGACAAAGCAAATGAGCAGGCCACTTCTGGATGGGCAAATCGATGCAAACGAGAATGTCGATACTTTGAGAGGGACATCGTCAGTATAAATATAGACCGTATTAAACCTTCCACGAAGCCCGCCGATCAGCCCCTAAGCTGTACCACCCTGCTTCCTTCCTGCGACGAAAGGAGCTAATTTGTTCCGTTCTGGGCAGTGAAAATCATAATCGGTAGCTCCTGGCTTAACTCTTCAGGGAAAAGTCCGTTTTGCAAACACGGGGGGAGGTGCGAGGGCTGGTCCGCGGGGGGGTGGGGATTGTATCTGCGTGCATGGGCAGCGGTCATTTTGGTTTCAGAGTCAACCCTAGGAATTCAACAGCTACATAATTATCATCGGCTGAGGCTTGATTCTCTGGCTGTTTGCGAGGTAGATTTTAGTATTTGGTCCAAGGAATTAGCTCCCATAATTAGGAGCTTCAACGCTCGAATTGCCGCCCTAGGCTAGGCTGAAAGCCTAATTATTTTGGGTGAATTTTTAACCTGAGGGACTTAAACAAACCCCGCAATACTAGTGAATTGAGGCCAGTGGTGCTGGGAAATGTTCATGTCCCTAGGTACCGCGAATGTGTAAATGATGGCTCTCAGTGATATCTCACAGATACGCACCTCTTCGGGGTATATTTGGCTAGGTTGATCGTGAATATGGCTGTCACTCATCTAATGATAACGGGAGTTGTTAAACTCCGCCGTAGGATGATGGGGGGAATGATGTGCAAAGTTGCGCCGTTCCTTGTTCATATTTGTCCAGAAACTTTTTGCAACGGTGGTTGCTTGCTTGTGCACGGAATTAAAGAGGATGATGCACCCCAAATTCTGACCCGAAGGAATCGCATGTCGATATCATTTTAAGAGCATCGTCTTTTCAGCTGTCATAGACGGGGCCCACAACTAACTAACTACCAGAAGGATACTTTAACCGACCAGATAAATGGTCATTTCACCAAATCGCGAATTAAACATCCAGTGTAAAGGGAGCCTTTTCAAGATTTCTCACTCAAGATAGTCAATCAAGCGCTTCGAGGTATTCGAGAAGAAAGTCACAGGTGGAGGAGTTTCTGAAACGGGCAAAATTAACAGATTGTCCTGACCAATCAGCTGGAGGGTCAACTATCCCAGAGATCAGAATCGTTCACAAGAACGTTAACAAGCCTTCTATAACAGGGTCACACAGTGCAACCGCTCGATATCCCTCAAATCTGCCCTACGAGGTCAAACCCAAGCATGGTGGCTGACTTGGCCCGCCACATGCCAAGCATGGGCTTCAAACTTCAAAGGCAGTTTGGACAGGATGCATCAGCCTGCATAACTTCCAGGGATCGAAGCACGGAAACCTGGAGGAGAGGATTTTTCTCTCACGGGATAAATATCGGGTCTGTTTACTGCAGATATTTTCCGATGAAGAGTGCAGTTTCAGGTAGAGCAACTACTATAATTTTTCTCGTCCATAATATTTGATTCTATTTGTGTTAACAGATGGTTAAATACCTCCACCACGTGTGTGGAGTAGGCTCGATTATGCCTCAACGGGCACACTCCTCGAAAACGAACCCCCAGTTTATGCTCTGTTGCTTAACGGGGATCTGGCAGCGAGGAATGTGTTGGCTCGACGCTGGCAGTGCGCAGGCTGGTTAACTAACTAACTCCTTCTATGGCAAATGTCGCCGAACATCCTGCTAACTATGTAGCTACTAACGACTTGATGAACCGCATTCCCTCTTTTTCGCTCTACAAGAATCTGAACACGGCAACTGATCAGCAGACAAAAAGCAGGGATTCTTCCAGGGCCCGCTGTAATCGGGAATGAGAAGTCTGAAGAAAGTTTCTCTTTCATGTAAGATTAAGTGAAAGTTTGACAAAGGAAAGTCGCTCATTGTTATTCATCCTCAAATTGTCAAGACCCCTCCCAAATTTCCATTTTGAGGATGGATTGTTCTGCTTGTGACAGATCTGTGGGGCTGACGGCCTAATACTCCTCACTTTCAAAACTTGGTATGTTAATCCATGCAAACCGGGCAGAAGTTTTGTTAGTCACTGATGGATGGCAGAATCATTGCTTCCCTGGGACATTCTGTGCAAATCACTCTTGGTCCTGTTGCCGATGTATGTACATATCTAGGACATACATACCTAATAGCAAAAGACCGGCACAATGAAATAGTCACTGGGGAAATAACCATCCCCACTTCCGTGGGCATATTCCATCTGAAAAGCCCAAGTAGAGCACAAGCAGCCACTTGCTCTGCTGAATTTAATTGAACAAGTTCTCAATGGCTTTTCTCTTCCCCGTTGCCAGTCTGAAATAAAAAGTACAGACATATATGCAAGGCTACCAACCTTGTCGGATGCACCGCATGTCGAGTTGGAGTTCATTTATAGAGAGTTGGCGATCTCCGATCATCTCTTGGGGCGGATCTGACCAAGCGCAACCCTTCACGATGGCTCAAACTCGGCTAAAGATCTGTCTCAGTGGTTGTAGAGATGGGTGGGCAATTTAATTGCTGCACACCATAAACTAGATGTCATGAGTTTTCCAGATGGCTGGCTAACGGATGATACGCAGGTTTGAGATTCATTGCTAAAATAATAGAAAAGAAAAAGAGAAAAAGAAAAGAAAGAAAGAAAGAGAGAAAACAATACACCTTCTGGAGCAAGGTTCCTTTAGTTAAGTCCTCAGATTTATTTAACGCGGTGGAAAATGAGACGTCATTCAAGTCTTCAGTTTGCAGCCTGGGGGTCAAGTTATCCATTTCTCGGTCCTTTTTTTGGTCCGTCGTTGTTATCTCATCTCGCACGATGCCGTGTATCGCTATATTTCGGAATTCATTTCATATTAGTCGCTAATATCTCCTCAAGACGGAAACAAAGAGGGCTATGCTTTTGCTCCTTGATATACATTCGTTTCACATTCAGGACAGCAACCCATTATGGCTAGATCAACACGTACGTCAAAAATTTCTCCTTCCCTTTCTCACTTTTTGCGGAACTTAACTCCAGTGTTCAAATTTCTTGTTCCATAAAGAGAAGTATACAATTTGATTTTTTTCTCCACAGTTTTTTGCCTTCAGCCCTTTCTAATTCCCCCGGATTTCACCTAACCCGTCAACGTTCCTGGGGAGAAGGTTTTTATGACAGTCATGTGCTGGTTTTCCGGATAGAAAAGACAGCGGTGACGAAGCCGGCAAGCGTGAAGTTAAAGCCAAACGACAACCTCAACAGCAATCTTGGATGCTAAACGTAGATTAATAGAACAACGTGGAGCTGAAACTTGAATTGGGATAGATTCGGAGCATTTTTACCAATTAGATGCCATGCAGTTCAATTCCTTAAAACTACCCTACCCGGTTATATTGTTTTTCACTATGAACTGGTATTTAGAACATGTTATCAAGTTCCACACTCATGTCCAGAATTTGGCAACAGCGTTGCCTTCGATATAACCCTGACATCTAAATGTAATTCTTTTCTGAAACGTTCTGGTCGTTTGCGTTCGGTTGACCAGATGAACCGTCGGACGGGCGAAGAAAAGTTTTGCGAATTTTGCTTCGCTGGGAGATCAACGAATTCCTTGCAATTCATAGAGAATCCTCATACAACGCAGGGCATCATGGATAGCTTGGTCAGTTGCAGTCAGTCCAAGCACAGAGTTAGAATGCACTAGAGCAGATCAGGTTTAAGGGGGCTGGTCAATCTTATCTGATAAGATCTAGAACGCCTTGGTCGTGCTGCTTACTCATCACATCTGCTAATTAAGCTTAGTTGCCCGGCCAACCACTGCCAGTCCTTGTTTATTATCCTCAGATTGGCCGTCGATATCGAGAATCCACATCGCTCCGCCCAGCTCCATCGGGTCTCAAGTCAGCTGGACTATTTGCTAGATTATGCTCAGCTGGGACTCAACAAGCCTCTGTATTTTCCAACATATCCCAGCCGAGAAAAAATAAAAAAAATAGTTATTGCTTTGTTCTGACGAAGGATCTCTCCCCTTTGTCCCCTTGCAATATTTGAGACGTCTGGGAACCCCTTCGTTCAACAAGACAAAGAGCATTGTAAATTGCGGCCAACCCGCCAATCTCCTCGATGGAGACCCTCTTGGCCCACTCCTTTGACTATCTGTCATCTTACGATCAAGGAAAAATCCGCAAGGGACTGCGACAAGTCGAAGGGCTGCTGGCACAAATATGTCTGTCGAGATCGAAAGTCGTGGCTGCTGACAAACGTCGATCAGCGCTCCCATTGAATGTAAATCCAACACCCGCGAAACCTCTCAGTGAATTGAGCGATGACCCTGCTTTCAGAGAGTTCTTCAAGCTCCAAGAAGGCTTCCAATGGAATGGTAATAGCAAGACAACCCCCGATGACAATCCAATCCCAATCGCGAAAAGATCCAACAGCTAACACAACAATCGCAAACAATCCTTAGTCGCCATGCGCCTGATCTCTTGTCTTGAGCACCTTCTCGGCCGCGGTAGCAACGGCACAAATGACCTCCTCATAATCTCAACCCTAGATCTAATCCAAGGCACCCTCCTCCTCCATCCGCCATCCCGCTCCCTCTTCGCACGTGAAATATACATGAACCTCCTCCTCGACCTGCTCGAACCCGCCAACTGCCCCGCCATCCAATCCTCCACCCTACTCACACTCGTAACAGCCCTCCTCGACAACCCAGCCAATACCCGCACCTTCGAAGCCCTCGACGGCCTCCTGACAATAACCTCACTCTTCAAGATGCGCACTACATCGCGCGAAGTAAAGCTCAAGCTTGTCGAATTCTTATATTTCTATCTCATGCCGGAAACTCCTTCGATACCCTCTGCAGCTTCGGCCAGTGCGCCGAATACGGCTGTTCTCGGGCTTCAGCGGAGCCCGAGTAGGCTTGCTGGAGCTTTTTCCCGGAGTGTTCAGAGCATGGGGGATGCGGTGATGGATGGGCGAGGTGATACGAAGACGACAGAGGAGAAACAGGCGCTGTTGGGGAGGTATCTGAATAATGTGGAAGATTTGGTTGAGGATTTAAAGGAGACGGCGCCGTTTGGAGGGACGGTTTATTGATTTCGTTTCATGTTCTTCTAACTCTTGGTTCCTCTACCTTTTTGGAAATCGCTATGCCCTGTAAGGCATGTATGGAGCAAATTTCTTTTACATTTTAACCTGCCTTCCAAATTTTTCTTTTCTCTCTTTTCATATGTTTGGCTAGCTTTTTCTGTATCCCCATTCCACTGGCTTATTCCCTGCTACGGAGGCGATGTTTCCCCGCAACCTGTATGGCGTTCAAGGCGCATTAAGGCTCACAAACTTCCTTCATCTATTGATATGCAGAGCCTTTTAGAAGTCGAATATTCAACGTAAAATTGTCGACTGTATGTATTATTATTTCTGTTATCTGCACAATTACGCGCTTTTTCTTTCTAAACACACACAACCCTTTTGAAGTAATAATGAAATCGAAAATGACAATTTAGCTGCTCGCTGCTGTTCTTGCCAGCCTATTTATTAACTGTCGATCAGAATATTCTAGCCATCGTCGAAAACCTTGCTCCACACGTAGTGGATACAACATCCTGGGTTTTATGGGTGACATCTTTCATGACACATGATATTGTCGGATCCACCTGTCAATCGCTCAACCTGCTCTTGAAATATTTATCGCAGAGAGCGCTGAATCTTAAGCTCTGTGCCCCAGTTTATACACTAAAATGTGGGGTAGTTAAAATGGACCAAAAAAAAAAAAAGGAAAAGAAAAAGAAAAACATGTAAAGTTTGAATTGTGAGTATTTATGACTCAAAACCGCACCCTGCCATGATGATGACTTGAGAGTTAGATGCAAGCTTCATTCCTTCAGGTCTATTGTAAGTGTAGGAGATAATAATAATAAACACCATACAACAATTCCAAACTCATTCCTCTTCAATTCACCATTAGCAAACATCCACGCGCATACGTGAATAAGTAAGTATTTTAGCCTTGGTTAAGTTCAAAGAGACTGACATTTTTTTTTTTTAAAAAAAAAAAAAAAAAAAAAAAAACTCAACACACTCGAGATGGCTGGGAATCCGACCCCCTACGCGTCATCACCAACATCAACAGCGGGTGTCAGAGAGATTAAATATATGGACACAATTGATGCGTATGACCAGTGGGCTCAGGCGAGTGTTTTCTATTTAGTATTCTTTTTTTTTTGTGTGTGGTTTTGGCTTGGATAGCTGCCATGTCGTTAGGCACACTCCCGTTCCATTTCAAATTCATAATCAGGGGCAAGGGGAGAGAAATGGGAGTGTATCCGCGTAGCTCCAAAGCGCCAATATCCACCAGGCTATATCTACTCTATGGACACCACCGCACTGAAATATGAATATCTATGAAATCTCATATTACAGAGTCATGTATATGCATACAACTCCTAGCACTTGAAAATTTCTTTTTTATCTATTTCCGCAACAAAACCCAAAGGGGGGGGAGATAAAAACCTTAACAACACTTAAAAACCCAGCTAACCAGCTCTTCCCCTTACACAGGTCTACGACACGGATGGAAACTTCCTCCAGGCCCTCGACACGCTTCAAATGCAATCGTTGCTTCCTAAATTTATCTCCCTCCTCCCCAAAATCAACCCCAATACCACAACCAGCGCGCCCAAACTCATCGACCTTGGCTGTGGCACGGGGAGGAACACGATCCCGCTCCTCCGCGCCGCCCCCACCGATGCAACAATCATCGGCCTGGAACCATCGAGTAAAATGCTCCAGATTGCTCAGGACAAGGTATCTGCATATATTGCCAGAGCTGCTGAGATTCCACCGGCAGGTGTAGTAGATAAGCAACGTGATACGGGCCCAGAAGACGAGGGGCGAGTAAGTTTTCAGATATTTAACCTGCTCGACTTTAACTGTGCTGCGGAAGGAGCGGGAGGAGTGACAGGCCTGGCAGATTCAGATGGGGTTATATCCACACTTGTCATCGAGCATGTGCCTGTAGATAAATTCTTCAGAGCGGCAGCGGGTATGTTGAAACGGGGTGGGGTGTTGCTAGTCACGAATATGCATTCGGAGATGGGCCGGATTAGTCAGGCGGGATTTGTAGATCCAGTGACCGGGGTGAAGATTCGTCCGACAAGTTTTGCGCATACGGTTGCGGAGATAGTTGAGGCGGCGGAGAAGGTTGGGTTTGAAGTTTTGGGGGATATAAAGGAGGTGAGGGTTAATGAGGAGTTGGCGGGGAGGTTGGGGCCCAGGGCGCAGAAGTGGATTGACGTGCAGGTGTGGTGTGGGGGATGTTTTAGGAAGAGGTGAAAGGGTTTTGATTTTCGGAGTGGGCTTGAGGAGCAGTTGGGAGGGAAGGGGGGAATGAGAAAATAGACACCGGATTTCACCGGTGTTCTCTTTTCTCACCAGATGGCAGGTATTTCACATGCGATGTGAATGAGAGCAAGCATATTTGTATACAAGCCATAGCTCAAAGAGATTGGTTATAATGGCTTAAAAGTATGCTTCCAGTAACCGCTGCCGATGTTGTACAAGGTTTGGACATTTTCTGAGGTATCGTCCCAGAGGATTATGTTTCCAACCCAGTTGCTCATCTAGTAATAAATGAGTATAAGCGAATACGCTAGCATCAAATAGTCCGGGTTCAAGATTTCCAAAAAAGTGGTAATCTTCTCCTAATAAAGTAGATAGTGCTTGGAACGCGCTTTTGGCTTCCGCTTCGAGATCGTCCACGTCTACAAATGAGGATGATTTGAGGAGTTCGTCTCGTGCAGCTTGCTGAAGCTGGTGGGCTAACATAGCTCGAACAATGGTGTTTGAGGTCGACGGATCAATATACAGTTTTCGCCCGATGTTATTAAAGTTTTGGTTGTCTATGTAAAAGGTGTACATCTATATGAGATGAAGGTTATGGTTAACTGGGTGTTCGAATGGCATTGGAAAGATTTGGAACAGTGGGAGGGCGAGAAGTTTCATACCCAGGCATTTCGTACTCTGTGGTCTAGAAGAGACATGTACACGTCAAATCGCGAACTTAGCTGCGGGTCATCCTTGACATGGGTTTGTTCAAGAGCCCACTTTTGGATCTTGTTCGAAGGAACTGGAAGCGGTGGATCACCGGAAGTGGCAGCGGAAGACAGCGCTGGGAGAAGGAATGGAAGAGAACCAGTTGGTGATGCGTGGTTATTAGACGCAACCGTCTCGAATGGAATACCAACGAACTTGAGGTACGCCTGGCAAAGTCCCGCAGAGTGTATTGTCAGTCCAAGGTTAGCCTGGACACAGACACACGGGACAACTAGGGGGCTTGACTTACCTGCCACTTTAAACACTGCGGGTTGAATGATGGAGCTCCCGGTCGCGCCCCCTTAGTTGTAGTAAAGACGAATAGAGAGTTCTTATCTGATTGACGTGGAATGCGTTGGGGCAGTTCCGTTGGAGGATAGGTTCTCAAGGGGAACTTATCGAAGACACATTTGATTGGAGCGGGCACGGATGGAAATCGGGTGGCAAAGCCGGGTACAGATTGGTGGGCTTGCGACCTAGCTGCAGCGTCATCCTCCGGCATGGCTGAAGTGCATTGGGATAGAGAGAGAACGGTTGGGAGTCTCGACGGAGCGCCGTACTGACAAGCAATGAAACCGGATGGTATGTCAAACATCAGTTAGTAAACTAGCTATTTTATTTAGTTTATTTTTCATTTTACTTTATTTTTATTTTATACTTTTTTCTGCACTGCAGCTTACCTCAGCCGTCAACCCTAACGTAGTAAGTTGGTTAAACCTTAGTTAGTTAGTCAGTTAGTTAGTTAAACCAACCCACCCTAACTTGGTTTAACTAGTTAGTTAACCTTAACTAGTTAGTAGGGTAGTTACCTAAGCCGCCGGCGGGTGGAAGATCGAACCATGGAAAGCGGCCTGCCGCAGTCAAGCCGAAGCTTGCATCGAAAATGGGGGTCGTCGCCCACGTGATTGGCAGCTTTGGAGCCCGACGAGTCGCCGATAAAAAAAGGGCAGCGCTAACCAGATCTGGTGTCCAGGGTAGGCAGCACCCGCCGGATTGGGAACACTCGCTTCTGCCAGGGTGCGTGCTTGGAACAACCGTCATCGGGGCTTTTGCCAGGACGGCTTTTCACTCCCAGATCTCTCTCCCCCGACGGTTTGCGCCACATCTGCTGCCCACATCTTGCTGCCCATACAAGTATCTCTCTATCTGCTCCCTGGTTTGCTACATCTCCTGTCCGCCCGATTGCATCTTGCTGGCTCGTATCATATGGGGAGTCCGTCCACCGATACAGGGGTTACTGTCCACAACCCTATATATTTCGAAAGTTAGCCGTTAGCATTTGTTGCCTCCTGTTAACGTCTGCCAACTCGACTGGACGACACGTGAAGGGGGAAGAAGCAAATATAGCGCTTATCCTCGATACAACACACTGCCCTGGCTGGTCCCAGCAGTAGCGCGGTTTTGGTGGGGCTGCTGAGGAACGACTCTTTCCGCTGCTCAGTCTATCACCGAGTATTTCTACCTTTGAGATAACTATTTCATTGCTGCAGAAAGCCGGTTGTCAAGGTTGTAGAAAGACCAGAGATATATTTTGGGGAAAGCAGTACAGCCAGCGTTGTCAAGAGCAGCGGTGCCCTTAATGCCTCTAGATGAAGAGGGAGCAAAATGGTCGTGGTATGTTTCTCGCCCTATTCTGTGTCCGTATTCGATTCATTATCAGCAACATGAACAACCATTTGACTCACAAGGAAATTGCTTATCTAGTGAGCCCTGCGTTCGTGGCCACCGATCTTCAAAATGTCAACATTTCGATCGCCTCATGATGAAGGTGCCAAAGGCTGGACGGCCGCTCGCCAAATGCCCCCATCCGAAAGGCACATGTAGCTGCCAGAAGTTGTACGCCTTCATGGTCCGAATTCCCAAGGGTAAGGCTGAGAAGGAGTCTTGGGTTTTCGTTGCTCTAGCAGCTCTAACTCTTGTGAACAGGGTCGAGTTGTTTATGCCGACCACTCTATCAGGTCCCTATGGTCGTAACAGAGTCCGGGACATCAGTAAAACCGGTGGCCAGTCTTCCTGCTGCATCAGCTTCCTCCATCGCCAACACGAACCGTATCCAAAAACGTTCAAGTCGCCGAAGTAGCCTTCAAACTGCCCCGGAATTGGTTGCGAAAGTTGTGGACGAAATGGAGACCGCGTCTAACGACAATAAAGTGTCCAGCTCCCCTGCACGGAACGTTCGATGCTCTCACAAAACTGAACGGTATTTCCTGCCTCCTCGAACGTCGGCTGATTGTTCCAACGGCCAATCGCCAAACGGCGGTCTCCACCTCCCGGATTTACTTCCAACCCAGCCTCAAGCCCAGGGGTCTGTCTTGGAACCTCCATCCACCAACGACGGTTGCTGTGCTTCTAGAAAACCAATGGAGCCTTCCTCTCAGCCGTCCCGTTCGTGCTGTTCTACAAATAGCCCAAAATCAGAAGAGTTTAATGCAACTGTTGGGGAGTTCAAGCAAGAAGACGGCGCCAGATCTTCTCAACAGCCCAACCCTCATCAATCTGCACAAACTATTCCACCAGATCGCAACTGGGAACATGGATCATTTCTAACACCGGATCTTTCTGTACAGACTCAAGAGCAACATAATATTGTACCACATTTTCCAAATAGGAATTCGATTCCTCACTTCCAGATGCGTGGGTCATCATCCACCCCCGTAACGGGTTATCCCTCTCCGAATGCTGTGTCTCAATATCAACCAATCCACCACCCGCAAAGCCCGTTTTCCTCTTCGAATATACCCGCTGTTGCTTTTCATTCCCCCCGACTTCCAAACGACTCTCAGTTACACAACTGTGTCTGTGGGGATGATTGTCAATGTTTGGGTTGTGCCTCTCACCCTTTCAACAAAACCACACGAGAGCATGTACAGCAAATGGGTTACCTGTTGAATTTTGCAGATGACGATCAGCAGTCTGAACGAAGTGACAATAATGCCAACAAGCCATCCTTTGACGGCCCACCAGTGCCTGCAGAGTTCGAATATCACAATTGGTCACCAAGTAGCCTTCCATTTCAGAATTCTCATCAGCTACCTTGGAATGGCCCACACACAAGACCCACTCTTAACGGCTCCGGATCATCCCCATCTGGTGGCCCCACTGTCTATAACTCAAACCGTGGTGAAATGATGATGCAACCTGCCGCCTATTACGAGCTGGAATACCCCGCCGATTATCTGGATCCATGCACCAACATGACAGGAACCTGTCAATGTGGCATTAACTGTAGCTGCGTTGGCTGCTTAACCCACAGCGGGCACGATGGCGTTCAACTTGAGCTCTCCCCTCCTCCGGATACTACCCTAGAAGGAGCAGTTACCGACACTGCAAAGTCCGTGCCGCCGTCCACACCGTATTCTCCTAGTCAACTGAACGGTGACATCAACTCCTACCTCAATCATGAAGATTTGGCGATCCCAATTCAAAACTCAGCACCCAGATCTCCTCTCCCTGCTTAACAGGTGTAGTGTGTTCCGTGTGTCGATTCCATCCGTCGGCCTCTGTTTTATTATATATTTTTTGGGACGCCACTTTCCATTACTATTGCTGTTTCATTTTCCCTTCATTTCGTCAAGAAATTAAGCCACACGCCATATTACGATGTCAATGATACCCCCATACAACGCATATAGAGAAGGCCACCTATTCACAAAAGTTTCGTCGTTGTATTTGTCCCCCCCCCTCCTTTTTTCTTTTTTCTTCTTTCGCTGTACACCTCTGTTGTAGCCTTGGCTCTATTTATCATTACTTCAACAGTGGCAAATTTCACTAGACGGATATATGAGAACCACGCCACGAGACCACTTCATGGCTTTATGGCACTTCTATTCTTTTTAACCTCTGTACAGTCTGGTCAGTGGTCAGTCCCTAGTATTACACTGCATATATATACATCTGCTTTCCGCTTGAGTTTTGCTCCTTGTGCATCATCGTCACCATTGCCAGGGGTGTAAGGGCCTTTTCAACGGGGGCATCTCTATTCTTGAGATTAAAGAGGGCTAACTGTTAAATTACTATGCCTATTTCAAAGAGATTCTTATAAACACATGGCAACATTGAATAGCCTCTAGTATCCTGCCGAAACAATCAACCCTAACATCAACATTAGACTATAAAACTCTATGACAAATATGACAGAATGTTTCTCATACATGAGTAAATACCTGGGCATGATAATCATACAATAAAAAGAAGTTCTAGCACGCACAGCTTGGCCTTGGACCTCCGATAGAAAAGTAGGAAAATAAGGACGATGGACAACAAACGGGATGAAAAATTGAAAAGACAAAGAAAATTGGCAGAACTTATTCCCGCCCTCTATATAGATTTGTCTATTTTTCTTTTTTTTTATTTGTATTTTCTTTATTAATATGGGGTGTAGGGAATTGCGCAAAGTTTAAAAATGTAGGTACATTAACCTTCCGTTCCGTGTGGGATTTTTTCCATTTTATACAAGTCGGGTGCCTAAGTGTTCACATCACAATCTTTTGCTATATTTTGGGAATACATACACCCACTTCTCTCCTATTTTCCTTGCTTTCAGCCCCCCTCACTTTTCTTCCCCCTCTCGTTCCGTCTCGTCTTCACGATTTCGTTTGACGGAATGCGTTTGTGTTGTAGAATGATTGGTCGCCTCGTCGGAATGATGCTGTGTTTGTTGTAGGAGGAGGTGGGGGTTAGCCTGGTTTCATTTCTTTTCATCATCCTTTTATTTTCCCTTTCCGGGTAGGAGGAATTAGGTGAGGCGAAAGGAAGTCCGGGCGGAAGTTCATATATGTCTCTTTCATCCCGCAGAGCAGCTGCGACAGGGGGGATTGGGGGGTAGATGTCGGGGCTGCGAGAGAGGTCTCGGGGATATTTTTATTTACCATCTGCTTCTTCCCAGGCTCGTCCAGCACCGAAACCTAACCCAATCCATGCGGGCCATGCTCTCCGTTTAAATAAAAGAACTGAGAAGATGACACCGAACGAGACACCGAGGGTGGAGCGGATGATCATGGAGGATATGGCGCGGTCCCACTATTTGTCCATGCTCATGGTTTTGAGCTTTAATATTAGCCATTGAGAAGTGTAATTGGTATAAAGGTTGTCGTCGGGTATTTATCCGCATCCGCACCTTGTCGTTCAACAGAGCCTCGCTGAGCGGCTTGGTCGATTGTGGCACCACGGGTTTGGATTCGTCGGAGTCCGCCATGGTGTCTGGGAGGGAGAAGCTGAGGGGACGTTTGTTAGTATATATAACCTGCAAGTTGCAATTTGGGGGGGGGGCTAATGTAGTTTACTTGTGTGAATGTGCGGAGGCAATTGGGCGGCGGGCGCAAAAGGTGTTGCTGAACGGCCTGTTGCGGGTGTATCTCCTCAGTTTATTCTGTTTATATCTTTCCTGGTCGGATTAATTCAGGCTCGGGTCGGAATCGGAAAAACGTAGTTAGTTGATTAAATAATTCGGCAAGCCTGCACGGGCCACTTTACCTTCACTTCGCGGGATAAAAAAATAGCTGATAGAGGGTTGGAATATGTTAATGTAAACCATACAACGCTACGCTCCGAGTGGCATTGCGCTTTTGCTATGGCTCCAACTCTAGAGGTGAGTGATTCTCCGGTTGAACAGTTTTATTCTCAATTTGTTCCTTATGGAGAGAAGAGATGCTGACGTTTAGCCTGCTACTCATGAAGTCTCCCGGTTCCGCCCATCGAACTCTGCTAGAGCTTGAGAAAGGGACCAGTGGCCCCACAAGCCAACTGCTGGAAGCTGCGCGGGTAATTGGGGTGGATTTATTTTCTCCATGCGATACAAGGGCCGCGGACAACAGAGGCACTCCAGCTGCTGGTGCGCAGGCCAAGAAGCAGAAAACCTCCGCGCCGAAGGAGGAATGGGTCCTGCGATGGCTTATGAAACAATTGCGAGCTTCCGCACAACAAGGGCAGCCACAGTCGAGCTATAGACTAGATGTGAAAACGTGGATCCTTCTTCGACTGCTCTTTGATCGTATCCCCGTGAAAACATTAGCGTTCATTCTCACTGAAAATAAATTTCTGTCGATACTGAAGGATTCTTTGTATGACTTGGCCAATAACGCATCGACTTTCCATCCCGAGCGGCCGCCTACCGCACAGGATTCACAACAATCTGAATCGACTGTGACGATACAGGAATCTCCTGTGCCTGTGGTATCGAACAGAGGGAAGAAGAGAAAGCGGACTGAGAATGGGGGGGAACTTGTGGAGCCGACTGGGAGTACATCCGGTTCGTGGATTGATACGTTTTACGCCATCTTGTATTCCGTAAAAGCTCTTGTTGTTTTGTCGGAACAAGCCCCGGAAGATAAATCGACGATGAATTCACAGCTAAAGCTCGTGCTCAGAGGAGAGCCACAGTTATCGGCGGCAATTCTGGGACTCTCCTTTGAATTAGCCCAAAAGGCAGTGGTGGAATGGCATACAGGGGTTTCCGATTTTGGGATACAGTTGCTATTTGCCTTATCCTCTGTGCTGGATATTTGGAGGCTTAGTTCTGAGCGTCTGGGTGACGGCACTGATTTGCCAAGCAATGTAGGTGGTTAGATTTCTACTCCCCTCAATTGATAATATACTTACTGAGATACTCAAAAGCAGGATACGTTCCAGCCGCTCTGTTTGTTAGAAGCATTAAACATCCTAACGGCTTTGCAACATATTCCTAGTGAATCAGCCGAAGTTAACAGTTTGAGACAGGGCATTGAACAACTTGTCGTCCTCCATTTCATCCTCCCTGTCCGCCAGTCATTTTTCTCAGAACATTCTAAAGAGTCTAGGAACGCCAATGATAAACTTGATCCCGCCCAAGTTGAACTCGTCTTCAAGGATATTAGCTCACGTTGGAAACAGTCTCAGGATATCTCGAATACAAAACTATTGCCCATGTTGCTGGACATTGCCATTCGTGCAGTTCCCAGAGACACCTTCAGGAGACAAGAAAACGAAGCTCCTTGGCTTGAGACACTTTTTGTGGTACTGTCGACCATCGCCGGATGCCCTTTATTCGAGGACGTCGTTTGGAATAAAACCCATCGGCATATCCCGATTTTTGAAAGCCTCTTACAAGTTACTATCGATAGGAAAGTAAACATATCTCTTGACACCGTAACCCTGTATACGACTCGATTTTCTGGTCTTCTCGACATTCAAACCGAGCAGATTGTCCAATGGTCGTTAATATCGAAAATAATTCGGGCGGGAGTCGATGTGTTTCTTCCCAACTCTGGAATTGACGAGAGTAATCAATTGCTTAGCAACCTTCTTAGCCAAATTACATCGTTATGGCTGGGTAACAACGTTATTTCAAGTGAAATATACGAAATTATTAAAATTGGCATTGTTATCCCTTTACTCAAAGGGTTTGCTTTTGCAAGGGATATTGGTTCATTCCTGGATATCTGGTCAGAGCAACTGAAATCCCTCGAAGCTGCTCGTTTAAATGGGGCAGATATATCCTACTTCTCTGTCTGGGAGGATGATGATCTTGCAGCAGCGTATAGACCGCTGGTCGCGGACCTTTTTTCGGAGAATCAGACCAGAGATCATCTCCAAGATATTTTAACACAACACTCATTCGAAAGCGAAAAGGACTCTGCAAACCAGTATGCGGATATTGTGCTTCTCGATGCTATTTTGAGATCACCATTGCCTGACAACGACTCACTGATCCGAGGCCAATTAATGGCCCAGATTTTTAGTATAATATCGAAATCAATAAGATTGAAACAGAAACAGAAATGGAGATGGCGTCTCTGGCGCCTTTCTCAACGATTTGGTGATCAGCACGTCTTGTCAATGGGTGATTTGACCACCTATCTTCGCATGGACCTGCTACCTAACGCAGTAAGCTTATTACAAACCTTTCATAAGGGCTCTGAATCCGGCAAATCTAGAAACGATTGTCTTGAAGCTTTCGAGGCTTTCAAACTTGTCGTGCTAGCTGCTGGAAAGCCAGATAGTCCTCAGTACAGCGAATTCTTGAATACAATAATCCCGTCTATTGTGCCTGCGTTTAACCAAGTTGCTAAATCCACGGCACCCGCCTGGAATGGGCGAGCAGAAACCATGGTTTCACCTTCAACCGTGTGCATTGGATATCTAGTTGCCCTGCTCGCGACACCCGTGGCCGTTTCTCGTCTTACATCTGAAAACCGCAGCCTGCTATTTAACAGTATTCTCACAGCTGCGGAACATTATGAATCAGATGTATTGGTTTCCGTCTCAGCGCAGACTACAATAGAAAGTCAATTACTCGAAATATGGCACTCATTCGCTTCTCACGATTGGTTACTAGGCGCACCCGCAGCGGTTTACGAAGTCGTTAATACACTTTACCATCATCTCAAAGAAAGGAGTATCCCTGACAATCTATTAATATCAAGCCTTTTGAGCATTCCAACACGGTTAATTCCACGTCACCAACGTGGCATGCTCTTGGATTTCTTACAGCACGCTATGCTCCGGGGGCAGGTGAACTCTACGGAATTGTGTACTGATATTCTGTCCTTGATGACAAGGCTAGCAGACCTGCCCAAATCATCTGCCCAGCTCACAAGTGACTGGGATGAATTGTGGAAACTTTCGGATGCCATATCCAGCAAGAATGGGGATTCGTGTGGTATGCTTCCGTTTCAATCATTCCGCCAGCTATATCAAGTAATCATTGATCGCGTTCTTGACTCGTCAGATGTTCAGCGACATTTATACTTGCAGAAAACATTTGATAAAGTATCTGCAACAGTACCTGAATACGACAAGGTCAACTTCGATACAATGGAATTCTTCATGCTTGGTTTGTCGCTTCGAACACTTCGAGCCCATCAAGAACACTTCGATGGCGAACTCAAGGTCGAAAATTTGAATGCATTGCGCGAGAGAGTATTTAATATCCTCATCTCGGGGTTACAGTCCGTGAACAAAGGGATGAAGAAGAATAAGGAACTGCTGGATGTTAATACATTAACAGGGGTTCTGAATGCGTTGGAAGATTTTGAAGACTTGGTAAAGGCAAGTAAGGACGTCCAAAAGGCCATTCGCAAACTTGAGGAGCGAATGGAAACAGCAACCGATGATATACACGTGGAAAGGCTTGTTAAGCGTCGCCTTGTCGCGTTTCAGAAGCCTGGCAAAGACCTCGACCAAATCTTAATGCAGTCTCTTTCGTTGTTCCCTATAGATCAGCTCCATGGCGACGAACAGAAATTGCATGTACGAGATATCCACCTCAGACTCTCCTCTTTACCAGAGAAGAAACTCGTCAGTCTTATACGTAAGGTTCGCGAGTCGGGCTTCTCAGGCAAAGATGCTGCTCATCGACTTCTACTTACTGGTATCGCCATCTCCTGTTTGGAGCCCATTGAGGATACAGATGGCGAAGCATCGCAGGAACTGTCCTCTCTTTTCACAGCATTGTTAGCGTGCCTGGTTCATAGTACCACTATTGAGCCGTTTTCTCTTGCTACAGAGTGTCTTGAGATGATTCTCCGCAACAAATCAAGGGGCATCACACAGTGGAACATAGACAATACCCTAGGCACCCTAGCCGTCACAATATCCCCGTCAGGACCCAACATTGCAGGGAAATATTCAAAAGTTATCTATACCCGTACCTGTCATCTCTTAGGCCTTCTGTTCGGCCAATACCGACAAAAGATCAGCGGAAGATTCCACCTAATCCTACCAGTCATACAACGCCTTCTCCGCCTCCTCTTCACGCCTGGCTCACGACCACAAAAGTCCTCCCGCTTTCAATCGACCACCCCGCCATGGGCCGATGACATCAAAACTCTCCATCAACCTTCCAGCGCGACTCAATTCACCCGCCTCCTAACAACGCTCTGCGACCCAACCGTCTCCGCCGTGCAACGGGGCCATCGACTTAACAGCGGTCTCACTGACAATACGAAAAAAGTGAAGAGTCTTGCCGGCCAACATTTGCAATATCTTGTCATGGAATATGCCATGTGTCAGCTGCGGGGCCAACTGGCGCCGGAGGTGAAAGCGGCGCTGGTGCCTGGATTTTATGCTGTTTTGGATGTGATGTCGAAGGAGACGGTGAGGGGGATGAATGCAGCAATGGATTCATCGAGTCGTGCGGTGTTTAAGGGGCTGTATGATGATTATATGCGGTTTGGGAAGTGGAATCATGGTGATGGATAGAAGTATGAAGTTTGTCAACATTACGCTACATGCAATAGATACCGCTGTGCACTATATGTATATATATTCAAATGTAGTTACCATTTTTCAGTGTTCATTTTGCAGCGTAAAAGAATTTTGTCTGTTGCGTTCTATACGTTGGAATGACCTCGATCGTTCAGGTCTTTGATTTGACCATGGATGACATCGGTTCCATACATTGACGAATTAGGGTTGGCGGTGTGCATAATAACTATCTGTTGTGGCAGTAACATGATGTAGCACTATCACTTGATGAGCAACCTTCAATATATTTTATTTCTTTAACTTCCAACCTCAACAGTATGGTTAATGAAGAAGATATTAAATTAACAATTGAAGATTTAAGAACAAATGATTCCAAATTACCTTGCCATTATCAAAAAGTTTAAAATTAATTAAATGATACTAATGCACTATTGTAGAGATAAAGTAGTTTCAATTTCTGAAGTCATCTTCAGACGCTGCAAAAAGCTTATCAATTAACAAGAAGATCATATTCTTTTGCATAAAAGTTATCTCTCAAGTAATGAGCTTACTTCTACACCTCAAACTATATAGAATCTTGTGCTTGAGTTGATAAAAAAGAAAATTGAAATCAACTAAATGAGTTGTTGTGCAGATATTATAAATATAAATAAAAAGTATTTATTTATATATAATTGATTAAAAGTATTATTTTTTATATTATTTTTTATATTTGAGTATTTTTATACTTATATAAATAATATTTTAATTTAATTCTAAAAATAATAAATTATTAAAAAAATTATATATTAAAAAACTATTTTAATTTATATTTAAAATTATAAATTTATTTTATTAATTATAAATAATTAAATAAAATATTTCTTCAATGTTAATATATAAAAAAATTAATTTATAAAATATTTAATTAAATAATTTTAACTTTATAAAATAAATAATTTATTTTATATTTTTATTTAATAAATAAAATAATAATAATTATAATTTATATTAATTAAATATATTTTTTACTATTATATAAAAATTAAAATCAATTAAAAAATTTTAAATTTTTAATAATTATTTATTATATATTATTATAAATATTATAAATTGTATAAATAAAAATAAAATATTTTCATATATTATTTATAATTTTTTAATATAAAAACCTTTGATATTTCATTAATGATGCGTACAAGCAATCGAATAGGTAGGATAAATCATGTCTGATTCTCTTCTAATAAGATGGGCGGATGCCCTGCTATATATATACACACTATAATCGCTCTATATGGTAGGAGCGATCGCATAGGATAGGAAATATAGGAAAGATTGGGGCCCCTGAGTGGATTAGGGAGGGGCGAATAGAGAGCGGATACTAATATAGGAAGGGGCGGAAGAATAGAGGCGGAACGCCAGGGGCGGAACGCCACAATTAATAATATATTTATTTAAAATAAAAATTTTATATTATGATTTTAATTTTTTAAAATTTATTAAATAAATTTTTTTTTACTTTAATTTGAGTAATTATTAAAAAATTTAAATAAATAATTAAATATATCTTTAAAAATTTATATAAATTTTATTTCTACTATAACTTAAAAACTATATAATAAAATTAAAAAAAAAGTTTTAATAATAATTTTTTACTAAAAATTTTTAATAAATAATTTATAATAATAAAAGATTTATTATTAAATTAACTACTACTTTAAAAAAAATAAAAATTAAATTAATATCTTGAAGTTTAAAAAGAAAAAATAAAATAAAATAAGATCTTAAATTTAATTAATAGGAATATACTAATTAAATAAATTTTTTTTTAAAATAATTAAAACTACTTATTAATAAACTACTACTTACTATAAAAGCTAAGAAGTAATATAAAATTGACAAAGTCATTAAAGTAAAGATTTAATATTATCTTAAGAAGAAGTAACATGCTAAGAAAATTGCTAAGTATAAAGCTTCAAGACTTGAAATTAAATAGAAAAAGAGAAATAAAACAGAGTAAAAGATTATAAAAAGTAAAAGATAGCTGAACAGATTTATCTATTCTCTAAACAATAGCAGAAGCAGACTTTTCTCACTAAATCTCATTCTTCTACCTCTATACAAACCATATCATTAGAGAATGTAGTGAATTCAACTGTCACAGCTTCAATCTAGGTGCAGGTAAACAGGTGTTTGATTTGCCAACTAGGTAAGCTACATCAATGAAATACTAAGATGATTTCTAAAAGACGGGCCTGGGTAAGGCCTGCTTTATATAGTATAGCCCTTAGTGTCTTACCCCTTTCCTTAGCGTCTTATCCTTAGCTCATTACCCCTGTCCTTAGCGCGTTACCCCTTTCCTTAGCGCTGTTGCTATGCAGTTTCTGTGGGGTAATTGTGGGGTGGTTGCTATGCCAATGTTCGGACGGAGCCTGTTGTTTCCGATGGACTTAAGAAGGTCGGGTGGTCTCTGGATGGATTCTGTTCTACGCCATCACATCAACTTTAACTGATTTTTCTAACATTCTTTTATCAAATTTTCTATTTGAATCATATTCTTACTGCTCAAACTGTATTATTTAACCTAACACTTGTTATTTTTCTTAATTATTCTACTTTCTATACTCTTAGGGACTACATTCTTGAATATTTAATAGCTAATACAATTTCTATTCATGGTTGTTGAGAAATTCATTGAACTAGTAGAAAAAGTGATTTTTAGTTGGGGTGCTCATCAATTGGTAGTTTAACTAATTAGTGCTCATCAAGTTGGTGGAATACGTATATATAAGTCTTAAGTTGGTTATCCAATCTCCGAGCTCAGTGAAAAATCTTTGCCCATCCAAACAAGCCTGCGAGACATAATTGCATCGTAAGGGGCATCACTCTGGTACTTTTGCTGTTTAGATGCAGCCGATAAACGTCAGTTTTATATCCTATCATTTTCCTTCATGGAATCTCACAGTTCCAACTCACTGGTATTGAAAATAATCACCTAGCATGACGCAATGGAACTTACAATCGAACCACTCCAGAAAACTTGGGCTTTCTCCATATTTTTTTATCAGTAGCAGAGCTGCCGATAGGGAGAATGCGCACAAGATGTTGCAAGAGGACTCACTCTCCATCTGATGTCTCCTGGTAACCGTCAAGGATTTCTTAGTGGAACAACCTTACGCACGTCTTCTCAGGCAAAAGTAGGAAACCTAACTGGTTGGTCCTTTTGGCCAACTGAATTCTTTCCCTTGTCCCGACATTTGGAAAGCGTCGTCATATCTGTTTGCCCTGACGAATTAGTCTTTTCGCCTTGTGTTCGAAGTGCCTGAGAAGACGACAGGGCAGTCAAAACCTTGTTGTTAATTGCTTACCATAGAATAAACGTCTAAATAGATGTTTCTCAAAAGGCCTCCGAAACAGTGTAATACGCCTTGAATGAATCAATGACTGATAGCTAGACTGATCAGGATAAATTGGCATATTTTCCTTGCTCCTATCAGTGGATAAACATGCTGTTGCTAGTGATTTCGGCACTTTGTGTAAGGAACGAGGCTCTCTTTTCTTTTCCCCAGAAATTCTATTCCAGGTGAAGATGTCATAATATACTTCACATATAAAGCTAAGTAAACCCAACTTCTGAAAATTTATAAACATACCCTTTCTCCCTCTCCCTGTCTCTATCTGTCAATTACGGCGGCACGATCACAAGAGGAAATACAATCTTCACAGATGTGATATTCTAGCTCCTCACCTCTAGCTTTCTTATGTCGATCTAGGTCCGCAGATAGCTCTGATCTGTGACCGGTTATCTACATTTCTCATATTGCTCCGATGTGCTTTCTCCATTTTGTCTCATAATCAATTCCATTACAAAGATGGGGTTCTTGTTAAAATCGAAGGTTGCGCAGTATGTCTCCAAACTGCAGGTCAAAAATGAGTCCGGATTGTCGACAGGTCAGCGCAGGCTGATGAACGCAGATTTGAAGCCGGGTGAGTGAGCCAGAGTTTATTCAGATGCCTATACGGAAGACCCATCTTCGGCAGTCATCCGAATCCTAACCCCTATCATCTTCGATAGTTGAACCTGAGAAACGGCAATGGGGTCCTTGGAACTATGTTGGATTCTGGATCGCGGACTCCTTCAATATCGTGGGTTAAACCAAACACCGCATTCTCAGCACAGAACTCTCGAAGCGAAGAGCTGATTCCATTCTCTAAACAATAGAACACATGGATGATCTCCTCCTCCATGATTGTTGCAGGGTTGTCGTGGTGGCAGTCCTGGATTTGCCTGTGGTTGGGATACTTCATTGCTGCCGGATTTCTGTGCCTGAATGCCCGAATCGGCGCCGTATATCACATATCCTTCCCGGTAGGAATTAGGGCGTCATTTGGCATATGGGGTTCCATGTGGCCTATATTTAACCGGGCTGCCATTGCTTGCATCTGGTATGGTGTGCAGGCGTGGATCGGAGGTATACTCTTTCCCATCTCCACCCTATAGCGATAAAGACTAGAGATCGATCTTGACCCTAAATTCTCCAGACATGGCTGACACAAAACCATTGCGTTTGACCAGGGCAATGTGTTACATTGATGATTAGATCCATATGGTCTAGTTTCAAGGACTTGCCAAACAGCATGCCTGAAAGCTCAGGGACAAACACCAGGGATTTCCTAGGCTTCTTTCTATTTTCTCTCTTCAGTCTGCCGGTCATTTGGTTCCCTGTACATAAGATACGACATCTGTTCACGGTCAAATCCTATTACGCACCTGTAGCAGGCATCGCCTTCCTTGCATGGTCTGTCCACCGGGCAGGTGGACTCGGGCCGATCGTTCATCAAAAGAGCACCGCTCAAGGGAGCAAACTGGGCTGGGCTGTGGTGAAAGGGATTATGTCCGCAGTCGCAAACTTCTCCACACTCATCGTCAACTCTCTCGATTTTTCACGAGTTGCCAGAAAGCCCAAGGATGCCTTGTACTCGCAACTATTTACTATACCAATCAGCTTTGCGATCACCTCGTTTACCGGAATCATCGTATCCTCTTCTTCGAGAGTGATCTCTGACGAAACAATTTGGAATCCTCTTGATCTTCTGGCTGAATTTCTTAATGGCGCAAGCAGCGTGGAAAGATTTGGCGTCTTTTTTATCTCAAGTGCCTTTGCCTTGGCACAGTTGGGAACCAATATCGCCGCCAATTCGATATCGGCGGGAACCGATATGAGCGCTCTCTTCCCCCAGTTTCTCACCATTCGTCGAGGCGGATATATCTGTGCAGCTGTTGGTTTTGCGATGTGTCCTGTATGTCTTTTTAACCGTACTACACTTTGACACAGTCGTCGGCCTAGTTCAACACTGACAAATAGACTTATCCTTTCGCAGTGGCACCTCCTTGCAAGCTCTAACAGCTTCACAACCTACCTCTCCGCCTACTCTGTCTTCCTCTCCTCCATCACGGGCCCCATGATCTGCGACTACTACCTCGTTCGCAAGGGTTACATACAAGTTAAAGAGCTCTACAACGCCCATAAGCGCAGTCCTTATTATTACACCTTCGGTTTCTCATGTCACGCCTACGCCTCCTACTTCTCCGGAATCCTGATCAATATTGTCGGCTTTGTTGGTGCGGTTGGCCACAACATACCTGTTGGTGCTACATATTTATACAATTTCAACTTCTTTAGTGGCTTCATAATTTCATTCGCGATGTATTATCTGTTGACGAGAATTTGGCCGATCCCTGCGACGAGTGGCAGGTGGAATGAGGTGGATATTGATGTCACGTATCTGTCTCTGGGTTATCATCAGGGAGAAGTTGTTGGAGATGAAGAATCGCAGTCAAAGTCACCATGGGTTGCGGTGAATGATGTGCAGGATGTTGGCCTAAGGCATGGTCTGAGCAAGAAAGATACGAAGGCGGTTAATTTTTGATTTTTGACTATAATTTAAGCGGGAATGCACTGTCTAAATGGCCTTGGAGAATAATTACGCTATTGATTTTCTCTCCCTTGATCCAAATGACGTCAGTCGACATTTAATAGAATGCATCTACGATATATTTTGCATTTTCATCATTTAAATTTTGGTTCATCACATCCCGTCACCGCTACTCATTAGTTTATTCTTCAACGTGCTCCGTATGCATAAATTCATTCATAACATTGCTATGCAAAGAATATGGTGGACATTCCCCGACATTAAGGTTTACCCCATCTTTTCCCCGCAGAACTCTATGACGTCCGTCATTTTCGGTTTTGTAACTAACGTAATCCACATACGAGCGAACAAACACCCAAATCACCGTACCCCACCTAGCTAGATTTTAATTCAAAATTATCTACGCTCAACAACCACTAATTAAATTAACCTAAATTACACTAGGTTCAGGGCACCGTGTTCTTGTATGTCCGAGAGAACCGCAATTGCTGCATCTTGCTGGGGCTCGTGAGCGTGGCAAAGGCTCGCGGCGCGGAGGCTCGGGAGGTTGAATGACGGGTCGTTCAACTGGTTCAGTGGGCGGAATAATAATATCCCGAGCTTATCCACCTGTTTATGCAACTGCCGCGGGTTACGAGGTGTTTGAAGCACTCAGGTTGACGTAGAGTTACTAGGTCTGCTGGCCGGAGGGGTAGGGGTTCTGTGCTGAATATTATCCAGCTGCCTTGAAGCCCGTCAAACCAGCCTTCCTGCAGATTCTGACCTTTGAGAATCACGTACGGAGATAGGGCCCGTCCTGACGCGTTAACTGCCTCAATCACAGTCGCCAATTCTCGATTCCCTGGCTGTAGAAGCTCTGCCCGTCCGTAGTGCTCAGCACTAGTGATGACCTTAGTAGTTGCACAAGAATCCCATTGCAAAGCCAGTCTCGTCAAAGTTGTATATATCATCAGTTGGAATTCCATGCTCAAGCAGAATATCCCCTATGGCCTTAAACCAATCCTGAATAATCTCTCTAAGCTCACATTTGGCTCGGTCATGATTATAACAGCGGGCATAACGGGCATTGAAGCTCCGTATGGCGTTTAATTAGATTTGACACCCAATTATTTTCCCACGCGGACGGGATTGGAAGACTGGGCCCGGGAGAGAAAAAAAATATGATTAGCCCACAAATGCCGGCCGCGGGGGAGGGGGATTGCTCGTTTATCTAGATTCAGCACCCATTGGACTAGCTGATCCCTCTTCAGCTTCAGTGAATTTGGTCAAATTTGCGCGTAAGTTCACCTGTGCAGGTAGGCCAGTAAGTAGATGAGTGAGGATAGAGCGTGGCACATTAAAGAGGCGTGCAGCTTCAGCAATTGAGGGTGCTTCTTGATTTTTAATGGCGGCTATCTGCTAGTTCAAGCCTTCCCTCTATCTCTTTAGAGCTTCTTGTATTTTTACCGCGAGTTGGTGGCATTAATGCGCGTTGAAGAGGCTAATTGAATTTTCTAGTTTCCGCGTTCAATTTGTGTGTTTGCTCGTATGTGGATTAGTTAACTAACTAGTGAAACCAACGTTACCAAGGTAAAGCAGGGTGATCAACAGCCTGGAGTCGCTCTTTTGCGGCCCACTACTTGTCCGTGTAGTTACCGCTGAATACGAATATCTGCCCATAACAGTATGTAGGTTAAACTGCCCAGGCCCGGCGAATGAGATAGAGAAACGCGGGGAGAACAGGCTGAGGAAAGATGTGCTTAACTAACTGGCTATCCAATTGGGCGTCTGTAAGTGGGGTCTCTATGCTGGTCATTAGAATTAAATAACTAGTTACCGTTTAAAAACTCATGTTTCCAGTAGTTATTTGGAATGTCCATCGCGGAGCTCCCGACCCAAAGTTTGTTGGTGACTCAATCGTCCCATGTCTCCACCTTGATCCATCGGCTGGTGCGGAGCGAGATCTTGATACGTTGAACCTAATCCCGATGGAGACTTTGGCGCTTCCCAGGCGGTGGTCGTCCTCAGAGCCGATTTGTCGTCCTGAGTTGAAACATCAAATATCACACACTACTCTTGAGGTTCGGTGTCTCTATTGGGACTAGGCCGCCGATCCGGCAAGGTTACTGTATGCTACGGTTGTCTTCTACTAGCAATTAACTGAAGTGTGTGTGTGTGTGTGTGTGTGTGTTGGAGGTCAACCGCCATACTAAAGCAGTCCCCAGCACCACTCCAAACGTCAAGTGGTGCAGTGCACATTGCAACTCCTGGAAAAAATCGCGTTGACTGACAAATAGTGCTGCTTGCTTCTGCTTATAAATAGTTTAAGTAAACTCTTCCATCAATAACTAGCCAACGTGTAGGCCACCACCGTCGGAATGTCGAACACAGCCGCCCTGCCTCAGGCTCTGCAGTCAGTCACTGCTACAAAAATCGCCGAGCTCAGGAAACAACATGCTTTGTTTGAATCTCGCAAGTCAGAAATTCTCAGCGAAGCCGATCGGCAGCCAGACCTTCGGGAAAGAGTAATGGTTCTTCTTAAAGGGGTAACCTGCATCAACGGGATTCCCGATGATGGCTTGGACATTTTCGAAAAGGATGATGGGGATCACGATTGCGGTGACGACGTGGATGTGGCAGCTAGGAGTCGGTATAGGAACATTAGGCGGTTCTTATTCCAAAGCAAGTACGACTCCTCGATATCGCAAGGCATGCTGTCGCGTTGGGAACAGGAGTTGAGGCGAGAGTTAGACCTGCGGAGCACTAGAGATGAACATGCCTTGTTTTTCAGCCAGCTTGTCACCGAGTGGCTTACGCATCCAAATGAGCCTTCTGCGGAGGAAGGAATTGAAAACTCATTCGAACCCGTTGGGCGGGAAGAGATGCATCAGCAGCGGGCCCAGTGGGAAGCATTGGTGTTCGAACCAGCTCAAACTGACACAGCTGCTATCGAGCAGTATCTGAATAAGCTTTTTTTGCAAACAAGGCTATCTACAAAAGGGCTTAATGACCTGCGGACTTCCATAAAGACGTTTTCCAAGTGGCTGCTGGGCGACCAGAACGCCTTCACTCCAGCCTCTCTCAAGTGGATCGCACAAGGGGTAATTGCCAATGATTTGTTTTCCTCTGACAAGGTCGCTCTGCTCAAGGGTTTTCTTGTGAACGAGGATGTTGCTCAGGAAGTGGCAGATGTATTGAACATGCGTCTTGCCCAACTGGATACATGGAAGTGGTGTGGCGAGGCGATCCCAGTCGAGATGCGAAGGCAGCTTAATGGAAAATACCGTGTTTATATGGATGAAGACATTCTCGATGCACTCTTCCTGCAATATATAGGAGTACAGTGGGGGGTAAAGTTCAAAATCTTATTTCAGGAATTTTTCAATTCGCATGCGTGGAGGTCGGAATCACCAACTATCCCGAGTCGTGATCTGGAGAGACGGAAGTATTTTATCCATGATGATTCCGACGCGAGCGGCAACCAATGCGGGGTAAATGTGCAGACACTTCGGAGAGATAAGTTCAAGAACACCTTTTTTATGTCGCTGCTCCCAAAGACCACCGAAGGTCCGAATCCGGTGTATGATTCCGATGATGAAAGTACTGCCACTTCGCCTCTTGACCTCAAACACACTTTGCTCCATATCCTGATTACAGAAGCCCGACTAGCTACGACGTTGCACGGACAAATTACCGTGCTTAGATCGGATTTCAAGTGGTTTGGGCCTTCGCTTCCGCATTCGACACTACTAATTGTGCTGAAATTTTTCCATGTGCCTCAACTCTGGCTCGATTTCTTTCGGCAGTTTCTCGCAGCTCCCCTAAAGTTTGTCCATGACGGGGAAGATGCTGCAGCTCGTGTCAGAAAGCGAGGCGTACCAATGTCTCATGCGATCAGTGATGTCCTTGGAGAAGCCTTGCTCTTTTGCATGGATTATGCCGTTATGGGAAAAGATGATGGGGCTTTCCTGTATCGCCTTCACGATGACTTTTGGTTCTGGGGTCAGGAGAAACAGTGTGTCCGTGCTTGGAACACCTTGGTTGAATTCAGCAAGGTCATGGGAATCGAATTGAACGAGGAGAAAACTGGGACTGCTCGACTGTTTGGAAAGAACCCTCGATCTTTCCAAAATGAAGCCGGCTCGTCGGGGAGTGAAGATGATGAAGATAGTGGTGACAACATGTCGGTTTCTGCCCCAGAAACAGGCATTGACGATGGCACTCTTCCCGTCGGTGATGTCCGCTGGGGATTTTTAAAACTAGACGAGGAAACTGGGCGATTCATCATCGATCAAGCCCAAGTGGATGAGCACATCAAGGAACTGCAGCATCAATTGGACGCGTGTAAAAGCATTTTCAGCTGGGTAAAGGCCTGGAATAGCTACTTTGCCCGCTTCTTTGGCAACAACTTTGGCAAACCCGCAATGTGTTTTGGGCGCGAGCACATTGAAATGTCCATCTCGACTCTACAACGTATTGAACATGAGCTTTTTGTCTCTCTCAGAAACATACACTCGTTCTTACCACCCATTAACAGCGCAATAGATTATCTCAGACTAGTAATCGCTCAGCGATTCAACATCCAAGATCTCCCTGATGGATTTTTCTACTTCCCAATAGAACTAGGAGGCCTAGACCTACGTAATCCACTGATCCCCTTCCTCGCCATGCGCGAGGACATGAAAAAGACCCCAGAAAAAATTCTGGAAGAAGCCTTCATAGAGGACGAGAAAGAATACCAAGCCGCAAAGGAATTTTTCGAAAAGAATGGACCTAACCATGCAAGCAATTATGTTCCGAAAAGCCGTCAACGTCGTACCGTTCTCCAAGATGAAACATCCTCCCATTCAGACACAGATCCCGCGGCTTTCATGTCTCTGGAAGAATACAACCGGTACATCGAGATCACCAGCAAAAACTTGGCTTGTGCGTATAATGAATTGCAAGCGCATCCAGATCAAATATCTGTTGATAGAACGCCAGAATTGATGGGCGAGCAGTCTCGATTGAAGGGCCTATCGAAGCAGAATCTTCCAATCCGTGATGATTGGGATTCTATGACTACGTACTGGCGGTGGATTGCAGAGTTGTACTGCGAGGAGATGACAAAGCGTTATGGTGGGCTGGCCGTCGTGGAGAAAGGCGTTGTACCGTTGGGGGTATTGAAAGTACTGAGGGAGGGCAAGGTCAAATGGCAGGGCTGAACTTATACCCTTTGTGTTCCTGGTTTTTGAAGAGAAGATTCAGTGTGAAATCGTGGGATGATATGAATGAGAACTGTAAACCTTGAACTAGTAGGATAATTTGTCTTGTTTCCGCAACTCCATTTTAAGCTGGAATTTTAGCTGTGTCTTAAGACCACACCAACTATACTACCACTGAATTCGTTCTCCAATTTCGCTTTCTAGTGCTTTTCTTACATAGTTGGGCAGCATACCAGAAGTATACAATGAGAACAATTCTAGAATAAATGACCTTAATACAAAGATATCTGCTCAGCTAGTAAATGGATGTATCTGCTGCATAAAAGCGAATAATGAAAGCAGTAAAATATATTCTCTGCTCTCATCAAAGTAACTGAAAATGGGGCTGCTAACAGAGGCGGAATCGCGCAGCGAGGTAACAAATTTCCTAATAAGGTTAAGTGCAGTATAGACCCATTAACTACATCATAGGAAATGGGATATAGTGAAACAAGTAAACTTGGAATAAAAATAAAATTTCAAACCCCTCATTCTAATAATCTCAGATATCATGCTCTCTAGAAGGGCATCTTCCTCTTTTTTGGGCCATCGGAGCATTACAGAGCGAAATATATCAAAACAAAGAAACTAAAGGAGAGAGAACGTGATAGTTCACATATGCTGAGCTTCAAATTGGAGTAGTAACATATATAACCTTTCCTTTTCCTCCGGCCCAGCAAATATAGAACCAACCGCTCTTTTGCATATCTCAATCACAGCAGCACGGTCGAGGTTGAAATTTTCAGCCGCAATGAGATACTCGTTTGATAAGGGACTGCAGAAGAAGCCAACATCGTCCGTCTGTCGTTGTGTTAGAAAAAGGAAGGGGGCTTATCAAAAACACGAAGCCGACATGTAAAAAGGATAGGTATCCAAGGACCCACCGAAAGTAGAATCGGACAAGCCCTGTGTCTCCAGTAGCCAAAGTGATGGTCTGCAAACCCTCCATCAATCAACTGGGCATGCACATTGCACGACAGACAAAGTTCCAGCCCGAGTTTTCGACGGGCAATTTCATCCTGGATAGCCTCAGGGACATGGATTAAATGACCGAGCCTGTCTGGCTGGTAGGATAGGAGCGTGTTGAGCTCGCCAATGGATGAGGACGATATTGCTTCGGCGAAGTGAAGGGTCAACTTGAGGCCATGGGCCTTCGCTTTGGCAAACGCAGGTCTGAATATCGAGACATCTCCTTTCGTAGGATTCCCGCCAAGTTCCACTCCTACTACGCCCCGACTTTGATATTTGACAGCCAGGTCTACTGCTACCATGGCTTCTGAAGCCGGTTTAGTTCTGTCTACAGAAATGATGAGGTAGGTTGACATCTGATCACTTCGACATTCGTCAATCGTATCTAGAACGACTGATATGTACTTATCTTTCGACATTCCATGCTGAGTGTTTTCTCGCGGGGTTGTACGTAGTTCGAGGTAGCTGACTCCGTCGTTTTGGAAGTCATGTATGACGGTTCGAGTTGAATATTTGAGACTTTCCAGATCAGCGCAGAGTTGGTAGGTCAGGTTTCCGAAGACCTGGAAGAATCTGTTGCCGGTGGTTTAACGCCACTGTCAAATAGCACATGGATGGTATGCTCAATCCGGGATGCGGCGAGAATGACACATATATGAAGGAAATAAACAACAGTTGCTCACGTCAAGCATGAGGGGGTGTATCTATTGAAATAGAATCGAGGGATTTAAACGTCCCTCTAGCACTAATAGGCAGATGAAAACATACGTTTTGAGTGTATAATCCACCTTTCCTGGAGGCATTGCAACATAAGGATCCACTATATCTAACTCTGGATTTTCTGCCTTCTTCTGTAGCCATATCTCTCGCAGACATTGCCGGCTGATACTTCCACTGAGATGGGCATGGACCTGGTGGGTGGCGGGTTAGAAGACCAAAACCTGCGTTGAAGTAAATTATCTGGGAGAGGCACAGAAATGCAATCCCTGACGCAAATACAGCATACCTCAATCTTTGGTAAAGCCGTTGTGAAGCTCAAATCTACGGGTTTTGAAGATTCCATTTTAGTTAGTTGTGGAAACAAAAGGTCTCGGGAACTTCGTCAAGAGAATTTAACTAGGTGAGCCAAGCTAACTAGATAGACAAGGTGATTGCCGCTCTGACCAGAAAGCAGCTTAGACAACGTCAACAGGATTTAGACAGCTCAAGCTATTTGTTTGTACTGTACTGTTCAGTAACGTACTGCCTATAGGTGGTAGACATCTATTGTGTAAATACCAGCCAGTTACCCACCAGGCCTCGGTTTATGTGCATGTAGTCAAATAAGGCACACGCAGTATGTTTGTATGCAAATCCATCATATCAGTCGAGATCAAATGTCCCTCTAATGGAACTTCCTCTGAGGGACTTTATTTAGGAAAAATCAACATCTAACGGCGACTGCTAAAGCTATGTAAGCTGTTCCCTGTGCTGTATGTGTTTGAGTTGTTAAACTATATTAACAATTGGAGCAGCCTCGCCACCTAAAATCAGGGCTGAGTTCTGCCATCAGGGGCACAAATTCTTCTTATGTATTTTACACCATGTGCCCCGTGGGGAGGTGTCTGTCTTGTCAGCCTTCGTTTCCATGACCACAAAATTGCTCTGCATCCACAGTTTCAACTTGAAAGAACCTATCAGCTCATTGCGGGCTTGCCTTGCTGTTTTACTGCAAGCTGACTTCCCTGGAGGCAAACAACCTGGAAACGCAAAAGATTAAATATTCAATCAGCATCACGAGTCATTGGATAAGGTCAAGGGTCAGCTTGTTGGCCAGCTTATTCTGAGATAAGGATAGTACCAGGTATCATCCCCAAATAGAAATTTCCATAATCACATCATCACGTCCCGTGTCCTGCGTTCATTGCTGGGTCAACTCCTGACACCCTCCTCTCGTAACCGTGGCGGGAGAGGGTGAGAGCAGAGCAGAAATGAACTAGACTCCCGAATCATTAAAAGGAGCACAACTTTTAAACATACGGATTTACCATCTGCCCAGCCCCAAATATCCATCAAAATTGATGAAGGTAATGCTGGCATCAGCCAGCATCCACTCAAGAGACATCGCAGGGAGATCAAAAACGAAACAAGGAATCTCTAATGGTAGTTGTCTGAACCTTCGATATTAGCTGCGCAGAGAAGGGCCCAAGAAGTTAACAGCCAACGAAATTCTTCTGTCCTGAACAATTTAAATTAGCTATTCCCCTTCCGTTGTTGTATAGAAAGGTTCTGAAAGCTGAAAAATAAAGTGTAATAAAATAAAACGCTATGGTAGTGTTTCCATGAGACCAGCAAAGAGCCAGTGTTCGACCTAGAATATCAAATCCAATGAGAAGTTGAAGAGCAATTCTACCTTTGTTAAAAGCGTATTGCCTCACTTTGGTTTGAAGCCTGGTGGACTGTGCGTGGATACGTGGACCGCTCACTTAACCAGGTCTGATGAATAATTCCCAAAGGACAGGAAAGATAAAACGTTATGTAGTATATATGGGGCGTGAAAGGGTAATGAATATGCATATTCAGTAAAATTGGTGGGGAGAGAAAGCTAGGATACGGGATACCGATATAACACAATATTCACAATAAATGTTGGTATGAACAAACTTTCTCATTAAAAAATAGTTTGTTGTTGGCTAGGATCACGTCGCCAAGGAAAATTTCAATTGAACGAAAGAACAGGGACCACATGGTCACATAAGCCTGTTGTGGTGACATGGGTATCCCCAATGAAAAAGCAGAATATGTATTCCGACAGAGAGGGGAGGTTAGACAAATGTCCCTGATGCTTTCCATAGACGGGGGACTTGTCACAGGGGTAAACTCGGCGGTACCGGCGGTACTCATGGGTGGAGTTAGCAGGAATCGGTGCTTTTGGACAAGAAATCAGTACAGAATATGCAAAATCCCATTTGGAAGCCATCAGCCGCGTTACTTCCTGAAGGATGAAGGTCATACAGACTTCATATATAGCCCCCCCCCCCTCCCCCACCTCCCAAAAAAAAGAAAAGAAAAGAGAAAGAAAAAAGAAAAAGAAAAGAATATAATAGAATATCCGACGAAGCAGAGACGCGTAGTGAACATTTCTATGCGAACAAGTAGGGGATCGTGTAATCGTGGCAAAGCGTAGTGTATGTAGGTATGATGCGCGTGCAATTCATTGGATATGTCGGCCGTACGCTTGCCCGGAATACACCAGCTTGTCTGTTCAGCATGACAACAGCGTAATTGTAGAGAAATATGTGGGAGAAATGCACCGATGCCATACGCCCCACTCATATATCGGATGTTATCATAATCTTCCAAAGGAACTGGCAAATCAGTAGTAGGGACTCCTTAATTCCACGGGGTCAATTGATGTGAAGAAAGGTAGCACGCTTTGCCATATCTTTCTCACCCGGCGTTTTATTTTACACGGATTCGCAGATTCACAAATCGTGTCTTTTACAAAGTTGAGGAGTGGGAGTACATAGAAAAGCACAAGGCGACTTACGTGGGTCAGCTGGTTCCACGAATGAACGACGCCTGCTTAGGCGACGTGGCCGTGGAACATTTGACATCCTCCGAATGTATTCTCAGTGCTTGTTCAAATGACGTTGACGTGTCTTTCTTTCAATTTCCTGCATACTGAGCATGTCGAGTTTCTAGGGAAGATTGATGCAGAAGTGACAACGAAGATATGCATTGCTGGGAAGCTTGCCTTAAAGCGGATAGATAGAACACTTTCTGGCCTGGTTGCCCTTGATCCTAGACCAACTGAATCGCCCTTGAGTGAGAGGGGAGACTTTAAGCAATCGCTCCGGAACCCTCACACCATTGGGAGGGAATGAAAACCATTTTATATCAAGCTCCGGAAAAGTGTGGTTGCGCTATCGATTACGTTGTAACAACACACTTAGGCTTGAGTTCGCAATATGCACCCTTAACCCACTAACCCACAGTAACTATATCACGACAGTTGGGAATGGATGACAAGAGCAGCCAGGCAGAGGTATGTCCTGGGTTAGGAGAAGTGGGCAGACTGCTTTATAAGGCGGGCTGAAGAACCATGCTTAGAGCAGCCCTCAAGTCTACCAGCAGCAGAATTGCTCAGAGGTTTGATCTGCGAAGTTCGTGCTTGTGTTTGAGATCCTGGTTCTAAGGGGCTGATCATTCAATCCTTGCCCTAACATTTCCCCTTTTAGCCAGCTCCAAGTCACGGGACTTTGCTTGCTAGTGAAATCGCCACCAGCCAATGGCGGTTCGCGATTGGCTGAGTAAGCAATAGCTCTGAGGTCCCGTGACCTCCAGAGCTCTGAGGCTTGAAGGGGGCTGCCTTATCTCGAGCTACAAGCGGGGAAGAATTTAGTTTCAGCTGAAAAGATTCAAGAAGATTATCATCGCTGCCTCAGTAATCGGCAACAAAATACGAGTGGAGAGTGGTTGATGTCTGTGTATGTGGCGCAGTAAATCCCTCTAGGCGTCTACGATTGGTGAGTCATCCTAGTCATCCTAAAGCCGGCGCTCACCCCTTCTGGCATACGCAGGGGGGAAGGATTTTTGTTACAAGCTCGTTCATATCCGCTGTCCAGTCATCGAATGGGCTTGACTAATCCATTTATGTAGAGTGAGAGCCACGGTTTCGCTTTTCTTTCACGCCTGGAGGCAACACTCTCGCCACGATATAATCTACCCCAGGATATGTACCGTTCATCCGACTATTGGGTGGTAACTACCTTTAGCTAAAACGGAGGATTAAATGAGCCGCTTTTAATATACAGTTAGTGATCTGAGAAGAGTGACAGTGATCGCTTACTCCAGGCGGAGCCTCACGCATCAAAATCCCAAACTCTATATAACATGTTAAGGGAACCTACCCTGTGACATAACATTAAAAGAATTATATTTCCAAGTTATCACATCCCCACGTTTATCTACTCAGATTCAAATATGGTTATTGGGACCGGATATCCAAGCCCTCGAAGAAGTGAAGGCCCAGAAACTACAACAGTAATTCTTCCATCCATGCAATCGAAAATGGCACAGGAGGTGTCACTAGTCGCGGTTGACGGTTCTCGACCGAGGCTGGCTGTGAGGCGAACAAGAGAACTGCCCAAAAATTCATCTGGTCAAATTTATTGTGATCATCCCGATTGTCAGAATCATATCCCATATTTTAAGCGTCCATGCGAGTGGAAGTATGTTCCATCGCCTTTCCTTACTGATACCTTGAAAACCCTCTTACTAATTCTTCTTCCTAACAGTAAACACATGGACAAACACGACCGTCCATACAAGTGCACCAACCCTGATTGCGAGAAGATGCTAGGCTTCACCTACTCAGGGGGTTTACTCCGCCATCAACGGGAGGTGCACAAAATGGACAGCAAGGGGAAGAAGTTGATGTGTCCCTTCCCTGACTGTAACCGCAGTTCAGGGAAAGGATTTACCAGACAAGAAAACCTCAAGGAACATCTCCGTCGACTTCATAGAAGGGGGCATGGACGGTCTCTAGACGACCCTACTTCTCCGGAAGTTAACGAACACGAAAATAGCACCTTGGAGTCATTACTGCCCCCTCCTAAAAGGAAACGAGACAGTAGTGAGTCCAGTTCCTCCTCAGATGAAGAGCTTTCGAACTCACTCGATCTCCGCGATGAGGTCACTCGGCTGCGGCGGGAACTTCGCCGGAAGAACTTGATGGTTATTGAGCTGGAAAGGGAGCTGAAGCAACTACAACAAATCCGGAAGGTTTGAGGAGGAAACACACCTCATATTTGAAGATCTATAGACGGTTAGCGGTTGAAGGCTCAGGCAAGCCAAACCGAAGAGCCATAATATGTTCCGTCATTTTGGCTTTCCTCGAAATCTACATTAATACCTTTCGGAGACGATTAGCTTCATTTTTGTTATATTTACTATTATGGGCATTATGTTTAGCATCTAGCGACGGTTTCAAAGTTTTTCTTCTTCTCTTCTACTTCATACCTAACTATATCAGCATTAAATTTCCTTGATTCTTCAGACTTGCATTCGGTGCTCACGGCGTTTCTTTCTTTCTGTTATTCATATCTGCTTTGCCAACTTCTATATCATTTTCTCTCCTCGTTTCATTCATCAATGATCACTTCTCCATCACTATACTCTAACTTATACCCATTTTGGATATTTACTTGTTTTTCTTCCTAGCAGAATTCAGCCATGATCACCCTTTGTCTCTTACTTTGCTTGCCTACTCACGTTGGCATACAATTTCTGCCTAACGCGGCATACTTTTTCTTCGCCTCACCTCCCGCCACATCCTCTTCTTAGTGCACACTCTTCTAGCAGATATGTTCTTATTAAGTATCTTCCTTCCTTTTCTTCATATGGCGTAACGTTATCCATGAAATGCTTACCTGGCCTAGTGTGGCTGGGGCAATCTGTACGCGCTATAGCAATGTGTGTCCATTAATGTAATAGAATTGGTAAATGTATAACCATCTTCAAATGGTGGAGTAAGTGTTTTTCGCCTCCGAGCTAGGACTACGTAAACGTAACGACGTGGGTGGCGGACGTTTCGTGAACATAGCAGATATCCAAGCAATGAATTATCCCACCCCTTTCTCACGGTGGATATTACTAAGCGGCAAGAAGCCGTAACTACTCACGGAATCTAAACAAACAATGATTCAATCGGCGATCTAGCCACCAGCAGGGATATATCTGCAAGCAGAGCCATTTCCCATGAAAGGGAAGAGGCGGCCCCATCGCCCCGGCTCCGTGAGATCAACAAGCATCACCCTCAGGTAGCATGGCTTATGGGTATAGTTATTCTGTTGTTTCTTACTAATCATTTGTTTGACCACAGGAAGATATCTTATATTATATAAGAATCCGAAGCGTTTCTTTTTTCCCGCATGACGGGGGTCTATTTAATTTTTTAAACCCCTGCGGAGAAATCGCTTGATCGGTCGGCAGTTCGGCTAGCCCGCGCCACTCCCAAAAATAAAATCCTCACTAAATGGACTTCGCGCGAATGTCACTGTGGCTACGTGGATATCATGTGATTGATACACGACATCTGTCTTGTTGTGTGCCTGGGGCAAAAACCCTGGGTGCCAGAAATACGCACCGGTAATGAGACATCGTGTGGGATGCATCCTTGCTGTCATGCTGTTTCGAGTTGGCGATGATAATAAGGCCTATTGGGGCAATAATTTTGAGGGCTAGTTATCGCCTTTCTGTGAGCAATTCCGTTCGCCCACTCGGGGATAAAACCTTTCGCAGAATATGGGGTTCTTTCCCCGCGACGATGTGGCGTGAGGGCAATATCATGTCCATACATTCCAGATAATTTACTGCATGTTAAGGATGAGGCGGCAGGCAAAAGAGACGTTTTTATGACAGTAATATTTTATGCAAACATACCGGGGAGTTCACGGATCCGATATAATTATTGGATAAAGTGGCCTGACAGTACTTTGTTGCCTAGAGGAAAACTGAGGATGGGGTATGCTAAAGCAATCCTTGTTGAATGTCGAAAATTTGCTTGGTGACTGCACAGTTTCAGGGTATGGATCGGATGGATACCATGAGCCAGGTTTATTATTTATGAGAGACTGGATCAAACCGTCGCTGGTTGGTTGTCCTAACAGGGCTGAAATTTATTTCCCATGGAGCCAGCTAATAAGGAGGTATCTTTTGGTGATATCACACCCATTCTCACACTTTCCGATGAGACACCAGCTCTCTCCTCTCTCTTTTTTGTTTGTGAGGAGGGAGAAGCAAGTCTTCTTTATCGACGGCCTTGCATTCTGCTCTGCTCTCCGAGCACAGTGGATCATCGTTTTCTCGTGATAAAATGCAGGTCCCACGAAAAGAACATTGCCAAAGTGACACATCAGCTGGGCGGCAAAATGTGTTCCACATTAATGTTGCCTGGAGTTGGCGTGAAATCGTACTAGTCATTGAGTGAGAAGCAATGGAGACGATATACTCCTCCTAGATTTCCACACAGCGCATCAGTTGCCCGGACTCACCACTACTATCTGGCCACCGTCTATTGAATTCAATGAAATATGACCATTTTCAAATAAATATTAATAAATTTTAAAAACATAATTAGGGATCAATTTCCTGCCTAAAACCTCAAAGGCTAACTGCATCATCTCTTCGGTGGGTGCCATGGCAGTTGGTTGAAGTTGGGCACTAACTACATGAAAAACAGAGCGTGGTTGGATTTATGATAACTATCCAGAGATCACATGATCTGCCATACCGTAGGAGGCCAGGAGTCGCCGCGACCCGCATTGATATCAATTGGGTCTTGTCACCGCTGAATTGTTCAATCGGCGGGAATGTTCTCTTTTAAATTTGCCGTGCAGGCATCAACTATCCCAAACTCTTGCTTGTTCATTCGGTGCTATTTCATTAGCCCGTTGCTAGGTGCAAGGTAACTATTTGTTTCTCAAGCTTGCTGCGTTTATCTAGTTGTTCCCATTCACTCCTCATAGTATACGCCTGGTTAACTTCCTGGGGAATTTCAACCCCAGTCCCCTCTATAAACCACAAAAGGAACTTCGAGTAATCTCCGTTTCAGATTTGACATCCTTTCTTTCTCTTGATAATGTCGTCGCCAGATGTGGACCAAGAAGCATTGCCGCAAGAGGGCTAAAGTGAAATCCCTATTCTCCAACGCAGCCATATTTTCCTGGCCTCAATAGAATCCGGTCAGGGCTCTCAGAAGCATTGGACTACACCCTGCTTCAAGAGATTGAGGCACCAAACTCTCACGACTTCCCGAATGGCTACTTTTCCTGTGCTGACTTTTTCAAATCACTCGGACCGGCAAGCTTCCATTCTGGCTATGGCTTCATGGAATGGCATTATAACAAGAGGAGAGAAGCCCAAATGATCCTTCCATTTCTATACGTGGGGCCGACATCTGCAGCAAGGATCATTGAATTTGTGAAAGGCGAAGGAATCACGTACCTCCTCGGAATTAGGGAGCCCATGCCTTATCACGAACGTATTGTTTGTGCAGATAAATGTGCTGCCCAACTTGGTATTAAATCTGACTACATTGTCCTTGAGGACGATGAAGATTTTGCTCAATCGATTCCTGACATCATCCGCAGCATCAATGATCACTTGTGCTGCTGTCCAGTCCACATTCAGCCCGCGTCCAACGCTCAGGCACCTATCTCCGACCGGCCGTTGAAGAAAGTTCTAATTTTCTGCGAAACTGGTAATGAGCGTTCAGCAGCCATTGCCATCGCCTATCTAATGGCTATCATGAACTATGACCTTGTAAAAGCCTTCATCAATGTTCAGGGCAGAAGATGCTGTTGCAATCTTACAGATCCATTGAAGGGCAGGCTGCATACCTTTGAATCCGTCCTCACAGCAAAGAGAGATCTTGCGAAAGCGCAGAGTGACGTCGGCTCCGTGAACGGAAATCCAGGAGTTTCAAGTCTAAGGAAAAGAGCTATTGATGCCATTCATGAGGGCGACAGTGCCGTTGATGTTCCTGATGTCGACCCGCTCGAAATGGATCAACAGCGGTTTGCTTTGAGAAACTCGCAACAACCTTTCAGTGACCGCCTTGATGACTGAAGTCGATCTTAGCTAATTCCAATCATCGACAGCCCGTTCTTCACGTAAAACTGTCTGAATTCGAAATATATGCTATCATAGGGCTTCCCCCTTGTCTTCCAAAAGGACATTCAAGCTGTCATACAAAATTTCGCTTTTCCAAATTCTGCTTATTCATTTCCCTGTTATTGCCACGGGGTAAAGGCGATATTACAAGACATGCATTGGCATTTACGAGCGGTGTAAGCTGCTGGTTTTTAACATAATTAGGGGTTTGTTTTTTGCATTTCTTTTCTCCAACCATGATGGATGCCAGGCGGATGGCTTGGACGTCACCCTTCTGTTACCTACTTTTTTTTCTCTCTTTCGCTTTGTTTATGTTTTCCCCTTTGCAATGAAACAAGGTGCACAATTCTCTTCCCTAGCTGGAACCATTACCTGCTGGTTCTCAGTTGGAAAACATGGCAAATCCTAGTTTTATTCCTTCCTGGGCCCCTTTGCTTATGACCCTTTATATATTCCCTCTTCTGCCTCATGTGTTATTCCTTCTCTGTTGAACTAAACTGGAAGATCCCGGATATCTTCATGATTGCTTGATGCCTGACTCAAGCATTCACAGCAGCACTCCATTTTGTGACTTGACTCCTATCACACTTAATCTCCCTAAGGTCATAAGAGGCTCCGGTGATAGAAAATCGAGGCATCTTGAGGCCTCAATCTACATTTCTGTCATTTAAAATCTTCCGACAGTTTGTCCATTTGGTTTACAGAAAAGTAGTCATTTGATAAACTTACCTCCTTCCACCCTACCCCTTTTCAGCGATATACCCTACCACCCCTTTTCGCGTAACAACGAGCAACACAACAACACAATCCCTCGACTTTAAAAAAAATAGCATGTTTATCGCGCAGTTTTTTCCCCAATATTTTTTTTACACAAAATCCCTGTTCACCAGCAGCATTCTAGGAAAAAATCTCTCATAGATTAAGTCAAAGCAATGAATCTCAGGAACAGAAATTTCATAAAACCGCCTAGACGGTATGATGAGGTGTATGCAAAACCAGCTCCACTACCAGTCCACGATGAGCCTCGCGTCTATAAACCCAAATCTGATCCTACTCGACCTGCGTTCCCAATCCCCTTTACTGACTTTAACCCAAACTTGCCTCCTGCAGCATTCCCCACATTAGATTTCCTAAAGAGATCACTGACTCCTGAACAGAGAACTCTGGAACATCTCAACAACACAACAAGTCGTGTGCAGGGACATTCAGGGGCTAAGAAGTACAACAGTGAAAATGTAACTGATGGAATTGGAAGAAGTAAGTGTGATTACAGCCATGAACACAAACACAAAACAACAAAGGGGAGTTTTCTCTTGACAGAAACAGAATCTAATACTGACAACGACAACCTTCCAGGGGACATGGCTCACCAGGATTGGTCAGACACTATGGGTTACCTGCATGGCGCTGAGAGTAGTCCAGAGACAATGTCAGCTCGTATGGCTCTAAGCGACGATGAGAATGAAGTTGGAATCGGCGCTTCAGAAGCTGCTGGGACGTCAGGGGTGAGTTTGCTGCATATATATGTCTATTTCCAAAATTTTCAAGGTATGGGTTATCTAACAAAAATTGCTAGGATTCTCTTTGCCCGGGGAAATGGAGCGATATCTCCCCGGTTCTTCAAACAGAAATCTTCGATAATCTCCGTTCTGTTTATGAGTATCGCAAAGTTGTCGACAAGCTGAGGCTTACTCCTACAGAGCAAGTCAAGATGATCGAACATTCGTCTTCCCGCGAAGAGCAGATCAAGAACGAGAACGAACTGTTGCAAGAAATGAGAAAGAAGCAACTCCAAGCTCTGATGCGCATGGACAACAGTTATTTGAGAACACAACAGGTTCCGGCGCAGCTAGTATTCCAGACCATTTCAAATAAATGCCTGGGTGACACGATCACCAACGCAGAACCAGATTACTCTATGACCCGAGCCAGCGATATCTTGATCGCGCGCAAATATTTGAGGAGTTGTGGTTTAGACCCCAAGTTCGCTGGTGAATGGGGTAATAATCTTGTTACAATCAACAGCAATGGTAGCACAGGGGAAGACGCGAGTGCAGACACAACTGAATCTTTTGAGTGGACCGGGGAATTACCGCAGGCTATGGAAACCGATGTCCCTGAGCAAGGCAAGACGAATTACGAGAGTAGGCAAGGTTCGGAAGCGACACCTGACGACAGCTCGCAATCTGATTGTTCCCCAACACCGAAGCAGCTTCGATCTATCGATTCCAACCTAAACGCAGCTCAGCAGATTCTTCGTCACCGTCAGGAGGCGGCACTATCTCGCCCTGGCGCGACACAACCTCTCGCAAATCGAACGTCTGGTGCCAGAAATGGATCGCCCCTATGGACACAACCATCGAACCCTTATCAGGGAACCCGTCAGCCATCACCACTGCGTCAAGAGTCCGTGGTTCGACTGAAAGTGGGTCCCCAGGGCGCTGCTAGAATTCAACAGGGTCTTTTTAGGGTACAAGGTGACATGATGGCACTATCTTCCCTTGCACCTCGCACAGGAGTTTCGGGGAACATTATGAGCAAGACGAATCTTAGTTCTCAATCAGCCTTATTTGGAAATATGGAATCTCTGAGCGGCTCAGAATTACTTTCTCAGCATTGGATAGAGCAACTGAAGTCATCTAAAAAGCGAGGCTGTGATACCCTAAAGCGATCGTTGGCAGGGTCATGGTATTACGGTAAAAGCAAGAAAGAGACCGAGGCTGCTTCTAGAGCTTCGCGATTGCTTAGGGATAGACTTGAGGCAGCCAGGGCTGAAGCTGAGTCTTCGCGCCTGGAAGATTTGCGCCACGCAGCAGGCCCTGAATCAATCCCACCTGTTCCAGGGGTGAACTTACATATACCTAGCCAAGACGATGCCCACCACGTTGCGCATGCGGATTGTTTATGCAAATGTCAGGTCCTAAGGGGAAAGAGGATGGTGTCCTCACCAAAGGCACAGACAAGCGGTCAAGGCGGACCCCAGGCAAACCAGCAAATGCCCTTCAATTCAGAATTGAACTTAGTGCAGCAGATTACGCCATCCAGCAGGCCCAATATGGAGAAAGAGGCACCAGAGCTCTCCTCAATAACACCAACTCTCACTGAGACTCCATGCGAGCCCAAAGAAAACGAACTAATGAACGGGAAATCGGCAGGACATGGAGCACACCTTATGGAGATGAGTATTAAACAGCTTCCTGGAGGTACAGCTACCTGGACAAACCAAAAGAACGCGAAAATAGAAGGAAATGTGGCAATTGCAACACTCCCCTTTCGCATGAATGCCAGCAACGCATCCTCCAAACAGGAAGCAACTCAGGCTGGAACTGAAACCTCAGCTACGCCTTTCATGCCTGTCCCTGAATTGGAGATGATGGATGTGAGTTGCGAAAGCAACGTTATGGAAACAGATAATGCCCAGAATAACCAGGGCCCAGAATCAATTGAACTAGACCCTCTGGTATCCCCTGCTAGGAACAACGGGCTCTTCGGCCCCGAAGCGAGGCTACCAAATGCACCAAAGGAGAAACTCCCGGTCCCACAAAGCTTATCCGTTACAAAGCCCTTAAAGAAGAAAATTAGGAAAAGTGGGAACGGATGGACAAAGAAGAAGCCTTCGAGAGACACTGTAGGCCGAGTCAAAAGAACGACAGCACAAGTGACTAAGAAGCAAGGAGCAAAGAGAAATGTTTCCAAGCCAGAGATGCCCAACACTAGAGCAGTAAGAAGAAGCGGAAGAATTATTAAGAAAACTGCTTAAAGTTTCCACTGGATTTGTTTGCCAACTACGCAATCTCTCGGAAACTGAACATTCACTAAGAGTTCTTTTGGGCAAGGTTACGGATATATGCGTGTTGGATGTGGTGACTGTTGGTGACCTCTGGAATTTATCCTGTATTCTCTTTTCTTTCTTTCTTGATTTCTTTCCCTGCTCTGCTGTTAAACGTCATTTCAACTCAAGTGAAACAATCTGTGTGAGAAGCAAGGTGGTTACTCAACGTCTCAGAATGAGTGTGATACAATACGAACCATCGAGTCAAATGGTAGGGGATTCTAGTTGAATGCGAGATATGCTTCTCTTAGCTCCTTTGTATTTTATAACGATAACAATATCAGATTGAATGGCCGTAATTGAATTGAAAATCTAACATCCTCCTCTGCTTCTTAACTGCGAAGAAGATGTAAGGAAACTTGTTGGTTGGCGCTTGTTAACAGTAAAGGAATCCCGAAAGCGGTGAGGTGGGACCTTGATATTCTTGGCGCTAACGTAACTGCAGTAGTCTAAACGCGACATTTCGCGCCTTTTCCGAACAACCAACGCGTAAAGTGGCAGGCGACAGAACAAATTTAGATTTTGACAATCGAACGGGAGGACAGGCACAGGAGCATGCCGGATTCCATTTCTTCCTCATTCTACTCCGTAATAGAACTGGGTTTTCCTGGATTATACTGTAGGACTATCTGCGCTATCCCTGCTGTGTAAGTCGGTTCTCTCCTAAGTCTCCCTTGCTGGCGGCGAACATCGAAAGAGCCCTCACGTGCATCATAACTACTCCGAAAGTCGCACCCAAACCCCTATGTCTAGTAATTTTCTGCGGTTGATGGACAAACGTTACAAAAATAAACCATTCTAATTGTTTTCCGGCCATATAGAAACTCTCAACCGTGTTCTTGCTAGTTGCCTCCCGCAGGTTCATTCGACACCAACAATTGCTCAGCAATACGTGTGCATGGATAACACATTATAAGAGCACAAATGGCTACAAGCTCTGTTGATTCCTTAGGGAACACTCCCCAACCATCGACCCAACCATCGTCTCCCTCTACAGTTGCTTCCACCAAGAAAGGAAATCCTTCCAAAATGGAGGCGGATGAGTCACTAGGTTCTGCCGTCGAGCACATTGATGTGGAAGAGGACGACGAGGAGGGTATGGATGTCAAGGCTAAGGCTTTGACCAATTTGCTTAAGACAAGCTCTGTAGGTTCATATTGTTGTACCAATTCCTCCAGTAGCAAAGTAAAAAGCACCTATTAATCACACCACATAGGTGTTTGTGGCAATCATGGCAGATAAAATGAAAGAACAACAAAGAAAACAGCAAGAAGAAACGAAGCGCAAACTTGCCAAACAAGTTGCATCGTCATCGAAGGACAAGCCGCTTCCTACAACGTCTGAGAAGAGAGCCACCAGAGGGGGGGGCAAGCCATCTCACGCTAAACAGGTGCCATCCACTGATACCAGATCCAGTAATGGCAAGCAAACGAAGTTGCCGACAAGAAGTCATCCGAAGAAAAACAGTAGTGGAAATGTTATCTCGAATTACTTTAAGAAAGCCGATGTACAGATCTCAGAGGACAATCCCACTATCCAGGAAGCTTTAGAACAAGCAGCAGATGAATATGAGGCGAAACCTACAGCAATAGGAGAGCAGAATCTGGTAGCTACTCAGCAACCCAAACTAGTAACGGGTGGCCAGATGAGAGAATACCAGTTAGAGGGCTTGGAATGGCTGAAGTCCCTTTGGATGAATGGTCTTTGTGGGATCCTGGCCGATGAGATGGGTCTCGGGAAAACGGTTCAAGCTATCTCCTTGATTGCATTCTTTAAGGAACACAATGTTTCAGGCCCCTTTTTGATTGCAGCACCGCTTAGTACGGTAAGCAATTGGGTAGCCGAATTTGCACGCTGGACTCCAGATATTGAGACTGTGCTTTATCATGGTGGTAAGGAGGAACGTAGCGAGGTACGGGATCAACGGATGAAATTGCAAGATCAAAAAAAGGCGGATTTCCCGGTTGTGATCACGTCGTACGAGATTTGCATGAACGACCGCAAGTATTTGGCGAAGTACCAGTGGAAATATATCATTGTTGTAAGTTCGATCGAACTGCGGGTATTCTTTTCCGTAACTACTCTAACCAGATCCCAACAGGACGAGGGTCATCGATTGAAAAATCTGAATTGTCGTTTAATCAAGGAACTCCTCACATACAACTCCGCGAACCGCCTTCTCATTACAGGAACTCCGCTGCAAAACAATATTGCTGAACTATGGTCCCTTCTTCATTTTCTCCTGCCCGAAGTGTTTAACGACCTTGGCAGCTTTGAGAGTTGGTTTGATTTCTCCTCCGTGCTAGATAACAGGGGCCAAAAGTCCGTCATTGAGCGGCGCAAACGGAACCTAGTCTCTACTATGCACGCCATCCTGAAGCCATTTTTGCTACGACGAGTTAAGACAGACGTAGAAGCATCTCTTCCCAAGAAGCGGGAATATGTGCTATATGCACCACTAACCCCAGAGCAGAAGAATCTCTATCTTGAAATTATGAACGGGTCAAGCAGGGCATATTTGGAAGGAAAGGCAGCTGAGAGGATCATTGCCAGAAATGATTCTGCGAAGACCTCAAGACCCCAAAGCCTAAAACGGAAAGCTTCCAGCAGCGGCTTCACCACCCCGAACAAGAGCTCGAAATCAAGCCGTGAAACCACACCAGGAAGTTCTCTGGGTTCTGGTCGGCGCACAAGGGGTCGTCCAAGCTATAAAGACGTTAGCGATCGAGAGTTCAACGCTAGATTGCGACGTCTCGAACAAGGACTTGAATCGGAACCTGAGGAATTGGAAGAAAGTGAAAGTGAACTAGAGAGAATTGAGAGAGCCAAGACCGCTCAACTTGCCAGTAAGAATGCCCCTTGAGTTGTGATACATTTTCTCCTCCTTTCTAATTTTCTGATCATAGAAAAGGAAATTGCTTCAAAAAAGCTCCAGAACCCCGTGATGCAGGCCAGATTAGCCTGCAATTCACCACACAACTTCTACTGGCCTTGGGATGATGACCCATCGAGCGTTGACTCCTCCCTCATAACTTCGTCGGGAAAGATGCTCCTCATTGACCGCCTGATACCCTGCTTAATGTCCAAAAACCACAAAATCCTTATATTCTCCCAATTTAAAACCCAACTCGACATACTACAGGACTACGCAGTGTACCTCCGTGGATGGAACTGTTGCCGCATCGACGGCGCTGTCAGCCAGGCCGACCGCCAAGCTCAAATCGCTGCCTTCAATACAGACCCGAACTATAGAATATTCCTCCTCAGCACCCGTGCTGGTGGCCAGGGCATAAACCTGACAGCTGCGGACACTGTCATCCTCTTCGACTCGGACTGGAATCCGCAACAAGATCTTCAGGCGCAAGATCGCGCTCACCGCATCGGCCAGACGAAACCCGTAATAGTCTACCGTCTCGCCACGAGGGGTACTGTGGAACAAACACTTCTCGAAAAAGCAGATTCCAAGCGTAAGTTGGAAAAGCTAGTTATTCAAAAGGGGAAGTTTAAAAGCTTGCTGGAACCTGGTGCTGCGGGGTCGTCCACAGTCTCTGAAGCGGAAGAGTTACGAAAAGTTCTCAGGGACTCTGGCTTCGAAGTCTTGGATGTTGGTAGTGGTGTGGGGTCGACGCCGGAATCTCTGCTGTCACAGCGGGATTTGGATGTCTTGACTGACCGAAGTGATGAGGCGTATGAGAGAGCTGAGAAGGGGTTGGATAAGGGTGGTAGCAGTTTCTTTGCTGTGGAGCCTAAGAAGGAGGCAGACGCCATGATTGCTGAGATTTCTACTAAATAGCCGGATAAAGGATTGGGACGCTTAGATTACTTTATCTGTCATGGGGTATATTTTGTATTAGTTAATGCTTTTGGTTTGGAATTGAGTGGCCGGCCGGCCTCTTTAGAGCGGACTGCATTCATTTCGGAATTTTGATGGATGATTGAAGTAAGTTTATTAACGATAGTCTGCGGAAAGGGCTTCAATGCACACAGAAACCGCTTCAGACGATTAAAATGTTTACCGAACAAAAATTCTAATTAGGACCGTAATTATCGGACAGCTATCTATGTGTCATACACTTAAAAGAAGGTTACCCTCAATTAAAAGATCACAACTCGAGCAAACAGTACAAAAGACGGATATATCAATTCTTTCCAACAAAAATCAATTCCGCTGAACAAAAACACGGCAAAAAGAAACATGACATATGCCCGACACATTACAAGAAAAACAGGGCTTAGATAGACAAGGGGAAATATGTACTAAATACAGGTATCAAAAATAGAGGATCTTAGGAATGTCTCCGCATCACGGAAATCTGACGCTTCACATTCATCCAATCTACATCATATCATATCATCATATCACCGACCCCTCTTCTCCTCCCGAATCTGCTCCTTCAAATCCGCCAAAGTCTCATTCCGCTTCGCCAAATGCGCCTTCAAGCCATCCACTTGTTCACCAACCGTCTTCACATCCTCCCTCAATCTCTCCAGACTCTCTCCTTCCTTAACGCGGCCCGTCCCCTCTTTCAGCTCCCGCAGCTCCCTCTCCTTATACTCCAACATCTGCAGCGCTTCCTTCTTAATAAGCAGCCAATTAGGCCCGCCATTGACAGCACCACCTCTTCGCCCATCCCTCCTGGACTCCGCAGCAGAATTAGCAGCCTCCAATTTCTTCTCCAACTCCGCCAGCTCACGCCGTAACCGCACCTTCTCCCACTCCTCATCTTGTATCGTGCTGCTAAAATCCGTCCCCTGGGGACGATATGTAGTTCTCCCGCCAACACCTAGTCGGCTCAGGTACGCGTCCCCAAATTTAGCTTTACGACCAGTACTGGTGTCTACATTAGTGTCAGCACCCCATCGTTGCGCGGGGCGGGCATTGTTAAGTTGATAGTCGATTTTGTTGGATTCGAAAGAAGAACGGAGGGAGGCAGGGACAGTGCGGGGAATGCGATAGCCTTCGTGTCTGTTGTTGAGGATATGGAGGAAGGCGAGGGTAGCGTCTTTGGAGATTGTAGGGGAGGCGGAGGGGTTGACGAGGTTCCAGGCGGAACGGATATCGGTATCGGGCACGGCAAGGGAATCGTAGAGGGGTTGGAGTGATTCAACTAGAAAGGTGAGAAAATCGAAATGATTAATAGTGCTTTTGGGCCATGGAAGGATAAAGTTGGGGTGGGATAGGATAGGCGGAAATACATACATGTTATCTCTCCACGACTTTCGTTCGCGGAATATATCTCCTCATACTTGGACTTATCGTTCGGACTCATGTACCAGTCAAACCCGTCCTTGAGGCCAGGTGTATCGTCATCGTCCTCAACCCGTTCAAATTGAGGCTGCCGCCCTGATAGCGCCTGTGTAGCTTGAACAAGATGTGCCTTGGACTCCGGAATTAGCCAATCTGGCAATGAATGGGGTACGTCGGTGTATTCCTAGAATCATCGTATAAGCAACAAGAACCCCATGTATGTCTTTGGGAACCCGCAGAACAAAATGCGCATCTCGCACATCCCGCGCATCCCATTTAAAACACGAAAAGAAAATCAAAAGAAAACATACTCCATTAACGAGGTCAAAAATAAGCCTCATCGCAACACAAAACTCCTCAAAGTCCAGCTCTCCGTCTCCATCAACATCTGCCAAATCCCACACCTTCTCTAGCTGGTTATCTCTTAATCGGCTGTTTCTTAAGACTGTTGCGGCTTGCGCGTTGTTGAGGTGTGGGTGGCCATTGGAAAGCGAGGAGAAAATCTCCCAGTATCGCTCGAGTTCCCACTGTTCTATTCTCTTCTCAGCCATACTGGAAAGGCTAGGCGAAGCATGTGGCAGCGGTTAACTGTGCTGAGAGTGAAGGTGAGATGTTGTCTAGTTCATCTGTTGGCGCTAATGATAGAAGTGACGTTTGGCGGGCGGCTGTCGGAGAAAATATTCTCCCGCAAAATCCTGTGGCAGTGCGTTCCCCTGGATGTCTTCAGCTTCGAACAAGTTGTAATTTTGATGAAGATTTGTATTTCATGATGGCTACAGTTGAGGCAGTTTATGAAGAAAGTTGTCAATATATTTAGTCAATGTTCAATGGTTCAAGGGGTTTTTTTAATTATTTTTTTTTTAAAGATTTCTTTACCGCATACTCCGCATCAATCGCTTTTCAAGCAAGCCCCTAATCCATAATCCGATATCTCCAAACCGGTAACATCTTACATATCTTATATATGCTATAACTAGTTACATTAAAGATGAAAGAGCTCAAGATCATTAAGGCTATATTCAAAGAAGGGAATGGTGCTAGCCATAGTGCTAAGTAATAATTAATCTACATTTTTTGAGTGCTGTGCATCTTAAGAATTTCTTTGGTTCACCCATAGGAAAAACGCATTAAACTAGACCAAAAAGGAAATTAAAGCAAGGGCAAGACGTGTATCAAAAAGGAAATACATTAGTTCTCAGTGGGAGACCAGTTTCTAGCATATATTTGGTTAGAACACTTAGATGTCTTGACCCGGTGAGATGTAAGGAAATATGTGACTGATTAATCACTGTGAAATTTGGCACGAATGTGATGATTTGGAGCAGACCAGAATGAGAACTTAGGAAGTGGTTCAACCACATGTAAGAGGATAATGTATGACAAATGGAGCAAAGAAACATATCTACTTTACAAATCCTGCAGATGCCGTGGCATGAAACCCAACCAGTATCGTCGCTCTATTTTATCATACAGATAAATCGAAAAACGATTAAACAAGAAAGAAAATTGTTGTAAAAAAATTTATGGCTGGCAGAACAAGCAAATGACAGAGATCTTCAAATGTTGACTCCGGCACATGATCACGGGATGGGGATGGAGGCGGCCTGAATAAATCGAAGTGGATTCAGAACCGAGCAGGGCCCAGCCCAATATGCTCGAGTGATCACAACGATTCCAGATCACTGTTGTTTCTTCTCGTTGAAAAAATGTTTTACTTGACCCACGGCCCTCTCCACCTCCGCAGCAAGCTCAGGAGGACCTAGGATTTTCGCCAGCTTCTTGCCATCTGACTCCTTTAACAGAATAACTTCGGTTGAGTTGACGTTCCCAGTATTTGTCTCTGAAAAATCCTTTTCGTTAAGAGCCGGATTTTTGGAATAGTGACTTTCCAAAGCCGGGAGGGATGTGGGATGTATGAGTTTGTTATCAAGTAAGAAGCAGAGGTGTTTTGAGCCGCTCAATGCTAGGTCGGCCCTGTTATTAAATGGTTTGCTGAACAGAAAATATAATTTCCTTGGGGCAACTTACCTCTCCAATGCGACCACCCACGGTAAACAAAGTAGAAGAATGGGACGTTTGGAATACTGGGGGTATCAGAATAAAACAAAAGTCAGCGGAGGTATCGTGGAGTAGCGCCATGGAAAGTCGCATCCCAAGAGGAATCCTCACAGAGGTATGAGGGCGATAGGAGCCGTCAGCGGCGCAATAAGAATACTCCACCACATCCTGCTCCGGTGTAAACTTTGTCGTTCAGTAGCCATCTTTCTGAGAAGGTCTAGCACCTTGCTCTCCTTGATGACATTTTTCGGGAAGACCAACGGAACTTGGGTATGTCTTTCCAGCTCCTCAGTCTCCCTCTTCGTGTTCAACGGTGGCACGCTCTTGAGGCCCCATTCCTCGTAAGGTATTCGCTGGAGCACACGGTTTCCATAGGCAACGAGAATCTTTCTCCAGCCTTTATCAGCCTCCTCCCACCCCGCCCAGGTAGCAGATGCTTTTTCGGTGATCCTGTCAATACGGCTCAGCTCCTTCGCAGCTTGTGTATTGGCTCTTTTGCAGTAAAGGAGAGATCGCCCTGTGGAGATAGGGACGAGATAGAGCCGCATCGCAAAGGTGCGGGAAGTGGATGAATGGTTTCCAAGAATTGCGGTGATCAGAAGTAAATCAACAAGCTTGGAATATTTCTGGGAGGCTCCGAGTAGCCTTTTGAACGAGCATTTTTTCAAGCTATAGAGCACTGCGGTCAAGGGGTGGTGAAAACTGTCGAGTTGCTTGTACTGTTGATGCTGTGAGGTGGAGGCGCAGTCTGGAACCCTGGAAGTTAGACGAGACGTCATTCGTAACCAACAACAACCAAACATCAAAGCAAGCCCTGGCAAATGTTATTTAGGCGGAGGCTGTTTTTGGCGGTGGCCTGGCTTGGCGCTTTCCTTTGGGCGGAGGGCGACGACATACGGAGCTGAACACGATTCATTCCGTTCTTCTCCCAACAACCTTCTTCATTCCCCCTGTACGACGCGTATTTCGGTTTCCTGTCTATCCATATTACATTTATTTGTCTTTCTTTCACTTTTCCATTTCTTCCCCCGAATTCCGTTTCTCGATACAACTATAGTTACCTTACCATCGTTTGCGGCCAAAAATGATGGAACGGATCAACAGGTTGGCCCATTGATTTTCACCAGCAACCTCAGCCACGCCTTGGGCAAGGATCTAATTCCAGGTGATGGCAATATATGGAGATTCCCTCTTGCGTCCCCAGCCCCTGGATGCGCAAAGTGGCGGATCTCCCGCAAGAAAATCGGAGCTGTTGCTGGACGGCCAATCCCTTTCTCCGCAGAAATCAGGAACCTCAGTCTCGTCTTCGAGTGTAGGTTTCGAGGAGAGCGTCTCCGGAGTTCGATGCCTGCAGGATCAAAATTCGAATCAGCCAAACAACACGGCGCCATCGAAAGAGATTAGCATTGCAGCCCAGTCTCGACTCCAGCTGCCCTCCGCAAGAACAATCCCAGGCAAGCCCGTCCCAATTCAAAGCTCCTTAACTGGCTAGAAAGAGATTCTAACATTCACACTTCCACTACACAGCATGGGTAAGACTTGCGGATGATGACAATGACTTCCCTTCCCATTCTCCTACCGCTCCGCTCCAACCTGTAGACGCACGCATTGCCCAACACAATTTTTCTCCACACGAGAATCAGCGAGATTCTTTTACATACTACAACTATTCGATGACAGAGCCTCGCAAATCGAGATGGAAGACTTTTGCCCGATTAACCGCATACCCGCGTTCGACACACCTCCAAGAGAAGCTCGTTGACCAGGACTGGCTCAATGAGCACCTGGGGGATTATTCAGAACCCTGGCAGGGCCTTAATCTAAACGAAAAGGATCCGGAAAGCGGACAGGCTTTGGGTTCCAAACAACGCAAGAGGAGATGGGTCAAACGCGCCCAGTCCAAGATTCTGAGAAGCCCAATCGTCCCTCTTCTTATCCGCCTTGCCGTCTTCGTGTTTTCGGTGGTCGCCCTGGCCTTGGGCGGTTCTATCCGTCGCCATGCCACGGAATCTCACCAACCTCAAGGCACATCTCCCGATATGGCTATTATAGTCGATGCAGTCGCGCTGGTGTATCTGGTTTACATCACATACGATGAATACACGGGTAAACCCTTGGGCTTGCGACCAGCAAAGGCCAAATTAAAGCTTATATTCCTCGACTTGTTTTTCATCGTCTTTGCGTCGGCCAATTTAAGTCTGGCGTTTGAGAATTTGTCTAATGTTCAGAGTGCTTGTACAACGAGGGAAGCAGACAAAATTCTTGTCCCTCGAAACGACATTCTTTGCGAGAGACAGAAGGCGTTAGCTTCTGTGTTGCTGATCGTTTTAATAGCGTGGCTAATGACGTTCGCGATCAGTGCTCTAAGGTATATTGCCTATTCCATTCTATAGTTCCCTTTACTATTTCATTGAACGGGATAGATATATGCTAACAAACATATCCAGAGTTGTGGAGCGAGCAGCCGCCAAGTAAAATTTTCTCTCATTTTCATTTCATTATTTTTTCCCCCCTTAAACGGATATTTTCTTCTGGATATCATTTACTATCTCTTTTTTAATATTTTTGTGTTCGAAGCTACCCCATTTTGTCTTTCTCTTACTTGGACTGTACGTATACCAATTGTTTGGCCAATTTCTCTTTTCTGATATTGTTTTCTTCACTTTTCAAATTCCCAACTTTCTTGTTATTCCTCATATTTCACCTGTTTTGCGAGATCAGATGGTTCAAAGAAACAGAGTGTCAGTTCCAATCAAGCCATTTCTTTTCATCCCAGGCTTTTATCTTTGTATATACTTCACCACATGCACTCAAGCATGAATTTCATAGTGTTTTCCCTCACATCCCAATCTCTTTGACTGTTATGTTACGCATTCATGCGGACCTATAAAATGACTGGATCCATTAATCCATCCAAAATCATACATCAAACAAAGGACCCTTATCACCATAAACAGGATCCTTCTCAAACAAACCCACCTTCCCAATCCCCACCGCCTTATCCCCCTCCTCTTCCATCCTATAGCACATATCCCACTCCTGCCGCGGCGGGTAGGCGCCAACTCACTTAAACCTACCATCGATACGCTCCAGCAACCTATGCACCACCCTGGCAGGAACAACAAGGACATCCCCCTTGGAAACAACAGGCTCGAATCTCTCTGGGTTATCCTTATGGCCGAAACATACCTTAGCTCTTCCGGAGACTGTGCTTAACACTTTGCGGGTTGTGGAGTGGAAGTGGCTGTTAGGGATGCCTGGTGTAGGTCCATTGGGGTTCCACGGCGCCGGTTTAGGTTAGATGGTGGCTGGTTTCTGAGGCGGAGGTGAAAGGCTGGAAGGAGCTGTGGTATATGGGGAGGGGTTAGTGCTGGACTGAAGTGTTGGGGTTACGATGCCACGGTGGAATTGGTCGGTACGGTTATTTTGGAGAACGGAGAGGGGTTTGATGGCGGGAGGCATGCTGTACGGCAGTCGAATAAATTTCCCTCTACTTTCTGCTAGTTACTACATATCCACTTTACTCAAGATCATATCCCAAGGACACAATCAACATTGTCCGTCAACATATTTCACACCGTAGGAATGAACATCAACCCCGGTCTCTTTAACTATCTAATTGGTTAACTTTCGATCAGAGATTCCAGACACAACACGCCAAGTTCCGGTCGAGACTAGGGGCTCTTCCCTCCAACCAACTAGTGGCTTACCTAATACTCCCTTCCTCCTGGTGGTTGGATCTGCCTTCGCCATTCATCTTACTTACTACCAAGTAAACATTTCAACCACCACCAGCCGATGGCAAACCATCATACTCATTCTCTCCTGCTCGTACACTCCTTCTTACACTCTCATACGTTCATACTTCTCCCTCTTCTCCGTTCATGCATACCATCTCGTTTTACTCTCTTTGCCTTTACTTAATTCCCCTCCTGTTTTGCATTTTGAATTCAAAGGCAGGCGGCCTTTCTCTCACCAACACCCGTTTTGTTTTAACAAGCGCTCCTTTCCTTTTCAAAGAAGCAGTGACAGCACATCGTCCAAACCACCGGCGGTTACGCCCCCCAATCAACTGCCACTCCGCCCTCCTAGGCCCTGTCTCCCCCCGGCTAACAGACAGGCTGTTTTCCAAATCCTGAGGTCGATAATTCCAAACCGCCCCTCCATCGATGAGGTTAACTTACCCAAAACTAATACGCCGTCTATCACGCAGCCCAGCCTCGGTACAGATTGAGAGTGCAGCCATGCCTCCTTCAGGGATCCAGACTCCGCATAAAGATGACCTTGAAGAAACGTGAGTGTTGCTCGTCAATATGCGCGTGGGATTCACAAGAAGGACTCGGGGATCAGCGGGCTGACTTAGGGCAGATGGGCATATCTTGAGAAGGGAGTTGAGCGGGTGATGACCCAACTGGAGGGCGGTATTGATATGCTTACGGTTGGTGTTGACCTGTTATTTCCGGAATTCTTGGATTTATGCTAACTGGTCTTATTCTCTCTTAGTATATGGGAGTCTATACGTCAGTAATGCGCGCTACCATTGGAAGGCAGCAGAGGATCATTCGAAGCTAACAACGTGGATAGGGCCGTGCACAACTTCTGTACATCACAAAAGGCTATCTCCTCACCTAGTACCCCATCTTCCCAAGGTGCACATCGTGGAGGTAGGTCCTGAATTAATGCCTAAACTTTGACTCCAAGCTTGCTAATTTTTTTTTTTTTTTGTAAAAAATTTCCTAGCTCACCTTCTTGGGGAGGAACTATATAACCTCCTTGGCATATACCTCTCCCGTCATCTCCATGACGTCTATGAAGCCTCTCTCGGCCATTCCGACGAAGCTCTGTTGACCTTTTACATCCGAGAATGGAGTCGTTACACAACTGCAGCAAAATATATCAACCATCTTTTCAAATATCTCAATCGTCACTGGGTAAAGAGAGAAGTTGACGAAGGGAAGAAAGATATTTACGACGTCTATATACTTCATTTGGTGAAATGGAGAGAAGACTTCTTCAAGAAAGTGCAGAAGAGTGTAATGGATGCTGTGCTGAAGCTGATCGAGAAGCAACGTAACGGGGAAACCATCGAACAGTCCCAGATTAAAAACATTGTTAACTCGTTCGTGTCTCTTGGGCTCGACGAGAATGACAGCACTAAATCCACCCTTGTTGTCTACCAATTCTATTTCGAAAAGCCCTTCATTGAGGCAACCAGGGTCTACTACGAGAATGAGTCGAAGCGGTTTGTAGCTGAAAACAGCGTCGTTGAGTATATGAAGAAGGCAGAGGCTCGCCTCGAAGAAGAACGGGCCCGGGTAGACCTGTACCTCCATCCCGACATTACTAAAAATCTCACGGACACGTGTTTGGATGTACTTGTGGCGGCACACTCACCTCTATTGCGAGATGAATTCCAAGTTCTTCTGGACACCGAACGGGAAGATGATCTTGCTCGTATGTATCGACTGCTTTCTCGGATTAGGGACGGACTAGACCCCCTGCGTAACAAATTCGAAACACATGTTCGGAAGGCTGGCCTTGCGGCTGTTGAAAAGGTTGCACCAAACGGTGATGCTGTTGAACCTAAACTCTACATCGATGCACTGTTACAAGTTCACACCAAATATCAATCCATGGTGAATGTGGCTTTTGCTGGAGAATCGGAATTTGTCCGCTCGCTCGATAATGCATGTCGGGAATTTGTCAATCGTAATGCACTTTGCAACACAAGCTCAACCAAATCCCCTGAACTTCTAGCTCGATATACTGATTCCTTGCTGAAAAAGGGAGTCAAATCTCCTGAGGAGTCGGAATTAGAAGAGATGCTTGTGCAGATCATGACCGTTTTTAAATATATTGAAGACAAAGATGTTTTCCAGAAGTTCTATTCTAGAATGTTGGCCAAGCGTCTTGTCCATGTCAGTTCTGTTTCTGATGATGCAGAAACTAGCATGATCAGCAAACTGAAAGAGGCCTGCGGCTTCGAATACACTAATAAACTCCAGCGAATGTTCCAAGACATCCAAATCTCCAAGGATCTCAACGCCAGCTACCGAGACTGGCAGGAAAAGGTCATGGACGAGGAGGACAGGAAAAAGTCAGTAGACCCTCATTTCCAAATCCTTGGGACAGGATTTTGGCCCCTTACAGCCCCAACAACCCAGTTCATCCCCCCGCAAGAAATCGTCAAGACCACAGAGCGATTCAAAAATTTCTACTTCGACAAACACAGCGGCCGCAAACTTACCTGGCTATGGAATCTATGCAAGGGAGAAATCCGTGCCAACTACATCAAAAACACAAAAGTTCCATATACATTCCAGGTATCTACGTTTCAAATGGGAATCCTCCTTCTCTTCAACGAAAGCGACACCCTGAGCTTTTCAGACATTGAAAAGGCCACCGCTCTCTCGCCGGAAGTTCTCGAACCGAACCTCGGTATCCTAGTCAAGGCTAAGGTAGTTATTCCGTCACCTGAGAACGGCAAGCCATGTGTCGGGACCTCATACACGTTGAACTACAATTTCAAGGCCAAGAAGATAAAGGTCAACCTTAATATTTCGGTGAAGTCGGAACAGAAGCATGAGACGGATGATACGCATAAGACCATTGATGAGGACCGGAAGCTTCTGCTTCAGGTGAGTTTCATCCTGTCGTCCTTTTCCTCAGCTTTCTCTTGTCTTTTGTGATTATTTTTAACATATTTATGTTGCAGTCAGCGATCGTGCGTATCATGAAATCGCGAAAGAAGATGAAACATGTACAATTAGTGCAGGAGGTTATTCAGCAGGTGAAAGCCCGATTCCCGCCCAAGGTACCAGATATCAAGAGGAACATCGAAGCGTTGATGGAGAAGGAGTATATTGAACGCCTAGATGGGGACGATTTGGCGTATATTGCGTAGTACCTTGAAAACAAAGAAAGAAATTGAAAAGAGAAAGTTAACAAGCAGACGGGGATGTGGAGGAAATGACAAACAAATTTCATGTGAAGAGATACATAATTTAAGAGCAACCAGTCTGACAAGGAAAGAGTTGTGTAAGGACGGAAAGACTAGAAGTTAATTGTTACAGAGGTGACAAAATGAAATGGGAATGGATGCAAGAAGACTGGTGGTGACTTCTACAAGTCTGGTTAATCCTGTCGATCATGTATAGCTTCAGAATCAAGAGAGAAAGGGAGGGGGAAGGGAGACATCATCTCAGGAAGGCTTTTGTTAAATGTCTGTGAGTGTGGTGTGTTGCATCTAGCAAGTGATTTCCTCTCCTTCATCCCTATCATTCTTCTAATAGAAAGAATGTGACGCAAGAGAAAATCTTAGAAACTAAATTCATAAGAACTTAACTACATACATCATCAGCCTGTATTCAATTCAGCATTATTGAAGAAGTAGTTGAACTAGAATTGTAAATATGATGACAGCATGGAAACAAGAATTAAAAAAATTGATATGTGGAACAAGAGGTACATGATGACAGAGAGGCGCTTATGAAAAACATCAGGAAATGAAGGCCACAGACAGTGATTCAATCAATCCCATGAGAAGTTCCAATGAAACTCAAATCATTACCATCTTGAAACAAAAGCGCTAATGGCAACTATGCATAGGCAGAAGTATAGTTAATATCCCCAAAGATTAATAATAAAAAAAAAAAAGAAAACACGTTAAAGATAAAACAAAATTGGCCTTGAAATGAAATGAGAAGGGAAAAGAAGAACAGCAAGCAGGACAACGTAAGGAATCCCACTGCATTTGAGGAAAAAGAAGCATCAAAACTATTAGAATACGCCAGAAGCTTGACGTGTACCTTTAATTACTCGGACATTTTCCCTCATAAAAATGCATCACATAGCCTTCACAGGGGCGCAAAAAAAAAAAAAAAAGTTTATCTCGTTTTCAAAGGGAAACATCACAATCCAAACCATGCCATCCAAAAAGAAGACAAGAGAAATGGCAAAGAAACGCCAATGGTCATAGAAGTGGAAGAATAAAAGGATAAGTCTTATTGTTAGTTTCACGCAGCCCCTACTCCTTAGCCCAACAAACACGAACTTAGTTCGATGGCAACTGCGTACTGCCCGATATGCCAATAGTTGTAAAGGGATTACTTTCAGTCCATTCATCGAGGTGGAGTGGCGAAATTGCGGGTTCGGATGGATGGTTGTTTACTGTAATTTGTCGTCCGGTGTGAGTATTGGTGACAGTCCGCCCGGGGGTGTCTCTTGAGCTCTACCTGTGTCTGTGGACACCGTTTCGAGTGGCGGTTCAGATAACGAATGGTCGCGCTTCGACGTGGTGGCCTTAGCATTAGAGCTACTGCTGTTATTATTGTTATCATTATCGTTATTATTACTGTCGCTCCTCCTTAATTCACGGCTTCCTCGAGGGCTTCCTGAGTTATTACCACAAATGCTACTCTCGTCATTATTAGTAGGATTATTATCATTAATCTCCGCATCAGAGCTGCGAATATCGCTACTCCTCCGTAGAAGACTGCTCCATCTCTTCTTGCGGCTTAGGCTCCTGCTAAGACTAGACATAGACTTTCTAGATCCGTGTCCGTTACTGGGGCCTTTCTCCCGGCCCCGACTTCCCGACTCTCCCTGGTTCTTGGATGTCGCAGCAGCCGTGACGGGTAAGATTTGGCACGAAGCTAACGTAGTAGGAGACGGAGCGGTGGTATTGAAATTACCGCTAGTTTTTCTCTCTTGCCACTCCTTGCGTCGATCGTTTGCCCAAGAGCCCCAGGAGGACAAATAGGCGGATGCACGTTGTCCGGCCGCAGCAACGGTTGCTTGTGCCTGACCAAGATCCACTGCGGGTGGCTTTCGAGCCCCAAATGTCCATGATCCTGAACCGGGGTTGTTATTTAATGAAATCGATATTCGTGGAGAGACTATCGACTCTTTATCCGTAGACGGAAGTTCTGATGATGTGCGTTGTTGGGATTTTTCGTCACTCCTCTTACGCTGATTTTCTCGTATGATCTCGATGTCAGCCCATAAACTGTTGAATACTGAGCTGACCTTCCTTTGGCTCGTGGCAAGGTGCTTGTTGAGAGCCTCTCGACCCTCACGCACTCTTTCATCCAGGTGTAGTTCAGCTACTTGCTGAGCTAATCGTCTTTGGATGTCGTCAAGACCAAGGGCTCCAGCGCAGGGATGACGGGGTTCCACGATAGAAAAGAGATGTGAGTCAGATGTGAGGCGATTGAATAGAGCATAGTTCGACGTGGTCCGCCATCGTTCCAGGAACTCTGTGCCAAATTCTGATGCAGGGTCACCTTCAATATCTAAGCCTGGCGATGGAGTCCAGGAACAATTCTGAACTTCATTGTGGTACTTTTCACATGAAAGAAGGGCTAATAGATATTCTTCGAATTGAAGACGAATAAATTCTTCAGAGCCTAAGTACCCATGACTTTTAGGCCGTTCTGGGTGGGCGTCATCCCATGTTTCGTAGATTGTTTGTGTGAGGAAATCGATCCATCTCCGGTCAGCTACGGAGAGTGAAAGGGCGGATCGTAAAGATGGTGAGGAGATATTGATAGAATCTTCGTCGAGCTGCGAATACTTAATACCAATACCATAAATAACTCAGAATTTAACTATAATACTTACGTTAATGAGTATATCACTGTACCTGTCCTTCTGTTGTAAAAGCAGGGAATTTGTGGACCCCACGACATACGATTTCGTACCGTAATCAGCAAGTAGATCTAGGAGCTGAAGCGGCGTATAGGGACCAAACATGCTTCCCTGACCACAATCTTAGAACAGAGCTTCAACCGAAAAAGGGGGGAGAGCTAGGAAGCAAACCTTGCCGAAGATCTGTAAAGGTAATCCCATATATGCAAGTACTAAGAATCTGTCAATGAGCGCATACAGACAATGTCAACTACTGAAGAGGCCTACATGAGCTTCTCTCGCTCGTTTTGAGAGACGTAGGTTTCACAACAGTCTGTGCATAGGTATCAAAGGATGGGTCTGCGCAATCTTCAAGGTGGTGGATAAGACCGGGTATCAAGGAAATAAGGGAGAATTGGATCATGCAGAGTCGCTCGCAGCGAGTGCCAAAGAAAAGCATCTAGTGGGTAGTAAGCAATGTGCTTGGATTCAACTCTCAACTCGAGAGGTGGAGTAATCAATAGTTAGAGAAGTACTTTTGGCTGTAATAAAAGGCATTTAAATAGAACCAGAGTCTGGTGTTTAAATTCGTGAATCATTTCTCGTAATGAAAGTCCTTCAAAGAAAAAAACAATTAGAAAAGGAATTAAAGCCTCCGGCCGTAAGATAAACTAGAACCACTCACCAAGATACTCCTCCTTCTGGCCGTCCTCATTATTTAAACTCTCCGTGAGGCTTTCCTGGAATTTCTGCATTCCGATGGAGGTCGTGAGTCACTATTCCTAGAGGAGAGGTAATATAGGGACTAACCCTACCTTTAAAATATCCGTATCTGAAAAATCCCTAACATCGACCAAAAGTATGTTAGCAAAAGGGAATTTCCTCCTTAATCTCCACACTGAGGTATTTTTTCTTTAATTTATTTTTTACCCCAACCTCTCATATCCCACGAGTGCACTTCATAAGGAAATGGCCCCCATTAACAAATTCCTTTTAAGCTCCCTCCTCCACCAAAGATCATAAGATCATACCTCTGCGCAAACCAAGCCGACGTCACCATGGACAACTTCTGCCTCAACTGCCCAAACTGCCTGGGCTCATCAATAACCGCCACAATCGCCTTCTGGACCGTTGATCTCGTCACTTCCGGAGGTCGATTGATCAGTAATGCTGAATCTATCTGGCGTGTGCATGATATGCCAAAGAGGGAGGTAGCACGCTCCGAGTCTGTTGCACTTTGTTGCAGGGTAAAATATGAGAAGTCTTCGGTGGATCTGAAGAATATTGTTAGGCGAGGCACGATTTGGTATGGGAAAGTAAAAAAAAAAAAGAAAAAGAAAGAAAAAAAGAAAAAAAAAAACCCAGGGGTGGCAAAGAGTATATAGGGGAAAACGTACGCATGCGCCCCATCTGACAGCGCCATAAATGGTAATAGAGACCAGTCATTCTTCACGAGGATGTCGGCGCCTTCTTGGCAGAAGCAGTACTGGACTTCGGGGCCTCTGCATCCATTGTCCAAGCCAAGTTAGTTGGCAATTAAACGGACAGAAGTTTGGTAGGGAGCGAGGCAATTGGAATTTCATGAAGGCAATATATAGATATATGTGACTTTCGCCGACCCTCACCCCCCAACTCAGCCCATCATGTAGGTGTGCATTCCATACATAGAGAGCCAACTAACCTCGCATGATGAAAATCAATAACCAAAATAATGGGTTCCCGGCTCTTGCTATGTCGCATTTTTCTTCTTCACCCTTTAAGCCGTATATTTTTGTACCTTTATTTCCCCTCTTTATTATTCCTGCGCGGTCCTCGTCTCAGCTGGGACCTCGGGGTTCACTCTTTGTTGATTGATATTAACAGCCCACTGGCCGGCGAGGGGGGGAAACACTTAACTATAATAGCGGCAGCTAGGAAATACGCAAGAACTCCAAGATAGTGGATATCAACCAGCAGCGATGTTGTTATCTCATTGGGGGAACAGGGCTTTTTGGGGAGTTCAGCTTTGGGACATTGTTGTTGATGGAACTTGAAGATTCGTGAGCTTCACTAACTTTAATGGATCCTTGTCACGGAGAGCTGCCCGTGAGCGGAAAGGGTCACGTGTTTATATGCCAACTTCTTTGGGGGCCGTGCCAACCTGGTAATTCGTCTGAAGGTTACAAAATGGAGGCAATGTTAGAAATATGGATATGATATCTCTGGGCTTTCTATTCCTTTCGTATCTGCCTTATCTATTAACATTTATCTAAAATGCTATTTACAAATCGTATCATTTTTACATCATCCATCCATGTCGACAAAAAACGGTAGGACGGCCGGTGCTTTCGTCGAGCATGGATATAGACCTCGCAAGGAGAATATTGAATGGGGAAAAAAAGGCCATTTCACTTTCAGGGTTTGTGCGTAGGTATTGTGGGTAAGGTGATGTAGCTATAGTTTTCATAGGAGAAAAGAGAAATTGACGATGCCGATTGCGCTGTCTCACGAAGTTTCCAATTGGGCCAACGCCTTTCCAATTGCAAGTCGATCCTCCCGCCCTTTAACCAATCAAGATCTCAGCCAGACTGACTGGCCGGCCACGAAGGGTTTGAGATACACGAAATCAAGACAAAAAGACGAAATACGCCAAGCCACCCAAGAAGAAAAAGACAGCGAGGAAAGTTCAGGTACGAATGTGTGAAAGGCCATAAAACGTGGGACAAAATGAAAGGGGACATATTTAACATGATGCTTCATATCAAAATAAAAACGTTGAATATGTGACGTAAAGGGGTACCATCAAGCATCATGACAATTCATCAAAAGCATTCGGTTCGGGGATGGTTATGGAGGCAAAAATGTGGTTTGCAACCCTATCCTCCACCGTAAATGATGATATTAAATAGGAGATCATGATGAAAAAGGAAAACAAAAATATGGGACCAACGTAGGAGAAAAGTTATAGTCGTTCAAAAAGTGGAAAATGCAAAAGAAAAAAAGCGGTGATAGGCTAAAACCGTGGAGTAGAAACGTTATGATCATATCGAGTATTTCCTTCTCAGGGAGCAAGGCGGATGAATGTATCAATGAGTTATGCCAGCAGGACCAAGCCATAATCAATTTCAAGTTTCCCAACCTCTGTTTGTTTCTTCTTCGCAGTAATTCAATTGTTGATCTCTTCGAAATATTTATTTCTCTCGTTTCAGCACATTCGGCATACTATGCGATACCACATCACCTGCAGCAGCATCGAGAGGCAGTTGGTTGTTAGGATCTTGCATTAGCTGATCAACGTTGTGGTAGTCGAGAATTTCAGAGTACCTAAATGAATGTCAAGAGTAGATTAGATACGACCGTTCTCGGGTGAAAAGGATATTTATCTTGGCAGGAATGGAAACTATTAGACCGCCAGACCGCCAGACCGCCAGACCGCTCTAGTCTTGGCTGAGCTGGCCAAATTACACCAAAAGATTACTTACATCATGATCTTCCACGTATCAACTGGTAAGTCGGCATCGTTAAAAGACCAGTCGAATTTCTCGTCGGCTACTGGCTCGTCGGTTGGGTCATGGTAGGGGGAGAGGTATTCGTGTGAAAGGGACTCGCTGGCAGTGATTCGTTTCTTCGGATCGAAAACCAACATCCGCTCGAGGAGGCTGATGGCTGTATTTTTATCAGTTAGCAGTTGTGTAACCATCTGACCAGTGTCCCGATGCAAAGGATCAGGTGGCTCAAAAGAATGTGATTTCATACCAAGAGGGTCTGCATTCTGAAACTTGTTGCTCAGGGGCTGTCGCGGCCGCTTGGGCAGGGACTGGACAAACTGCAATGTCTATAATCCAGTTAGGCAGTCCGAAGTGAAATAAAACGGCCTGGTGTATTGTAGGGGTCCACATACGTTGACACTACAGATGGTTTCAATCACATCATCTGGAGGAGTTCCCAGCAGCTCCGTGATAATAGAAAATTGATTCACGTGGTCCTTCCCCGGGAACAGAGGTTTGCCTTCCAGCATCTCTGCAAAGATGCATCCAGCGCTCCACACATCTACCTCAATATCATATTTTTGCCACGTAAGCATAATTTCAGGCGCACGGTAGTATCGCGTCGATACGTAGCCGGTCATTTGGGGATCTTGAATACGGGCAAGGCCAAAATCGCAGATCTTCAGGTCGCAATTCTCATTAATAAGAATGTTACTTGGCTTGAGGTCCCGGTGGACCACGCCCGCGGAGTGAACGTATTTCAGTCCCCGCTGTTGTACACAAGTTAGCCGGAAAATTCTAACATAGGATTGATTAACATTGGTGAATGGTAAAAGCCAATTATAGCAAAAGAACATACCAAGATCTGGTACAAAAAGTATTGGATGAATTGTTTTTCAAGTGGCCGTGAGGTGAGCAGTCTATGTAGATCTGTCCCAAGAAGTTCTGTAACAAAGTATCTATAAACAACAGGGTTCGTAAGCAAGTGGTCAACCAAATCTTAGAGAGGGGAGATGGTCCATACATATCCTCGAGGGGTGAGATGAAAATATCGCTCAAACTGATAATCTACAAAACTGTTAGCATAGGAACGATATAGCCCGGATTGTAATGGCACAAACATTTTCATGTCGCAAATGCTTGAGCAGTTTTAATTCTCTGTATGTTCGCTTTGCGAGAACGGGGGTGCTAAAGGGCTTCATGATCTTCTTCACGGCAACGGCCTGCCCGGTCAATTGATCCTTTGCTGAGCTATACAATGATCTATCAGCGGGTTGACTCCCTGTATTCCAAATTGTTATTGCTAAGCAAGCCTCTCCCATTCCCCAATGTCGAGCTTCGGAGAGACGATGTGGTGATGTGATGCGGGGGTTTCTGCCTACCAGACAAGTCCAAAGGCGCCCATTCCCACGGGTTGAAGATCAGCGTATCTAATGAACAGCTCTATCAAAATTTGGTCCTCAAGGAAATTCGATAGATAATTGACATCATATGAGAAGTTTGGGCAAGTTATTTGCATACCTGTTTGTGATCTCGAAAGTGGTGCCAAAAATCTGGGCGCGAACAAACTCCGCCATCTTGCACTGATCCATAACTCTCAGCTATGAGAAATAAGCCGTCGTAAAAGTCGTGAAAGAGGAGTAAAGAGACAAAAGGAGAGTATAGGCGATCGGAAAATAGGTGCAGATATCGTACTTTTCGTTGTCACCAATGTAGAAGTAAAATGCGAGCCGGTGGTTGAATATTTATTACAGATTTTGCCAGGGAGAAGAGCGAGTGAGGTTTCTGGAGAGTCTTGGCGAAGGAAACTATCGCCTCCGGAGGGATTATTGGCGGATTGAAATTCGAAGCGTTTAATGGTTTATTTCGTGGCAAGAAAAACTCCGTAGCGCTGGTAGGGGATGTTATTGAAAAGTTGAGAGAAGAGGGGCTTGCGGAACGATGAGAAATTGCGGGCCAAGTCGAGCTTAGCTGGTTAAGGAGTTTTATCCCTTGGATTTTGAGGGTTAGCAGCAAAACGAGGGGCAAGTCGACACGACGACGAAGCAGGAATGAATCACTGCAACAGCAGAGTGGCGATAAAATAATCTCCAATCAGTAAATAAATAGAGGCCTGTCAAGTGTTGAAGGATCAAAGGCAGGGCGATTCACAATTTGGACAGAACAGTCGCTAGATGATGGGACAAATAAGCTCGTGTTGCCTTTTCAGTTTGGAATTGTTCTTCCAAACTGTCGGGGGAGGCGAAAAACACAGAGTTTGGGTGCGGATGGGGAACCTCGGCCGTGGCTAAAAAGCCTTACGGATCTTCCTCTGAAAAGACAGTCAAACATTATTTAGGCCTAACAGCTGTCGCCAGACTTAATAAACTATTATTACATTTGATTTGATATTATCTTCTGACGTATCCAGGTTCAAGATCTCTTCTGAAACCCATCCGATGCACGTCCACATCATCGGCGATTTATCCTATACTCTTATTTTGTTATTCAGCTAACAGCCAGTGTGTCTTGGGTCAACGCCAGACTTGCTAACGACCAATGCCAATAGAATGTGCTGAACAAAATATTCATCTAAACTATTCAATCAAAAGGAACCTGAAGAGTAAAATATCTAATACCCTAATCCAACTTCCGCTTCGCCTGGACTACATGGCACATGCATATTTCTGTCAGAAGCTGTCCTGGACTATGGCATTGGCCTGGCACCCATGGATGGAACTCCACTGACAGCTCTTGACATGACAGCGGACTGGATACATTCCTGATGAGACCTATGGGCGGTCCATAGTGGGGCTTAGTTGAAGAAACCGGGTTTATTTAACAAACTAGCACAGATAATGACGAAGATGATATGAAGCTGCTCTTGGGGTCCTGCTCAGACACATGAGAGACTTTACTGTTATTCTTCTATTATTGCTGTTGTTGTTGTTGTTGTTGTTGTTGTTACCTTGCTCCCGGGGCGGGAAATGGCCCTTCCCCGCTGCGGTAAACCAACCGTCCCTGTTGCGGTTGGGGTTGGCGCCGCTAACCGCAGGTAAAACCGCCCGTCTGGATAAGCCCACCCACCCGCTTGCTTTTCTAGAGCGAACCTCACTCCGCTGCTCTCTCTTTCTTACCCTTGACCAGTGTCACCCTCCCTCGCGGCCCCGATCCAACCTGGATCCTCATCCTGCGTCCCGGACCAGGAATCTTCACTTATCCGCCTTTCTCACTTCACGCTCTCTTCACCTATATTTTGTAGAACTTCCCACCCCTCTTTAGGCCCTTTGCCCAGCACTTTACAGACCTGTCTTACCCTCTCTACAGTAATTTCTATGTCATGAGCCATTCAATCTCTCATTATCTGACCAACTTACTTGGTGTAATGCGGGGTCTGTTTTGTCACCTTTCTCGTTGAGGTTCTGTCAGCCCCTTTATTGCCTTGACATATATTCTCGGTTGGCCTGGTATGATCTTGTGGTCTTGCTAGTGAAAAATTCTCTCTTTTCTAGGAAAAGAAGCATGGTGATGTGTCATAATAAAGGAAAGATATTTCTTTGCATATTCAAGTCTTTTGGAGTAGTTGATAAGTGATACAAAATATGATTCAAATCACTTCAGTATAAGTGAATTCTTGATCTTCCTTTTAACTAGTAATAAAGTACTAAATTAAAGATAATCAGAAATTGACATTTAACCTTAATATGATATTAAATAATATATTAAATATATTAAAACTAATTATAATTAATATAATAATAATGATTTTAATTTATTAAATATTATGATATATATAAATAAAATTAATTAAAAAATAGTAACAATTTTAACTTAATATATAATAATCTTTTTAATAATAAAAGTAATAGTAAAATAATATAACTATACTACTAATTAAAGTAATAATATATTTGCAACAGGCTAACACTCTGTTAATAATCTTCCATAATCAAGTCGTCTACACTTAAATCTCATCATCGGACTTACTTCTTTATTCTTAAATAAATTTTTATAAAATAACTAAACTAGTTGGTTAACTAGTTAACACTGTGAAATACACTTAATTATAATAATAATTAAAGTTTAACCTATAATAGTAACTTCCCTTATCATATTAAGCACATGCGGCTTTGGATTCGGTGCTAAGAGTGACCATGAGTTCAAGCTCTAAGGTCCAGATTTTACCACTGCTGGAATTGATTGAAAATAATAAAATGACATCAAAGAAGTAACTTATTGATGGGTGAAATTGTTAAATCAATAATAGTCAAGGAAAATAATCAAGAGATATGATCAAAATGACTTGGCTATGACCATCTTGGCCACTTGAATATAATCTGATCCCTGGATATAGGTGTTTGTCCCCAGATTCCACGAATGATATGAGGAATCTCTCCTCACTTGCGATGTAATTAGTAGTTCTATTCTTAGTCGTAAAAACGTAAAAGGCTAACAACGGTGCATGGTTTTGATGGTTCCAAGGCCAAGAGCGGGAAGGGCTTAAACCATCCTGAAGAAATGAAAGCAGTGTAGCAGTAGAATTGTCCTTTTCTGTTCATAGTTCTCAGCATTATTTCATGATATATCTCCCAAGTGGGAGCTGCCCACGAAACCCCCTTAGGCACCGCAACTGCGTAGTGGAAGTTGCAGCGCAGTTACGTCTCAGCTCCGAAGTGGCCTACCGAGGCCTAGAGCTAACTAGTTATGGACAAGAGCCACTTGCCACCTCGAAGGATCATATAATGTGGTTAATCAACAGAATTGCATAATTGCATAGTGGAAAAGAGTTCAGCTGGGAAAGCAGTGTCTAGACAGACAGGATTAGTAGTGATTCTCCACCAAAAGGGAGTTTGCCTTGGGAGTAGGCAGTGTTTGTAAAAAAGAAAGAAAGAAAGAAAGAAAGGTTGACGGGGAAGACCAGGAGGGGAATGTTATCTGGACGATGAATATCTACCAGCCCTTTACATGAAATGTGAGGCCTGCAATATTTCAAGAAAGATAATTTCCAAGACATTTTAACAAAGCCCACAATCAGTAAATCAGGGGTGCTCCAACATTTCGCGCGCTGTTGCCCGTTTTTGAAGATCCAAATTCGTCATTCTATGGATGAGATTCTCGAACTTGTCGTCATAAACATTCGGCCACTCTGAGAATGACTTGTAGCAACGATAGTCTACCACCCGATCATCCCAAAGATATCCAAGGACCTCGCAGTTGACTCCCTCATCACCAAGGTGTGTCATGAGCCCGTTCAATTCTTGTCGATCCCCCAAAAAGAAACCTGACGTTGCCTGCTAATGATATGAGAGAATGCACCTTGTGATTCATGTTTCGGTAAATCCTCATTGGCTCCAAAGATGACTTTTCCGAGCATAGCATAGATGCACTGAGTCAGTTAGCTAGGTAAGAGGCTAATCTCAAGAAGTGCAACTTACCACAGCTGTAAATGAGAAGATGTCAGATGGCTTGCTAAGTTTGCACTAAAAGTGGTCCTCTGGGCTGCACCAGCTATCGTTGCCGGCTAACATCCCTATGATACACCTCTCTTTAGGGAGATAAGCTGAGTTTTCAAGGTCAATGATCTGAACCTGCTCAATAATGGTCTCTGTACCAGTACCGCGGTAATTGATCATGATATTGTCAGATTTGATATCTGGAAGCAATTAGACTTAGGCTACAGTTCTGAAGAGTGCTTGCTTCACCTAAATGGACAACGTCATGTCAGCAATCCCTTGCAAACTGGCTTTTAGAATCTGCTTCCTGGCTTTCATGAGTATTTGCTTTCTAACAAGGCTCAAAAAGTCATCATTCATGTACTTGTACACAAATATCCGCTGATCCCGAACTGTGTCAAGCGGTAACTGTAGAAATGGGCTTTCACCAAGCCGTGAGTGTAATCCCTCGCAAAATTTTGAGGAGAATATGGGCACCTCCATCCAGTTAACTGATTGGTGCTGCTGGACGTCGCTATCTCTTCAAGAAACTTATTCAGAAAAGACTGCATCGCAGTCGCGTTTGGTTGGCAACGAGCGCGCATACCCGTAGGTCTGGACAGGAAAAATTCATCTTGAAGGACATTCCCAAGGCCATTTTTACAGGCTTTAAAGAGGACATAGGAAATTTTTTTTTTTTTTTGACTAAGAAAATACTTGAGCAAACGTTGAGACCTAGGCACTCCATTTTGACCGATTATACTCCATATGCACACTAGTCGACTTGCGGTTGGTTTTTTTCCCTCCGAGACTACCCAGCTTCGTCACGTGGTTTGAGATATTGTGTGGGTTGGTTGATTCCACATACAAGAATTTGCTGGCTTCAACTACTTTTCATATGAAAGGCGTAGCAAACTGATAATGTTTAAATGCCACTGTGCCTAATGGTTTCGTAAGCCCGTCTGCCGCCATATCCTCCGTGGGAATGTGGTCGGTTTGTTGGATTGATCGTCAGATTCATTGACTGTCGCCATCACAGTCTCCATAATGATAGGATTGGGCGATATAATTGACCGCTTTGGACACATGGTGGACATGGACTTCTGAATCTCGTTCGATAATCTTATAGATGGAGCTTTGGGGTGTACGAATCGCGGTAAATATGACACCGTTTGGGGCACGTATGATGAAATAAGACGGGGTGGATGAGGATAGTTCAAATCTGAAGCCTTGATCTTCTAGCTTCACGAATGACAACAGGTTGATGGTGAGGTTCGGGATCCAATGCACGTCGCGGACCATGATATCCCCCCCGTCTGATTCTAGGAGGATATCCCCTATCTCCTTAACCTGGTCCATGGACTCCGGCGGCTGCTCACCTTAAGGTTCCCCTCGAATGACTTCGTACGCATCATCAAATGCCTTTCACCGTTCATATTAAAGCTGGTGCATGTGTCGAGATACCAGGGTTTGGAGGATATTTCGGACGACACGGGTAGAGCGATCGCAGAGTTGGCACTCGGTTGGGAGGCAAGTAGATTCGGCATTTTGTCATTAGCTTTGTCTTCCTTGCTATTCTTGTTTTTACCTTTGCTCCTATAATTCTTTGATTTTCATCCGCTATTTCATCATTCTCAATAATTTTATCCTTATTAGCCTCCCTCCATCATTCGGTTGCCAGTTCTGGGTGCAGATGCCAACACGTCTTCTTTGTATGACCTGCGTGCTCGCAGATTTCGCACTTCGTGAATGTTGACGTGGAAGTGGACGCACTGGGCTGAGGATTGCCGTCATTCGCGGCAGCATTCACCCTATGTGTCTTCGTACCTTCGGTCTCCTTCGTCTTGCTCGTACGATCGGTCAATTGTTTCATAAGATTGTCGATATCCAAGTATCCATGTTTACGATCGGATTTTGGCCTGTCGCATAGAAATCGTCAAGGCAAGTCTTTACGATGGCTCTCCGGTGGTCTCGTAGGCCGTTGAGGAAGAGATTATGATAAAAATCATCACTTTTGGTGGCCAATTCCTTATGGCGTGCAACAAGGTAGCGGAATCTCCTCTGGTAGGCAAGATAATCATTTCCTTGACAAATAAGGTCGAGATCTCTTCATAACGTTCATACGCTCCTCTGCCAATGAGACAGCGTATTCAATTCTAATCTTCTGCCAGCTGCGTTGTCTGGTTCCAACACTCCAATCATCGTCCGTACAGGTCCTAGCAGGGACTGCAACATTCGACGGTATAGGACCTTCTTACGCACTATCCAACATTATTTTTCTAGCGGGTTAGTGTCGTATTCTTCAGGCGGTTCGTGCTGGTTCTTCGTCAGGATATCTGTGCCGCCGATGACCTCTGCGTCCGCAAGGATTCTTATCCTCCAGGCTTGATAGTTGGTTCCATCGAATGTCGTCACGGCCTTCGTATCCATCGAAGCTTGAACCTCTTTGTGGTATTCACGTATCTCCTGTTTAGGGTGTACGCAGGGTTGTTGCTATTGTCACTCACTCGGGCATTCTCCCGCGTAGCCATCATCTGCTGGCAAAACGCGAACAAATTGGCCTCAGTCATGGTGATCATTCCACTGGCATTAGGGGCAGGCGTAGGACTTAGGGTCCCATCATCCAATTCATCGCATACGGGCTTTTTTCTCGTATCACGGCTTGAACTAGCTCCTTTCATTGCTTACTCTTCCAACACGTATTCGGTCTCTCCTTCAACTGCTGAGCTGGCTCTGGCACCTGGTCGTACTCTTCTTCGTACGCCCGTGGTAACGAGCCTTAGGGCTTAGAATGAGAACGTAAGGATCTCTTTCATTCTGATTGAGGAGTAGGGGAGTAATCTGCTCATCTGGTCATAAGAACGGGGTATCTTATGAAAAGAAAGAAAGAAAGAAAGAAAGAGAGTTTTGTTTTGATTCCTTCAAGAACACGATCGCTTTTTGCAAGACAGTATTCCCGTGGAATCTTCTGATTTCAGGGCAAAAAGAGCATTCTTTTATGGAATTGACGTCAAACTCATCCAGTAGCTAATCGGCACAACGAAATCTTGAATAAATATCACGTTTTTATCTCAAAAACGTGCAATCCGGGCTCACAACCTGTGGGATGGTTGATTTTTATTAGGGGAGAGGACTAGCCAGCTAACTAATATACGTTTATATCACGTGCGGCGCGGCCGCTGCCCGGTGTTGTCTTGATAAATGTTGGACGTCTGAAGTGGTTGTATTGGTAGCCTATCTCAGGGATGCTATATACTATTGTGCGGTGCGCTAGTCCATAATAGGAAGCCTAGGCTCCAACAATAAATAACGTAATCCGACACATTTTTGATCAACCTATATAATCAATCCTTCACACCAGCCCTTCCAGGTCAGCAGAGAAGCTTCTAACCAAGAAGCTAAACTTCCAATATCACTTAGTGCCTGGAATAAATATAAATATTGAATCACACACTAATCTACTATGATTTAAAAATACTTTGTTCTGCTCAAAGAAAAAAAAATTCTTGAAGAGATATCACATGATGTTGTAACTGACACTCAAAATCTGTTTCAATTATATATAGAAGCTATTATAATAGGTAAGAGAGATGCTTTGAGATACACTATTCTGCTAAAAGAAGCAAAAACTGAACAAAGAAAATCAAAGTTATAATAAGAAGCAGATTCTGAATAAACTTTTTTATGAATTTCACACCCCCATTACAAATTATATAGCATGAGATGGTTAAAAGTTTCAAATCATTTGATTCCTTTTTAATATTTTGTGTCTTTTGTAATATGACGTGCTAGCAGTTGGTTACTCTAGGCTATAAAAAAAGAAATGGTGGGTTCCAATCATCTCAGAAGTTCAACTTATCTTCTGTTCCGCAGACGCAAGATGAGATTAATCCTATCCAAAGGGTGACGTCAGGGCATTGATTGCACATGTGGGGAAGCAGTGACAACACACAGTTTTCCGGAAATGGTTTAGTGCTATGCCTTCCAACGACTGATAGTTACCGTTGTCAGCCCCCATGTTGATGTAAAAGGGTCATATCTTAAAGTGTTAATAACCACTCCACAGACCATTAATATTTCTCTTTCTCAGCACGATCTTTCTTGAAAGATGAATCCAACTTCCTTGGCATGGTTAGTTAGAGTTTTTGACAAGAGATAACCACATCATTTGTATATTTGTCCACATCATCAGCAAACAGAAACAGTCTTATCTTTTAAAATTGTCTGTTAATAATTATCAGCTTTTCTTTGATGACCACTTCTGTCCTTCCAAGAACATTTTAAAACTGAGTGTTCTCCAAGCGCTCTTAAGCTTTTCTCTACGAATTATAAGAGGCAAAATCGGAATATCGAGTTTTGAGAAAACAATTTGAATTAAGTGGGGAAAAGCACGATATTCTACATCCCTGTTGAAAGTAATGGTCCACAAAATTAAGGATTTGAAAACAAAAGATGAGGCAAGACTTCTGCCGCCCTTTCCATACACAATTTAGTCAGGCATTAACCGATATGCAGGCTGTCTGTTTGGATATCGACGACCCAGATTGGCAACCGTTGGAAAACAATGTCAAATTAAAGCCCTCAGAAAACACAGTCTTCGTCGTCGTCGATGCCAGGAACAAGAAAGGTGCGATTTTTGTCCACGAGTCGGAGAGCAATGAGTATGTCGGAGGTTTTGGAATCGATGAGCTAGGGAATGTGGTAATTATCCCTTGGGATCATGGCTGGTTTTACTACACCACCGGCTGTCTCCGGGTAGGGTATATGGTGAAGTTGGAGGATTAGAAGCCGTTGGGCCAGGGCCATCCTTAACATTATTTGCGGACGTTGTGTGCGGCAATCTTATCACCCAGTTAGTTTCCTTGAGATTGGAATGATTATGAATGGCAAGGCGCTCGGATTGAATGTTTTGTTAATTATATTTTGCCTTAAATCTAATCGTTCTCGCTTCTTGGGCATCTTGAGCTGTAAGTTGATAAATGTCTTAGGTAAGAGATTCTAAACCCAGTCAGACACGCATGTGAATATCTGCTGAAGACGTACACTGTGGCTGAGCAGAGTCACTAAAAGAAGTTCCTGCAAAGCTGTTTAGAATTTGCAGAGTGTCTGATGGATCTCAATGTATTTGCAATAGAGGGTACATTACTATTTACGCAAACTAGAATAGCAACTTATATGTGATTGAGTCCCTCAGCATCACAAAGTGAGCCTGCTTGAGCAGCTGGCTTCTCTGGGTGTGCAGTACGTACTCTCCCACCCACCTTCGAAGCTTGGGAACAAGCTGAAGATGACTTTAGCTAGCTAGAATTGTGACATTCATGCACAAACAAACATAAGTGAAAACAAAAGTGTTGTGTGAGGAAATCTACTCCAGATTTTCACAAGCTGTGAGTCTTCTATGATGGGTTGTGCCTGGCTAGCAGTGAAATGAAGCAGTGTCTTCATTGAGAACTGTGTAAAGAAAACTAAAATATTGTAAGTTAACTCCTCATTGACTCATGATTGTTATAGTTGTATTCTGTTCTTATCTTCTTCAAGCAATTTTATGAGAGGATCTACATTTGACGTATTAACCACCATGATATTTATGGAAGATGAATGGGACGGATGGAATATGTGGAAAGGGTGATATCAGAGAAAGTAACAGAAGAGATAGAAGGAAAATGTTTGTCAGACTAAGTCCTATTGCTTTTATTTCTTTCATCATTTCCGCAGTTCTTAGAGTTTTCAAGGCCTTCTGCTCTATTGACTGCCACAGCTTGACAGCATCACTATTTTCTTTTATGTAGTTACAATGAATTATCTCACTAACTAGTTACTGCAAGCTACTGCAAAATATTAACTGTCTTCAATTTCATGTGTTATTCATTTCCTGTCAACTGCACAAGGTGTCAAAGATTATAAACATGACATCTAATTTGTCTTTTACAGAGATACCTATGAATTAGTCGTCAAAAAATAGGTTATTGATTATTCATAAGTCCCTGTACTGATAGAATATGCCCAGCTTCCATGATTTGCAAATACACAATCAAATGTAGACATTCACAGTATATGATGCAGTGTGCCTCACATAGTCTAAGTTGATATATACAACTTATCGTGTATTTAGATATGTGGAAGGACGGTTTAAGATAGACAGATGCACAGAATGAAAATACAACAGCATATAAGAAGACATGATTCTCTTAAATTCTAAGACAATGAAATAAATCATCAGTGCAGTTCCTTAAACCAGTTTCCAAGAGATTTGATCCATCAATTACCATAAAATATAAGACAATGAAGCTCAAGGGCAAGGCCTCTGCCACTTCTCTGCGGGCCCAAACGCCTTCATGAACCCCCATTGATGAAAGTTCTCGCAGAGTGTGACACTGGGAGATTAATATCAGCGTTCAAACTGAAAGACGCTCTTCATTAAGTCAGGGCGGATTCCACCGCCTTCAAATCTGATTCCTTGAAGACACCACACGTGGGTTGATTGAGTGTTGAAACTCCCTTATCTGCCGTGAAAATAACCTATTATCGTCCTGGAGACATTGATAAGACAGTGCAAGCTCCCATCAATGGTCCTCTGTGCTCTCAAAAATCTATGCTGTGTTCAGCACACCTTTTCTGCCACATTATCTCTTTGAGTGTGTTACTATAACAGGGGATTCAAGCTCCCAATACTCATGGCAGGATATATACCTCCGGAACTTTTCAACTTGATGTGGTTTGAAGTGATTGTGCAGCTCCTTACATATCAATTAATAGCTTTGCTCAAAATTTTCTTGGAGTTTGAGTTCAGGGGTTTCTCAGAAATGGAGCACTTTCATCAGCTATCTGAAGAGATTTTGATGAAAAAATCAGTGATGTGATCAGCCACATTAGAAGAATTTTAATTGCCAGTTGGAAGATATATTTATCTTTTCAAATCTACTAGATATATTCTTAATATGTTGAATAAAAAAAAAAGAAGAAAAAAGAAATTTTTTTTGTTAAATGACAAGAGAAGCAATATCTTATTATGTACTTTTATTTTTATAATAATATTTAATATTAATAAGTCCTAAATTTAACTTTTTTAAAATAAAATAAAATATTAATATTACAAATTATTATATTTTTACTATTTATAATTATTTTTATTAAAGATTAAAATATAAATAATAAAATTAATTAAATAAATAAAAATATATAAAAAATATATAAAAAATAAAAATAATATTAATATTAATATATTTTATAAATAAAAATTTTTTTTATATTAATATATTTAAAATTTAATATATATTTACTGATTTTATGATAATAATTAAATTAAATTAAATTAAAAAATTAAAATTTTTTATTTTTTATTAAAGTATTTTATTTATTTATCTATATATATATATATATATATATATATATAATTTAATATTATATTTATTATATTATAATTATATTTACTTTAAAATTTATTTTTATATAAATTAAATTAAATTATTAATTATTTAATATCTTTTAAAATTAATTAATAGTTTATATATATTAATATAAATAAATTATTCTAATATAATAAAATTTTACTTTTAATTAACTCTGTTTAAAATATTATTTTAACTTTTATTTTTCAATATTTTAACTATTTAAAATATTATTTTCTTAATTAATAAAAGGTTTTTTAAATTAAAAATTTTACTTTAAAATTATACTTTTTTAAATTAATTAAAATTATAATAATATTTATAAAATTTTTAAAACACTAAATATAATTAATATATTTTATATTTATATTATTATCTACTTTATATATATTTTTTAATAATATAAAATTAACTTATATTAAAAAACTAAAGAAATATAATAAATATAAAAATATATAAAGAAAAATATTATTATTTTTTATAAACTTTAAAACTTAAAAAGTTTATAATTTAAATAATAATTAAAATATAATATTATTATATATATTTTTTTAAATTTATATATTAAATAATATATTTAAATTATTTAATTTTAATTTAATATATAGTTTAGCTATTTATTAATTAATAAAATAATTTATTATATTTAACTTAAATAAATACTATATAGTTTATTTATAATTTTTTAATATAATATAAAATTTTAGATTATATTTTATTAATCAATTAAATATAATTTTTATTTTTAATATTTAATTAAAAAGTTTATAATTAACTTTAAAATAAAAATTAAAATTATATTTAAAAAATAAATTTAAAATTAAAATAAAATATTTTTTTAATTTTTTAATATAATTTTTTATATTATATATTTTAATAAATATAAGTAATATAGCATATAATATATAAAATATTAAATTATTTTATATTTTATTATTATTAAATTTTTTATTTATTATTGATATTTTTATAATATATAAATTTTAAGTAGTTAAAATTATTATTTATTTTACATTTAATATACTTTATATACATATCTTTAAAAGCTATTAATAATAATTAAAGATTAAAGCTACTTATATTTTTCTAACAAGTAATATGCTTAAATCATATTTAGTATGTTAATGTTTTATTATTAGTATGAGTGAGAATCCATTGGAGTCAAAGTAATAGTCAATAATATCATGAAAACCTTTCACTTTTGACTGCTCCAAGGCCCTCAAAGTTCGTTTTATCCCACGGGTTTGTCATCATTTGGCTCATATATTTCAACATGTCTTCATCCTAGCTGTTGTATGGGTTTCGGTCTTGGTTTTCTGGAATATAGCCTAACTTGAGAAGCTTCTTTTTTATATACACTGTTGTCTAGGGTAGAAGCGGCAAATAATGACAAATACTTTGAAAGAGCAGGATGATGACCTCACAAGTGGGGATGATTGGAAGGGAACTACGGAGTACACTATCTAAATATGCTACATATTGCTACATGCTGGAGTCCAGGAGATTCATCAATTCCTTTGTCCGGTGGAAAATGAGCCTTTTGGAGGGTTCATGTTGCAATACTTGACCATGTCTGCTGCAGAGAGAACTAAATACATTAAAACTGGTTTTTAGAATGGGAGCCTCTCTTGTCATGACCCCTCTTTCTGCCCGGCACGCTTCAACCCCTCTGATCCAGGGGCTCGCCAAGTTTCTTCAATTCTAAGCGACATGAGCGGCAGTGATTTTAGTTGGAACCATCTGCATGAAGTAGGCATTTGTTTTTCCTTCAATGTCATGAACAATTACTTCAACTTGGCGATTAATTCCATCAAATGCTCTCTCCTCAAGTGCAACAATAGAACCAGCAAAGATCAGCAGGTTGATGCAGGATGCCATTGTCCTCTCAACAATCTCATTCCCTAGTTAGCCTCGAAACAACCAGAGGGTACTCATCCCCTAAAATTGAATTGCTGGAGGTGCTTGTTGTGCTCAAGGGAGAATTTCTTTGTTTGCAGCATATCAAATTGAACATACGTGGATTGTTTAATCCAGCTAGATGCCTACTACATTTCAGCAGGATCATGGATTAACTATTCACAAATCAGTGAAATTTATGAGCATGAGAAAAACAATACATATCTCTCTCTTGAGAGAAACAGTTCAAAAATCTCTAATCCTCTTCAGCTTCTATCAGCTCATTTTATTTGACTGCACTTTCTGATTTTACTCAAAATTATTTGCATCACCTAATAACTAGCAGCAGGGTTTGAACAGATATTTCCATGTGAAGGCTACAATTTTGAATTGAGTTTCAGTGAGAAAAAGTGTTAATAATTGCCATCACTGCTCAAAATGTTAAATAAACAGCATCAAAGAAATGCGACATATTCGACATTCGCTAGGAGTTGATAACAGCCGGAGAGAAATTCTCCTCTCAATTTAATGAAGGCTGTTTTCCTGAAATAAAGCAAATTTAGGAGGCTCATTTTCAGCCTATGCTCACCTACCTCAGCTGCTATTATTATTATTATTGTTGAAAGTGGAAGTATCCCATGTAATCCCATGTGCATATGCTGTATGTAAAGTACTGCACAGATACATGGCCTCAACTCCCTGAGAGTGAGAGAAAAGGGGAGCAGGATGCAAGTGTTGGGTAGCATGGGTGTGTCTACCGTGGAGACATAGGGGCACTGAGGATTGATGGTTTTGGACTACCTCTATCACCACACTAAATTATTGATTTTGTGAATTTCTACGTGATGGACACCATAGGTGTTCTGTTTGGTTATCCACACAGGATAGTGTCGTGCCAACTGATGCGATCATTGGTTAAATCGAATCTCTTCAGAGTTGTCGAGTAGCAGCACTGAATGGCTTCCCACTGTTTGAAGCGGACAAAAAAGACAAACAATTAAATATATGCATATACATCCACATATATCATTATTTCGAAAAATAATCATGTAATTGAGAAAGAGGGGAACACAATTGGTGAACAAGAAAGATTTTTGGATGGATTGTATCCCACCATCTAAGGAAACAATGTCTCATTTTAATTAACTAAATATAATGGGGCAAAAATCATGTATTTGTATGAGATTATATGGAGTTATGATATGTGGCCACAGCGTGTATGTACAGGACATCAACTGCCACCCCGCCTACTCTTCTTCCCATATTTATTTTCTTTCACCCGGACGGTAGTTGTGCACGGGGGGAATACAAGATTCCACCAGCTGCTGGCTACAAGGTAACTTGCAGAGTAGATATGTGTCAGTGCAATACCACAGTTGAAAGACCAGAGAGACCCCTTGCTCCTACTTCACGTCCTTTCTACCAGTGAACGACTGACCTAAGAATAGTTATCACTTTGGTGTAATTTTAGATCAAGCATGTTGATTTCTTCTTTTTCAGCGTTGATAGCTTACCAGCCGTAGACTATAGCCAAACTATATCGAAACCAAGTTGTTGCCAGGTAGAGTCCTTCAACGGAGGCAGGCCAGGCTGGGGAAGTGACCAGCTAACGGTGGTTCCAGGGGCAGATAATGAAAAGGAGTGGGGTTCCTAAAGACCCATTTTGAGTGGCTTCTTTAGATATATATTTCTTCTTGTGTTGTTACCCTTTGTTTCCCCCTTCTGCTTTCCTTGTCCTGAATGTTGTTTTTTGAACAAGTTTGTCCTATGCGTCTTTTTCGTATTATCTGTTTCCGCGGAAGATCATCGGATGTTGAGAATGTCATTTCCCTTTTCCAGGGACATGTTCTCTTCCTTTATCTCCTGATATCAATTCCCTGGGACCCCCCCTGACTCCCATAAAGGGCAAGGAGTCTGTAATCAGCAATCAGAAGTTCTTTCTGGAAATCAACTCAAAACCCTTCGGAGTGACCGACGGCAAAATCATTGCCGCCTAGGTCCAAGCGCTGCGGGGTAACTAGGTCGATGCAAAGAATTCAAAACTCATTTTCCATTTTGAAAATAGAATGCTAACGACTCGCCACGCTACATATCGTATTAAAGGAATTCAGTCAATTGTCTGTCGCCATTGCTGATAGTTCCAGGCTCCAATTCTAAGGACCCTACGCCACAGTGTCAACCGCGTAACAATTTCATGTGGTTCCGGCTTCGAAAGAAGAAGGGCTGGGTAATCCTTGTTCTGTCAATGGTTGTGGCAATAATGGCGGCATCTCATAGCTCCCAAGCGGGCGATCAACCGCGTGAAGGTCATAGATTTCATCGTGGCCACCCGTTATAAGACCAGGGTCCCCCAATCAATCTCAGTAGATCTCTCCGCAATTGGTGAGATTCCGCTCTGCGAACCAAACAGTTGTGATGGCAGCGAACGGAACCTTCAGTCGTAGTTGGGCCGACGAGTCAGGCACCATTTTGGGTTTTCTGCTTTCTTTTCGTTTTTTCCATTTTAAACCTGCTTAATGTCGAGTCTTGAGTTTCCCAAATGGAGTAAAATCCGCGGTCGAACGGAATTTGGCAGACATCTGGTTACAGGGCCCGAGCGAGGCCTAGTGCGAGCAGTTATTTCGTGCAGGAAATTTTGGTGCCCATCGGAGCATTATTGCTTTGCAAGTTACACGTCATGCGAGATTCAAACAAAGAAAGCGCAGGAAGAGGTCAAAGTCAAGAGGCACCAGTGACATTGGAGCGGGAGAAGAGAAGGGTGTTATATGTGTCCATGGAACGGGCGGAGTGCCTGATTATCCTACCGGATATGCAACATGTATAGTTACCACAGGAATAGGGAACCGGAGGTTTTATGTGAGGAGTACTCCGTGCGTTGTGATGCAACCCCTGGGTGCTGTACGCGACTTGGGCCAATGGACGGGCTGGATCTTCTTCTGCAGTCAATAATTAGGTGTGGAGTGATTATTGTGGAGTGCTTGTAGCAGCCCGCCCGTATGTGGTATGGAATGCCTGCCAACACCGCTTCGGTGTGTTCGAGTGTTGATATACATCTGCTACCACAGAGTAATATCCAAGAAAACCTTCGTGGGCATTAAACATCCAGGGTTCTATTCAACGATGGCTGGTTTCAAGTTGATGGCCAACTCGCCGTTGATCAATTGATGGGTGGGGAGGTTAGGAACCGACTGCCGCTACCCCTAACTACCTCTTTCTGTGCGGATCGGAGTGGAGTGGAGCTGTGTTGCGGACATGGTACGGAGAGCATGCTGCACGGCCCCATTGATGCTTTTCATCGTATTATTATCAAGAATCGAGCTGTGATCAGTTGTCTCAGGACAACAGACATCCCCTGCCTGCTCAGGCGGTAAGATGGAGCTCATGATGGTTTGTTTATCTATTCCATCACAATTATTCCTGGGTTTAATACCACTCAGATCTATAACTTCTTAACTTGTTGAATAATTATCGCAACAACTCAAAATCATCAACATCTCATTTCTCTTTCAAGATTCAAGATAGTTCAGTTCATCCCACAGCTTTTCTAGGTCGGAACTCAGCCTCGTTGAAGACTCCAGGCGAATCCGGAAGTGAATAAGAGTACATATCCGTCCGTAATTCCACCCCCCAAAGTTTGTCTTCCGTGACACAATCATGAACTCGGTAAATGAACTACCTAACTAACTCCCCTCCCCTTTTTCTTTTTCCAGACCTCCCCGGTCCCATTGATCCTGTCGAGCCCAGACAAATATTGGACTTTCCCTGCTCATCATACATGCATGCACATGGACGTGGACATGCAGACCGAGTGGAATATCCCCACGTCTGATCGACTCGACGGATGTTTGTAAGCTATGGAGAGGTCACTTCATAGGTGCTGTTATGCAACCAATAATTGCCAGCATGTCCATCCTGTAAAGGGAACCCCCACCTTACTACTCCAGATTGAAGAAATCTCCATGCACCTAAAGGGGTGAAGTTCAGGAATTCGACCTGATTCAATTTCCGACTTCTTCCCCCCCCTTCCTCAACTATTCCCATAAAACAAGTTCAATCCCATGAGAAAACAACCATGCCGAAGCTTAGCATGAACACTTGGAAAAAATTTCCTCCCATCAACTTGGCAGGTCTTGCCAACTCCTAGCTAAAATGTCCCCATCGTATGTTAAAAAAAAATAAAAATAAAATAAAAAATAACAAATAAAAAAAAAAGAGCCAAGCTGCTAAGCTTGGCTGAACCCTGCGCTCACCCCCTGATTAGCCTGCTCGGTATTTTAAGTTCCAAGTTGGTGTGGCATTTTGATTCTTTGCCAATCATGCCAATCGTGCCAACTGCTAGCAAGCTCAAGTCTGCATCTTCCACTCTCCCAAGGGCCTCTAAAGTTCAGGGCCGTCCGTTCACACGGTTCCCCCGTGAGCCGGGTCGTGGCCCTTGATGGGCCATTTCTGCACAGACTGGTGCAAGGGCAAACGTTCCTTCTGGTGATCTGTGTTGGTCTGTTGAGCTAGAGTAGTTAACTGCGGTAGTGTACAGACACTCTCTCCTTGAGTGAAGTCCCTTAGGTATTGGTGGCATTATTGGCAGCAGCTTGTTGGAGTCAGCTGGAAAATAACATCATGTTAGTTAAACTAGTTAACTAGTTAGTTAGCAGGTTATTGTTAGTTAGGTCACTACCTATTTGGTGCAGAGCCCTTTCATTTTTTTTTGTCTTGCTTTTTTCTTTTAAACCACCAAACCTTCGCCTTGTTTCTCTGGCGTAGTCACTGGCATGAGGCTGAGACGGCTCTGAAGAAGGGGAGAGGGGGTGGGGGGGGGGAACCCTTTGACACTTAATGGTTGGGGGAGGCCAATATGGTTGACAGGAATCTGGGATTCCGTGTGAACAAATTGGTTCCCAAAAGCACTAGTGAGGTGTAAGTGATTACACTGTGTACTGATTTTGAAAAGCTGCTTTCAATTGATATCTCGGCCTTGTGGATCGTGTTTGATTGATTGACGATGTTGAGATTCAAGGGTTTCAAGTATCAGCTTCGTCACTGTCAGGTTACAGAAGGAACAAGAGGCCTCATGACATTTTGTGTAGCAAAGCTTTTCCTACCTCAGTGAGTAGGATAACAGTTGAATTTTTATTTTTATTTTTATTTTTTAATATCTTTTGAGAGTTGAATAATGATGGATTGTCATGGTAATAATTAATAAGTTGATGAAAACACAATTGCAGGACCCCTCATTTTATATTATTTTTTAAAGCTTTGTATTGCTTACAGCTCTGGTCCACTTGGCCTTTTTTCCTTTTCCTTTTCCTTTTTCTTTTTTTTTTCCCTTTTTCCCTTTTTTCCCTTTTTTTCGGAAAGGGATTCATGGATGGTTTGTTCTCGTTGGTTGGATGGAAGACGGGGGGTTCTGAAGGTCTATATTTATATACCTAGTTTTGCTGCCTGGTCAACCCCGCGGGCTGTGGTCATCTAAGATCCATGGATAGGATGATGAGATTTGAGACGAAGAACCCTTGCAGTCGCGTGCTGCGATTACTTAAATAATAATAGTTTTTTATTATGCGGGGTTGTTAGGAAGATCAGATGCTGGCTGTTTCATAGTGATCCCCTGTGAATTCATTAATGTCTCTTGCGAGAGTGTTTGCGTCCTAAAGAGACGATGTCTCGAGTTGCTGCAAACATAAAATTAGCCTAGTTAGCCTCTTTGGCGAGCAGCCCTGGAAGCAATAGTAATGAAAATGATCTAATAACCAGTCATCGGCCGATCCGTAGATGACAGGTGTTTGGATTCGAAACTATTAACAATAAGGGTAAACCTTGGGGAAGTTGGAAATGCCAGTGCTCCGTTCTACCTATCCAAAATTCTGAATGAATTGACAGGCTGGCCGTTGGTGCGCGTGTGGATTAGTTTTATTGAGAAGTTGGGTGCCATGGTCCAACTCCGGGGTACCGGATACCTAGATTGCCGCGGGCGGATCAATAGGCATACAAGTCACCGATACGCAAGCAGAGCCGTGGAGTATCGGAGAAAGAGGAGAAAAGAATGTCCCTGATGTAGTTACATAATTCCCGGTGTAGAGGAACTTACAAAATTTGAAGGGTTAGTTAGAGGAGAGTTGAGAAATGTCAAGAGAAACAGCGTCTACGTCAACTCATTCTATTATTGTCATCAAGAGATTTATAATTATATCAACGTAATTTTGGTTTTGTTTCTTTCTTATGTTTGAAATTGCGCGGTTTTCCTTTTCTAGCTCTGGCCGCATGCGTTGATTCTAGCTTAGTCGACTGACAGGATGCAGGTTGGATTGGGGGAACATAGCTGTTCAAAGATATAGTTTACCAGTAATTATTAAACTCTTGGAAGTTTAACATACACATATATATATACCAGAGCTACCAGACACGCACCTCTCTTCTCCACTGGCACGCACCCACCCAGAGGGCGACTCAGAATGCCCAAGCCATAGTGCAACCGAGCAGCGGCAACTATATTCTTAGCATTTGTCAGTACTCTGAACTTTTTTTCTCTTCACGACGACTTCTGTTGAGGAATAAATAACCATGATAAAATAACACAAGCATAATCAATCAAGATCGTCGGAATCAGCAAAGCTATATAATAAAACATCTTAAATAAGTCATGGTAGTAAATGTATGTATAGAGTTACTGTACCGTATAACAACTCTGCGGCTCCAAACGAGCCTCCAGCCAAGCCCTGTGCCCGTAAATTGCTATTCATTTGCATGTATGTAGCCTTTGGAGGAGACAGGACTGCAGCAGGAGTAGTAAGCCCCAGCCAGCCCCAGCCCGCCCCAGCCCAGTCCCAAAGCAGACCCTTTCCGTCCCTAAATAACCCGCTCCCACTCTCCCAGGCCCCAAACATCCCAACATCACCCAAACACCAACCACGCTTCATCAAACCTCCCTTCAATCCCATCAACCTCTCCTCTCCAACCATCTACCCACCTCGGCCTCCACCACCATCAACTACAATCACCCTCTCAACTGTCCCCACTCCTATCCCCACTCTCTATCATCCTGCATCATCGTCTCTCTCTCTCTCTCTCTCTCTCTCTCTCTCTCTCTGTGGCGCTGAACGCTTCCCAATATCCTCTACCTTCTCCATCCTCGCCTTCCATTCAGCCTCTTCAACCCACCCTACCATAACCCTGTCCAACTCCACGAACTTCTCCCTCCTGCATTCATCGAAGAATTATCCCGCATCGGGCCGCTTACTTATCAAATCGACAATACCTTATTGCAACCTACTTATTCCCAGGCCAAACTATGTGAGCCACCGTATAACTCCCCAGGCCACTCACTGCTTTCTTTGCCGATCTCGGCTTTGTGGTTCATTGTTCCAGATATCTCACGATCAACCGTCTATCCATCTGACAATCTAGCCTCCTTGGCTTCTCCATATTCCCAGAATCTATCAGAATCTACAAACTACCGTATAATACCTTCTTCGCCTCAGTCGGTCTCCGTTCCGTGGCTTCAAGCCCAGGACGGCTGGCTGCCTCGATCTCAAATAATACACACAGTGTCCCTCCCGGTCCCATCTCGATTTGATCGCGCCTTTCCATCTATCTGCCCTTGCTACCCGAGATTTTGTTTCGAGGTTATAATCAGGCGTGTAGTGCATTCCTAATATCGTCTCCATACATCCATAGAGGCGCCTTACATCTCTCTCCTGTTGTGTGGTTGGTGTATTAAGGTCATATTGTTCGCCCTGTTAGTAGAAGCATTCGATATCAGATAGGATGGGTGGGTGTTGCAGTTCTGCTTCTGGGGAGAATGCAGAGCAGAGGAAGAGAAGCCAGATGATTGACAAGGGGCTCGAGGATGATTCAAAACGATTACGGAGAGAATGCAAGATCCTACTGCTTGGTCTGTCATTACCGTCCTTTTCTTCTTCACCCCCAGTCACGGGTGCATTGGCCTTGCCAACTTACCAACTTTGCACTCTGTTGAGTGTCTGTGTGTCTGTTAGATGTGTAAACAGTGGATATGTTCTGACGGTCATTACAGGTTCGGGTGAGAGCGGAAAATCGACGATCGTAAAGCAGATGAAAATTATCCATCAGAACGGATATTCTGTCGAAGAACTTACCTTGTGCCGTTCAACAGTCTACAAAAATCTCTTGGATTGCGCCAAGGACCTGATAGGAGCTTTACATCATTTCGACTTACAGCCATCCAGTCCCAAAGTTCAAGATTATATAGAGTATCTTAGTTCATACCAGATTGACGCGGACCCGAATACGCCAATAGATCCGAAAGTGGGTGATGCCGTGACATATCTCTGGAATGATCCTATCATGCCATCCGTGCTCGAACATCAGAACGAGTTCTACCTCATGGATTCAGCACCTTAGTATGCCCTCCCCCTTTTCACTGGAGTCTTTGCTTTGCGATGTTCTAATCATTCTCAGCTTCTTCGAGGAAGCCAAACGTATTACCGCGCCCGACTACATACCTAATGAAGCCGATGTGTTGCGCGCTAGAACAAAGACAACTGGTATATATGAAACGAGATTCACAATGGGCCAATTGAGTATTCAGTGCGTTTAAATATATCACCCCTACTTTGCCGGAACATGACCCTAATATGTATATCTTTTAGCATGTTCGATGTTGGCGGGCAGCGGAGTGAACGGAAAAAGTGGATTCACTGCTTTGAAAACGTAACCTCCATAATATTCTGCGTCGCATTGAGCGAGTATGATCAAATGTTACTAGAAGAAAGTAATCAAGTATGCGATGACCCTCATTTCCTCGCGTTACCTCTACTGCGTTGTTTACTGGGTCTAACCTTGACGAAAGAACCGCATGATGGAGAGTTTAGTGCTGTTTGATTCCGTTGTCAATTCCCGATGGTTTATGCGGACGAGTATAATTCTCTTCTTAAATAAGGTCGACCTCTTCCGGCAAAAACTCGACCGGTCCCCATTGAATAAATACTTTCCCGATTACTCTGGAGGAAACGACGTCAACCGTGCCGCCAAGTACTTGCTCTGGAGATTTAACCAAGTTAACCGGGCGCATTTGAATCTTTATCCTCAGTATGTATAGGAAAAGCACACCTTAATTACTTCTTCCTTTGTTTTCAAAAAGCCCTTGTCCTGTACCTAACCTCCCCGCTGCGGCAGCCTTACTCAAGCCACCGACACGTCGAATATTCGCCTCGTCTTCGCAGCCGTGAAGGAAACCATTTTACAGAACGCCCTGAAAGATTCTGGTATTTTGTGAAAGGGAGAAAACGAAGAAAACAAAGCAAAAAGGAAAACAAATACACCACGAATTGTCGGAATTTTTTGTTCCACCTTGATATTTTTTTTTGGAAGGCTGCGGGGGTCGTCTTAGCCATCGAGAGCGAATATTCTATACCCCGCCGTTCCGTACCGCATTTCCGTTTCCGCCGCAAATTATTACTTACTTGCAAATTCTTCACCGGTTTGACTTACGATGACGACACCATTACCCACTACCCACCACCGTCTACAAAAAAAACGCCATAATAATGTCTTTACCCCTCTACATGCTTTTCAAACTTGTGCTTCATCAAGTGCCCGGTGCTTCTCTCTGTATACAGCCAGCGACGCTTTTAAACGCCAACTTTTGGATATCGATTTTTATTTTTAATTATTTTTTTTCTGCTTTTCATAATATATTCAACTCTGGAACTAGGATGGCGTTTCAAAGGGGTGGGATATTTCAATAACTGAATATTTGCTGTTGGCGCTGGTTTTGGAATGGCATACAAATATTCTCTTTTTATTATTCTCTATCTTTTGGCTTACCCGGTTGAAAGGGATTCTTCTATGAAGAGCTTCTTGTTCTTACCCCATTGATTCCTCTTTTCCCATTTGCAAACAAACGTCTTTATTTCTTATATGTTTTTGCCCCAATTTCTTTTTAATCTTCTTGGATATCTTTTTTCATCCGCCGCCTTTCTCATCTCAAAAGAGATATTTTGCATTGTGACTGGCTTCTTTTATTTTATTTTCTTTTCTTTTCACATTATTTATTACTATTTTATATTATTTAGCACTTATTATTATTATCATTATTATCATTACCAGTGGTTCTAACCATTTTTAATCTCGGCATATTCTCAATTGGCACTTCTTGGATTTTGTTACCCTCTTCAATATCCATTTCTATTCATAATGCTTGGGGAATAGCTGGTATTGACTGCTACCAATGAAACATTTGGAGAATGCACCAGCTAGCCCAGCCAAGCCCTAACTCAGCTGGCTCTTCAACCTACCTAGTATATAGCCTCTAAATATGTACAGTATGTGATAAGGTGGGTAGAATACTTCTATGTTGGGGGTCCGGCTAGCATGGTGAGCTTGGAGCTCAGCTCCATGATCACTGGCATCGCGCGAGACAATTTCTGAAAAAAAAAAGGGTGATCACCTTTCCTCTCTCCTCCTTCCCATGTTATTCACATAGCTAGCCGATGGGTTGAACATGATGAGCACCATCAATCAATCCACTTAAGGGGTTTTCCTCGGGCATATATTCCGCCTA